AAGCCGTTTAAAAGTTACAGAGTATCAAACCGCGCCTGACGAAGATATCAATTAAACAAAACCGCTTTTCGATAAATTTATTATAAACAAAAGATTGAAAATTGATCGTCGCTCACAAAACTCTCGGCAGATTTCACCGTAGCAAGGCAACAACGGCACAAGGCCCTAAATTAATGACATCCTGCATTTTACAAATTTTGTAATTGGTATTTTCATGGCGTCCATTGTTAGCCGCGTCCGCGCTGCTTCTCATTAACGCCGGACACTGTCCACAGATCACTTTATGAATGAGATTGGCATTTTTACAAATATAGGTAATTGTGTTTGGCTATCTGGACAGCGGCCTATTGTTTATGGTAAGCGCTTTCGGGTGATATAACGTCGGGGATACATATAATAGATGAATATCCAATTTCCAGGCAAGTTTATGTCGCTTTTATCATTATATTCAGCCAGCGCCATGAGTGGCAATGGGAGGAAAGTGTGTGTGTTATTTGTGCGCGGACACCGATCTGATGTGTGTATGTGCAGGGTTAGATTAAGATTTAATCGGACGCAGACGTTTCTGCATGTCATAATACACAATGCATAGATTATATAGCGGTGCCATTATTATGCGCGGGAGAACGTAAATGGAGGATTTTAAGTTGGGCGTAATTTCGGTCGGCATGGCGTACGTAGAGTGCGACCGATTGGAATTGTAATATCCCCGTAAATTGCGCATTTCTCAACCGATTTCGATTTTTTAAAAATTTATTTAAAAACTATTTTTAAGTATACTGGCTTCCTTCCTTTTAAAATGCTTCAGTTTTACCAAAAAATAACAGTTTTTCCAATATTCTTCCATATTTGTTGTTTTCAAGGTATAGCCAACTGAATTTGAATTAGATGCTACAGGGTGTTCAAAATAAACTAATATATTTATGTCATTGAAAATTGAAAAAATGGCACATAATACATATTATTATTTTTTCCTGAAATATTTCTACAAAAACCTACAACTTTTATTACGAATGTCATATACCTATTTTTAATATTTTGCGATTTATTTAAGCTTTTACAATATTTACCCTTCTTTCTGTCAAAGGCTATTAGTATAACATTCGCTGGCCATGACTAAATGACATTGTCAATGCTGAATTAATTGATATGATTTATATACTGGGTGAGGCGAAAAAAACACTTTGTTGGCAGTGAGACTTACCCCAATAAACGTATTCCAACTAGATAATCTGTTCAGTGTTTAACGGAACGGTTTGATGTTAGTGATAGTATTGAATATTAAAAAGGGAAAGTGGTAAACCGGAATGCTACCAATGAAGAAAAAGAATTGGAAATTTAACTTCGCGTTCAAGATAATGCCCAGGTCAGTTGCCATTAAGTAGCTAGCTTATGTGATACATCCCAATCTAATCGCATATTGAACTTTAGCAAGAACTTCTTCACTCTTATAAATAAAGCAATAGAAGCCGATCCAAATTTTGGCTCGGTAGAGGTTGATTTCTTTTTGTGGGGATATGTTAAAGATAGTGTTTGAGAATCCCCCTACAACACCATAATATACGGAAAATAGAATTCGGGACACGTACGGGAAAATAACACCGTTTATGCTAAGGAATGTCCAACATGTGTATTCAAGTAGAAAGGCTTATTTTTGAACATTTATTGCGCCATAATAATAATTCAAAATAAGATAAGTTAATTTGTAGTAATAGATATTTAATATTATTTACTTTTTCTGTGAATTTAAAATTTCGCCGTTATTTTCACCAAAATTGCTAATAACCGTATGTTGCTTCATCTTCGGCTCCAACAAAGTTCTGCCCCACTAATAATATAGCAATAGTCTTAGACAGAAAGAAGGGTAAATATTGGAAAAGTTAAAATAGTATAGTATTATAACATAGTAATATGACACACTTAATAAAAGTTGTAGGTTTTTTAAGATCTTTCAGAAGGAATAATAATATATATGGTATGCCATTTAAGAAAATCGAGATTTTTCAATTTAAAATAATCCAAATATATTCCTTTATTTTGCATATATCCTTTACGTCATGTTCGAATAACGATAATATCAAATACGAGTGATCTAACTACTAATTAAAAAAATGGTGCTATCATAGTTTTGTTTTGCAAGTGTGAAAACTAGTATTTTATTAGAAAAATTAAATTATTGGAGAAACACTTAGGTTTAGATATGTATTATCATTAATACAAAAGTTGAAGAATTTTAAATAGAATTTAAATTAAAATTTGAAAATGAAGACTTTTAAATTAAAAAAATATATATGTTCTTGAGCCACCCTGTATACTTTAAAATGATTTTAAATTGTGCGTCCTAACAATCTTTCCAACTTTTGTATTTACCATTTTCCCATAACTTGTGAAATCAATGAGATAATCAACCGTAGGTATTCTATCGTTGACTGACTCACCAAGTACTCTAGGACAAATGTTCAGAAAATCACTTTCATTCTAACACTCTATGTGTTTTTTCTTTACTCGACTGCAGGTCACTAGTCAAGATTTAAACCTTTAATATAAGAAAAGGCATATATAGCATTTTACATAAAAATATCTCGAAATGATAAAAAAAAACTTCAACCCGTTGAAGAGTTTGCTTCCAATTTCGTGACACCCTATATAAAAATAAGCAAAATTTCATAATTCGTAATTCATATTTATTAACAGGAATCGGAATCAAATCACAGACGCTGCTTCTCTGGAAAACGGCTTGAATGTTTAAGCCCAATGCGTTCCATAGAAGCGAAATGCCGCGCACGCTTGTCAGTCGAAAACAAAAGCCGGAGCGCAAAAATACAAATAATCGACGGATTTAAATAGAGACTTATACAAATTATTAGTTGTTTGTATATGTTACTATGCAAATAAGTAAATTTTATGTTCCATTAAGTTTTGACCGTTTGACGAACCCGAGCAATTTTTGATGAAAAAATCATGAATTCACGTTCTTTCAGTTCATTTCAAACTAATAAGTAGTGCTTCCCTGCATTGGAATGTTGCATTAACATTTTAATTAAAATTTGCACTATTTGATGAATCAGAATATTGAAATAGATGAGACCAAACCTTTAGATATACCTTGCAATCGGGGGCATCCGTAAGCAGAAAAATATTCTTTTCCGTGTGCCTATATGGACCATTCCAATGACTTATAATCTTCCAGCGCATAAAATGCACGTGACCGCGCTGAATAAGCGCATTATTACCGAATAAAGCGTCGCAAATAATACGCTACTTTGGCGGTTAAAATATCCACCTTCGTTTTCTAACCCCGACTGGGGAGGCGGCGGCGTGGCGTCGGCACCCCTTTCGTCTTATACAATATTGTCTGGCGATCCATCACCGAGCTGTCAGATGTGATATTGTTGCCAAATCTCTCTCGCGATTGTGCCAGTCGGCCACTTTGCGATGCGAGCGCGCATAATTGCTTGAAATTTTAAAATTTTCGGGGGTTCGTCACGGGAGAAAATAATAAAATTTGCCCCGTGAGAGGCGCGCTTTCCCAAGTAGTAAGCAAGTTTTTCTACATAAAGTCTTAGTTTTGGGATGCATCTGAATAGACCGAAATACAAGTCTGCTTCAGCAAGTTTGATGCATGTTTGTACTGTCCTCAAGTCTGAATGGTACTGCTGATGAAAAATTAAATTGCAAGAAGTCATACAACATGCATTTAGGTTTGATTGATGACACTATTTCCAGCATCAATACTATGCTCGTTTTTCGATTTGACCTCATATATCTTGGTTTCTAATTTTAGTAAAAAAATGCGTTTTTGCGTAAATATGTAAGAGTCGTGAATAAATATTGCCATGGTAATGTCAAGTTCTTTTCTACTTTATTTTTCACGAAAAAAGATTCTAATGCTCTTCAACGTACAAACAAAAAATAGAAACCACAAGAGAATATTTTGACTAGACGTATAATATATGTAGGTTTGCATTTGAAAACCTTAGACAATCTTGAGAACCACACTTGTTTCAAACTCGTAAATATATACACAGCCTTGTCACGATTTATTGACTCTTCCTCCGGTAGATTATACTACCATATACCCACTGCATGGTTGGCAAAATACTCGTATATGAAGGTGAAATTGGAAGCATTCCAATCTATTTCAAAAACATGAACTATATACAAGCTGCGCCATCTCGTGATGGAGAGCGTAGCTAGGCATATCTCAATCTATTTTAATTCTTACGTAGTCTATTACAGAGATCCATAACATTTTTATAATATTTATTTATTTTCAGACCAAGTGAGCCTTTAGAACAATGCAGTGTGTCATCCACTTACAATAATTAGCCAAAAGAAATTTTTTTAATTTAGTAATTTAGTAAAATAGAAATTAAGTACTCTATAATCTATTTAGTATCAAAAACTTTACCATAATGAGCACATTAAAGGTTAAATCTAATGGTGCGAAGTTACAAATACATACATTTTATAAATCGAATAGTAACTCAAATAAAACATCAGATAGTGTAAAAGTGTAAGAAATCTTTTACCAAGGAATTTATAACTTATTCTTTCTTATTCTTTAACATGGCGAGTCCTCTTCTTTTTTTTTCATTATTTTCATATAATCCGTATCACCTTCTAAATTGTTTTATTCAGGGCTTACTAAGTTAAACGAGGCAGACACGAAGCAATTTCTACAAATATTTCTGCATGCATTTTTTCAAATAAATATTGCAATGTGTCTGCTAACCAAATTGCAAAAAATTTAGCAGATAAAATTATCATCTATTTTAAGTGATTAAATCCTTGGTGGCCTCCCGCATTGCATCATACACTAACAGCAATTTTTAGCTGTGAAAAATACATGCAGAAGTACATGTAGAAATTGCATCTTGTCTACTGAGCTTTAGAACTATTTTAAAATTAGAAATATGAGTCTTACACTAACATTAACTCGGGCATTCACTTGACCTATCCAGAGAGATTATTTAAACATCTTCTTTGTTTTCTTCCCTTGTAAAGCGGACATTTTGAAGTAAAACACAAAAGTCGAGCACCGGAAAAAAAGTCTTGCTAGATAATAGTTCGCTTATACAAGTGGTGGTGGATGAAGATTTTTTTCGAAACTCCTTGGAACACAACATTACAAGAGTTCCTCGTCGTCGAGCTAACAATTGCGCACTGAAAAACTAAATAAGTAAAGAAGAAAAGAAGAAGAATTAAAACTCAAAAGTAAACAACTTTATCCGAAAAACAAATTTGTCAAATTATGAATAAAATCTACTTATATTTGGCGATACGTTCTGGCGCTGCTGTTGATTGCATCATTTTTCTCATGTAATACACAATTTAACAATAACTGTGCCACTGATAACCTATGGTTAACCCCACACATCGCGCATTTGAACTTACTCTAGCTTCTCATCAATTAATATAACCGAATTTCTTCATTATACAGATTAGTTATTATAGGTCAGTGTGAAAGTGAACTTAGTGGATCATTACAGTGAATAATTTTCCATCAAAGATGACACTCGAAAACAGGATAATAAGATTATACAAAAGACCTGGTTTTACTAACGCCAAAAAAGTAGAAATTATTGAAAAACTACAAGAAAAATGCGATCTAATCGTTGGATTGGAGACTGAATTGTGTTACCATGTTGAAGTGGGAGCGCCTCTGTCCAAAGAGGAAGAAAAAAAATTAATGTGGGTACTATATGATCCGTTACATCCTGAAAAATTGTCACATCAGGGCTTAAAAATTTCGGATAACCAGGTACTTATAGAAGTTGGACCCAGATTTAATTTTTCAACTCCTAGCTCCACAAATGCAGTATCAATTTGTCAAAATTTGGGGTTAAAGAAAATTGTCAGGGTGGAAGTATCCCGCAGATACCTTTTAAATGTCAAAATTCATAGCATTGTTTCCCCTGATATGGAAAGAGTTCTTGCTTCAGTGTTATATGATCGCATGACTGAGTGTCTTTATACTTCCAAAAATATTCCTAAAAACAGCTTTAATGAATGCCTTCAAAAGACAGAAAACATAAAAGAAGTTGATGTATTGACGAAAGGTGAAAAGGCCCTGCAAGAAATAGATCATGAACTGGGATTGGCTTTTGACAAGTCTGACTTGACATATTATACCAACTTGTTTAAAAATGTGTTAAAAAGAAATCCAACAAATATTGAATGCTTCGATTTAGCTCAGTCAAATAGTGAACATAGCCGTCACTGGTTTTTTAAGGGCAAAATGATTATAGATGATGTAGAATATGAGGAGTCTCTGATTGATATGATAATTGATACTCAAAAACACACAAACCCAAACAATGTGATCAAATTTAGTGATAACAGTAGGTAAGCTATATTATAGGCAATAAGATTATTCTTGATAATAATTGTGGCTTAATTCAGGATGTAAATACTTTTATCAGATAAGTAGCTGACTTTCAAAATGTTTACTTGTTTCATGTGCAATTCATATTATGGCAAAAATAATACTAAATATTTGTCACTTTAGTTGATGATTTGTCAATTTGAGCAGATAAGGTCTTTGCTGGAGGCAATAAATATTTTATCATTCAAAATTTATTTCTGTTTCCTAACCACTTGCTGATTAGGTTACCACAAAAATATCAAAGTCTCATTTTCAATTTCTGTTAATTAATTAATATTTATATAATAAACCTAATATTTTTTTAGAAAAACCTAAAGGGTTTGGATTGACTCAAATTTTCATTAAAAATTAATAAACTAGTCTGCTTAATTGTCCTAATCAATTTTTTCCCACTATTTTTTTAAAATTGTAATTAAAATGAAATTTCGTAGATATTTTTATTACTATCAAGCCAATGATTTCGATTTTCCAATTTGTGGATTTTTCTTTGGATACCACTTCTTTTAAATACCCATTTTTAGTGCCATAAAGGGGTTTATCCACCGGAGCCTGAAACCAGCCTCTGCGGGATCTGTAAGTGAACTTCGACAAGTTACATCTGAAACTCACCTTATATTTACCGCGGAAACGCACAACTTCCCGACTGGCGTGGCTCCATTCAGTGGCGCCACCACAGGAACCGGTGGCAGAATTCGTGATGTGCAATCCGTCGGTAGAGGAGGATATTGTATTGCAGGTACTGCCGGATATTCAGTTGGCAATCTTAACATCCCGGACTACAATTTGCCTTGGGAAGAAAAATCATTCGAGTACCCGTCGAATTTTGCGCCGGCGCTTGAAATTTTGGTTGAAGCAAGTAATGGCGCTTCGGATTATGGTAATAAATTTGGAGAACCTTTAATCAGCGGGTTTGTTAGGTCATTCGGGCTTATTGAGGGCAATAATGAACGGAGGTAATAATTTCCTTTCATAGTTTCAATAAAGTGTTTTATTGGATGGATAATTTAAAGGGAGTGGATTAAGCCAATCATGTTCAGTGGGGGAATTGGGAGTATGGAGGCGAATATGACTGAAAAGCTTACGCCTGTAATTGGACAACAAATTGTCAAAATAGGTGGTCCAGTGTACCGAATTGGGGTTGGCGGCGGGTCTGCCAGTTCTGTTGAAGTTCAGGGTGATAACAAAGAGGAACTGGATTTTAATGCGGTCCAAAGAGGTACGATTACAATTCTTGAGGTGTGCTCGTTTTTAAGCAATTAGGGTCTTTGTAAAGTGTGATACTGAACCAACACCAAATACAAATAAACTTTAAACATTTATAGGCGACGCTGAAATGGAAAATAAACTAAATCGAGTTGTCCGCGCATGCTTAGAATTAGGCAAAAAGAATCCAATTTTAAGTATTCATGACCAAGGTGCGGGTGGTAATGGAAATGTACTTAAGGAACTTGTGGAACCTGTTGGTGGCATTATTTACGCCAATAGATTTGAACTAGGTGATCCCACCATTAATATTCTGGAATTGTGGGGTGCGGAATATCAAGAAAACAACGCACTTCTTTGCAAAAAAGAAGACATTGAGCTGTTAAAAACTATTTGTAAAAGAGAAAGATGTCCTGTTAACATAGTTGGTGAAGTAACTGGAAGTGGGTCTGTTGTACTATCACTAGATGAATCCAACACTGTAACTCCATTTGATTTAAAACTTGAACATGTGTTAGGAAAAATGCCTAGAAAAGTTTTCAAATTAGAACGAAAATTACCTATCCTGAAACCATTGAATCTGCCTCCCGCCACTTCTATTTATAACTGTTTGGATAGAGTATTGAGGTTGCCATCTGTTAGCAGCAAAAGATATTTAACCAATAAAGTTGATAGGTATGACAATTTTTTTACCTTTTGTTATTACTTAATTTCGTAGACTCTTGTTCTGTTTTAAAATATGCATATAGAGAGTAAATTTGTCCAGGGATATGCAAAGTTCAGTACTTCAATTTGAAGCTATTCAGATATTTTTAAAAATATTAATTTGCAGATGTGTCACTGGTTTGATAGCTCAACAACAATGCGTGGGTCCTTTACATACTCCGCTGGCGGATGTTGCAGTTACGGCAATTTCTCATTTTGGTCACGTAAGAAATAGTTATTTTATTTTCTTTTTTTTTATAATGCACAATTTTTAATTAGGAGGGTATTGCTTCCTCTATAGGCGAACAACCTATCAAAGGATTAATTAACATAGCTGCGGGTGCCCGTATGACAGTTGCAGAGGCACTTAGGTAATTCTATAATCATTTAAGAGAAACATTTGCACCACATACAATTTTTTTAGCAATCTCGTTTTTGCTCTCATAACAGACCTCCGCGACGTAAAATGCAGTGGCAATTGGATGTGGGCGGCAAAATTGCCTGGAGAAGGTGCCGCCCTCTACGACGCTTGCGTAGCCATGTGCAAATTAATGTCCGAGTTAGGAATAGCCATTGATGGAGGAAAAGATTCCCTGAGTATGGCTGCCCGAGTTGGGCCAGATACTGTTAAAGCTCCGGGTACATTAGTGATCTCCACTTACGCACCTTGTCCCGATATTAGAAAGGTTATCTAGGAAACACTGCTTATAATGGTTTATTATAAAAATCATACCTGATAGGTTATAACACCAGATTTTAAAGCACCGTCTATGGGAAAGCAGGGAACTTTGCTATTTGTTGACTTATCCCATGATGCTAATAGATTGGGAGGATCCGCGTTGGCGCACACTTTTAAGCAACTAGGAAGCGAGTGTCCAGACATACATTCAGCCACAGATTTAGTCAATGCTTTTGCCGCAACTCAAGAACTTATCAGAGATAATGCAGTGCTAGCTGGACATGATGTTAGTGATGGTGGATTAATAGGTAACACTAAGATGTGTTAAAGGAATCAATATATTAATCTATTATTATTGTATTTAGTAAATTAATAAATATTTATATAATTCATAGACGTTGCTTGCAGGAGACTTTATAATTTATAATAGATTTATTTTTCAGTTTGCCTACTTGAAATGTGTTTTGCTGGCCTAAGTGGAATAACTGTCAACATCAAGCATAGACAAGGAAAATCCATCCCTATCCTTTTCTCGGAAGAAGTGGGATGGGTGCTTGAGGTTTTGGACAAAGATGTTGATCACTGTCTTTCAGTTTTTCAGGTGAACTGCTTATTGTTGTTATGTTGTGCAAAATGTTATATTAATTTTTGTAGAAACACAATGTACCAGTGTTTGAAATTGGTGAAAGTGTGGGTTATGGTATCCAATCTAAAGTGACCATAATGGTTAATAATGCATGCTTGGAAACTACGGTATTGCCACTGATGCAGATGTGGGAAGAGACGAGTTACCGGTTAGAACTTCAGCAAACAATTAAAGAATGTGCAGATTCTGAATTTTTGTCTCTGGCGACAAGAAACGGCAAGTTATTTTGATTGATTTACCACTTCTTTACACATTGTAAACTTATACAGGTCCGAAATACACTTTAACCTTTGACCCCGATGAAGAGCATATAATCAAAGAGGAAAGAATTCCTATTGCTGTCATAAGGGAAGAGGGTATTAATAGTGATAGAGAAGTGACAGCCGCTTTTGTTAGGGTTGGATTTAAGGTGTGGGATGTTACTATGCAGGATTTGTTAAGCGGGGAGGCTAATTTAGATAGGTTTAGGGGACTCATATTCCCTGGCGGATTTAGTTATGCTGGTAAGACAAAACTTTAATAATTCGTTGGAATAGCAATAGTGGTATTTAAAATTGGGTTTGAGAAATTTCTTTTTGTGTAGATGTATTGGGTTCGGCGAAAGGTTGGGCCGCTAGCATCCTCTTTAATGAAAAGGTCAAGCAACAGTTCACGAGATTCTTCAATAGACCAGACACTTTCAGCTTAGGAATTTGTAATGGCTGCCAATTAATGGCTTTGATTGGATGGGTAGGAAGTCCTTTGACGGAAGAATATTCCAAACCAGATATTATACTGGAACATAATAAGTCTGAAAGATTTGAATGCAGATGGAGCACAGTTAAGATTGAAAAATCAAAATCAATTATGTTAAATGGTATGGAGGGATCAACCTTTGGTGTATGGGTGTGTGCTTAAGAAATCCTTAATTAAAATTGGTCTATTTATATGATTTTGTTTTTTTAAGGTTGCTCATGGTGAAGGCAAGTTTGGCTTCCAAAATAAATATGTCTATGACAAACTAGTAAAAAGCAATTGTGTAGCTTTACGATATGTTGATGACCAAGGTCTGCCAACTGAAAGTTATCCAATGAATCCAAATGGGAGTGTAGAGGGATTAGCTGGAGTATGCTCCAATGATGGTAGGCATTTGGCAATTATGCCGCACCCTGAAAGGTGCAGTCAAATGTTCCAATGGCCTTACATGCCACGTGAGTGGATACATTACCGGAAGAGTCCATGGGAGAAGATGTTTAAGAATGCTTATGACTGGTGTACTAAAGTTAAGTTCCATCCGGTATACTATTAGGTGTAGTCTAGGTTATGGGAACAACTTACTAAAATGACTGCCAATTTAATTGCCATTTAATTGTGAGGTGCTCAGGTCAATTAATATTACTCTATTTTAAATCTATTTTTACATTAACTCATATTTTTAAATTTTGTATTATAAATGGTTAAAGTCTAAATAATTAAGTCTGAGCTTATAAGGGGTAGTTTTTAATGGAAATGCAATTAGAAAAATTAATAAATTTAAAAACTTCATTAATACATTTTGTCATTAAAAGTGAAAACCTCCAAACATTTTGGAATAACAGTTAGAATGAGAATTAATTTTGAATATTGTCTTTTTATATTCATGAATTCAAGTAAATATTAAGTCTTTTCCCCTAAATGTCCCTTATGAGAGAATTTGTTTATACAAATGTGATTAGAATTGCAGCTTCCTTATTAATAAGTGCCTTTATATCAGAGATATTTAATCACTAGAGACCAAGCAGTAAACATTCACTTGAGTAGCAATAGATCTCTTATGGTCGTCAAATAAGCTCATGTATTAACAAAATTGACTATTATAACAATATAAATAATTAAAATGCACATATTTTGTTACTAGCAAATACAAATGTTTCATTCAATTTAAAAAGTAAATAATAGTTTTAGTAACATCTTTTTCTAGATCCTTAACTGTTTTTCTATGATAAAGTTTATGATCAATTCTGACTTGGTTTTGCCAAATGGTTAAATATCTGCTTTATACAGATTCATAGTACTCATATCTATTAAATGTTGACTATTCCATTTGTTAAAAAATTACTTATAGTTTATGTTATTTTTTATAAAACCTGTATAACAAATAAATTACTTTGGTATATATCACGTACTTTATTATATCAACTTCCCCATTCTATAAAATCTTGATGCTATAGAAAATAAGAAGAAAAATATTCTCTATACATGCGAACTGGCCTAAAATTGCCTTACAATACTAATTTCCATACAAAAAGTTTATTGTTCATAGGAATTTTGATTGTTAAAAAAATAAATTATATATGCAATGATAACAGATGTCCCCTGATTTTTTTTACATCACAGAATTTTTTTGTCTTGAACCTAATCAAATATTTCCAAAAGTTTGAATGTTACTTTAATATATTTTCTTCATACTTCATATTGTGCAACTTATGGTATTTTCATTTTGAAAAATATGTATTTGAAGTTTTAATTTGCCTGACAGTTTTTCATTCAATAAAACAAATATACATATCTGAAAAAAATTCAGCATACTTATTCAAAAAGTAACCATAGATAGAGAAAAATTACATTAGAATTTATAACGTCTTATTCTGAGGTAATTACTATTTACCCTTTGCTCGCATCGACCATAGATTAGAGGTTTTAATGGTCAGGATTATAGATGTTCTACTTAGACCTTTATCATGAAAGAAGAAGAAAAATTCTTTCCCTTTATAATTTATCTTCATAAACTATGGTTTTCATTCGGTGATGAACTTTTTGTTTATATTACATTTTGATTCCTATTCTGTGATTGTTAGTCCCTACATTTTTTAAATAAATGTGTAAATATAATATTACCGTTTGTTGTCAATAGTTTTAGTAGTTTATTACTATTATCAACAATATTTCGTGAGATTTGTAGTGTAATCACAACAGAAAGGCCAGCGCTGAAGTCGTTCATGGATTTAAAAAAAGGTAAGTTATATGCGGGGGTGTATGATATTCTTTTAAATTAGAAAAAGTGCATTTATTATTTTTTTAAAAACCTTTCGCTAATTAACTATAAAGTAAAAATAAAAATCTTCATACATTTTTTTTTCATTTTTACACCTAGACTGTTTTAACAATAAAATTGTGTTATTAAGCTTAGAATACCTCTAGAAACTTGTAACTAATGATAGTCATCAACAAAAATGCAGTGTGCCTATAAATATGGAAATATTACTGAACCTTAAGGAGTTTGTTTTGTGTTAATTCAATTGGAAGTTGACTCCCCTAAAGAGATACTCTGGATTTTTTCGTTCCTTTAAACATATTATAATACCTATTAAACCAAATCTCCCTTACATCGAGATAAAAATAATATTATAACGTGGACGTACACTTTGTCGCTAAAATTATTCCGACATCTCTAGCTCCCCTAGTATTTATCACAAGAGTGATCATTCTTAAATAAAGTGCTTTTCGCCTAGTTAGGCTAATTATTTATTTTTTCCACACTTCAAAATAAATTGTAGCTAGAAAGTAGAGAAAACGTTGTCCTTTTAATTAACAACGCCAGTTCTCTATTCTTCGAGCGGTTCTTTTTTCCTCCGCCACCGTTTCTGTTCCAGTAATTAAGTCTACCGAAGATTCGCCCCGAATAAAACTTATTTTCTCATTTCCCCTTCTATTTCCGTCACCGCGTTCCCCCCTTTCCTCTAGTTCCCCGGCACCAGTGGAAATAAGTCATTTTCCGCCGCTTCTGGGAAAAATCAATAGCCGTTTGAGCTGCGCGACGAATCCGAAAACTACCCCCCGACTATACTCTCTTCGAATCCTGCGGAGCGTCACGGTTTGTCGTAGGTCCGCCCTCGAAAGTCTCCAACTAAAAAAAAAACGCAAATTGAAAAAAAAACCGCGTAATAGGCGCGTCAAATCAAAGATAACCGAAGTTCGAAGTTATCGGGAGTTCCGTATTAACGTCCCGCGAAACTCGATTTTCATTTTGTTTTCGCATTCGAACAATCACCTAATGTGGAATCAATACTGGGGATTGGGTAAGTAGCGGGAGCACGCAGAAATCGTATAACTGACCCGGTGTCAGATTTCCAATGATATGTTTTTTGAATAGTGAGTTTATTTTGATTTTGTATACTTAAAACATAGAATTTTCGGCTCAAATTAAAACTGCTAAAGTGATATTTGAAGCTCCGGTGGAATTTATAAGGCAGCGATTTTATTTCTTTAGATTGTTTTATTTTCATTTTTCATTTTATTTAAATTCTACTAGTCAACTTCATATGCGATATTCACAGCTTAAATGATGCAGCCGCTATAACAAAAACCAACTAGTTTGAAAGTCTCTTTATTTATTTAGAAAAAAGACAACTTACTGAAATGAAGTTAGTAAAGAGCTTTCTAAAAAAGTGTGAATTATTACTTTTTGTCTTAAATATTCCCTAATTAGTTAACAATGAAGAATTAATTAAATTATATACAATATTAAAGTCACAGCTTAAATGATGCAAAACAAAATATAACCAAATCAATAGAGAAAAACAACTGTATAATTTGAAATACTCCTAATATTTAGTCGGGCCTCCCTCATTATCGATATCGGCTTGTAGTCTTCTGGGTATTGATTCAACTAGTTTTCTAGTATACTCCGGGGAAACTGTGTTTCATACTCCAGTAATTTTTACTTTTAATTCATTCTTGTTAGATATTGAGGCACTGTTTACTTCGTTATTGGTTCATATTTCCTTCAATGAAATGCATATTACCTACTCCTGCAGATGACATACAGCTCCATAACATCACTCCACCTCCACCGTAGCTTTTAAATTTTTTAATTTTAATTCTTCCTTAGGATTTCTCCATGCTGATATTTTTCCATCGGATCCAAACAAGTTTATTTTGGTCTCATCGGCAAATATCACTGAATTCTGGAAGTTCAAATCTTTATCAATTGCTCTCTAGCGAATGCCAATCTCACGCGTCTATTTCTTCGCCTAATGAAAGGATTATTTCTGGCAGTTCGACCATGTAAATTATTATTTTCTACTCCCGTCTGTAAAATGCCTAATTACACACCGATCTAGCGTGCGGGAAGCGTCACTTTACCACGTCAGTATGCTACACGTTCGGTAAGAAAAATTAATTAATAAGAACTAAAAGTTCAGATTTTTACGAAATTATATATTTTCACATGACAATTGTTCTTGATAAAGACATGATGTCGAAACAATTGTCATGCGAAAATAATATAGCGACTGCATCATTTAAGCTGTGAGTCACTTAATTGTCATGGTGATGCAGAGACCAAAGTGACGTAGGAATTTAATTTTAATCCATGCAAGCTTTAGTAAAGTAAAAAGTCAGTCCTGTCGGTTCTATTATACTAAAAATTTCAAAACTGCAAAAATTAAAACCTTTGGAGTAGCATTTGAAACGGCTCGCCGAATTTAGAGGACAGTATACCTGTTAGTCGAGGCAACATTTTGGTGTGTGCAATATATTATTATATACTAAATTAGATAAAGTGTAGGCACAAATTTTGTAGTAAACACAAATGCCTAAAACTATTTTAGAATATGAACTTTATTTAACTACATTTGTTACCAAAAAAAATTAGAGCAGGCATAGAATATTTTTGAGATACGTATACTATATTTTTAACCATAAACTTAATGCGTTTTAAAACGAGAAATATTTGACTTTTAATTAAAATTTCTTTAAACTAAAATTCATAGTTACTTGTGATGGACTAGTATAAAGATCACCCTATAATCAATTTTTGTTCTAATTAAATCAATACTTGTGTAATTGTGCAATTATAAATAACTTATTTAATTTGAAGTAGTGAGTTACATTCCCATGAGAATGTAACGTGTTTCTCACTACCTTTACGCGCTTTTAAGCTGCCATGCACATCAGCATGTGATACATCTACAAACTCCATTTTGTAGATATGTTTAGGTAGCTCGTCAATAATTTCGAAATCAAAAATTTGTGTTGTTTTTTGGTATTTGTAAAAACTATCCACTAAATATTTTTCAATAGCGATTGTAAATCAAGTGAAACATTCGGTCAGATTAAAAAAAAAACTAATACATTTTTGGATTTTTTGTCAACGAACAAAAAATATTTTATTTTCCTGTAAAATTATTGAAAATCTTATATAGCATCTGGAAATTTAAAGGTTCACCTGATGGTTATTATTTTATTATTATTGTATATTTTCTGTTTGAATAATGTTTTATTTATTTAACATAAATAGAAACAAAAAAAATGGTTTAAAGGATCATCAACCCCAAGAATTTGTACTTACGCTTAGAGGGGTTCACGTCTTTTAAATTTTCCGCCTTAGTTCTTAATCTCTATATAAGTTACCATTTTTTGTTTCAGAATTTTTGAATACTTTCTGTTGTAGCACTTTTTTTGCTTGTTTATTTAAAGAGTTCTGTTTGTGCATACCATATTACATACTATAGTGTCCTAGGTCCAAAAAAATAAGTGCCGGTACTTGAGAGATATGGCGGCAACATCTTTACTTTTGAGTTCCTGAGATGCTACTAAATTTTAACAAAATATCATAAGCCGTCGCAGTGATCTTAACAAAAAAATTTTTTGGTTTTTAATTTTTTATCCGGTGCAGCGTACAATTTTTTTTCAAAAGTATTCATTTCGGATATATATATATATATATATATATATATATATATATATATATATATATATATATATATATATATATATCTGAAATTAAGACATATTGTTATTTGATATTAACTTCTGCTCTCTCAATCACTCAAGGATTCAGACGCTTAAGTATCGGAATAGAACTAGGAAAATAAGTATTCCATACTGGAATTTTATTTGGATCATCAGAGAAGCCCTGAAAAAGTCTGGGAATTTGTAAATGATTAGGAACGCCTCTATGGATCCTCCATTATGTAAATGAAATATATCTTAATCTTGGTGAATATTATGTTCGACATTTAGGCAAAATAAATTTCGTAGAATCGCCATATACAATATATGAAATAAAAGTGTGGAAATGATGGATGGTTGTGCAAATTGCCTTTTCATATTTGCGCGAGCGACATTGTAAACAATATTGTGCAAAAACCGTTTAAAGCTTCGATCAAACGGATAAACTAGTATATTATGATTTAATGTTGGAGACGGTATTTTTTCCTGGATGGAAAATAAACTAAAAGGCAAAGTTCATTTGACCCTTGCGTGTTCCAATGAAAAGCGATCGAAATCAGACTAAGCGGCGCCCCGTCCAAGTGGGCGAGAAACATCGATTCGAGTGGCAATTAGCGTTTTTAACTGCTTTTTGCTTTATTATATATTTATCGTATTGTTAAAGCCGTTTTGTTTGACAGAAAGTAATTTACTATCCTTGGACTGTGTAGGAAAATGTGGATGATTTTTCCGATGTTGTTTGTAATTTTTGTTATTGATTTCTGAAACAATGGAGGAAATACTTTTTATAAAACTTCTGGATTCCTCCTGTGTCTTTCTTAAACATTTAAACTCTTAGATATTCTTATCAGACCTAACATCGAGTCATTGTGTTTACAGAAAACGTACGCACACAGACCGATACCTTAATGCATTGTCACATCACCATCCGTCTCAAAAATCATCGGTTATCAACTCTCTTGTTTACAGAGCCGTAAAACTATCCCAGACCGAATCACTTCCTTACATTCAAAACATCACTTATCACATATCAAAACTAACCAAAACAGATTTACCACTTGTCCAAAAATCTCTCAACATCTTCGATCAAGTTCGTAGCGCTTAGCTCAAAGGAGCTTTTTATTATAAAAGGAAAGAGCTTCGTGGTTTCGTGTGGTAAAGGAACGCATTGTTTTTCTATCGTGTTCCTGCGGACCACTATGGAACTTTCGGAAAATCGATGTAATTTAATTGTGCATGCACCCTGTATAAAGTGTCCTTCACATCTCGTCGAACTTGAAAGTTACAGCAAACATCGGTAAATATTAAAATTTGCACAAATAATAGAGTTGTCGAATAATATTTTTTTAAACATCTCGCGTCCTGTATAATTGACAAAACCTGAAACTTTTTCACGAAATGGTTTACGATACTGTTTAAATAAAATTATCCCATCTTTAACGGTTTTTTATTTATCGCCAATAATTTACCCACAAAAACGGAAGTTTTTAGGATATTTTAGATTTTTTGCCCATAAACGACACACCCTGTATACGATACAATCATTGTTCGAAGTAGCCCTGGATTTTGCACGCGTCCTGGTTCAAGAATTTTGAAAATAGTAAATGGTTTTCCAGAAAAGTTTTTTCTGAAACCATGCAGTGCACCGCAATAATCAATGACGTCATCCCGTTTTGAGAGCCCCCGAAATAACGATTTCAATATGGATTTTTTCGAATATCCTGAGCAGAGTATGTGAAAACCGCAAATACAAAAATCGTAGCTCTTGATAACTAACCAAAAAACAGTCGAAAATCGCGAAAAAAAGATGGATACCGGCGTCGGATCAGCGCCATTTCTTATAAGCTTATGTGCCTCGTGGAGGATTAAAAAGGAGAGAAATTTCAATTTTGTAGCTCCAACGGTTTGAAAGTTATTCAGGAAAAACCAAAAGACGAGAACGGAGAGCTGAGACTGGACAAACAGACAACAAAAAAATTTTTTTTTCGACGGTGATCATTTCTGTACCAACGGCAATCCCATAGGACCTATCGTTATCGAGATATAAAGTTTTTATACTAGGGCAGATACTTTCGAAAAATTCGATTTCATCGATTTTCGAAAGTAACAAGATAAGTGGACAAACAAACCTACGATGCTATACAAAGACGCAAAATTACATTCTAATAGTATATTATGCAATAAGTTTGATCAGTGTCAGTTTAGTCACAAGTTTGATTTAGGGCAGCGGAACAAGTGACCGAACTTTATTAAAGTTTTGCATACTAAACTTTTTCTACGACCATTATTATGAATACATTTTAGTAAAACAGCACGAATACACATTCATATGGATCAGTGTATAATTGCTTATTTTAGAATACAGAGTAGAAAAATGATTTTTTTAATTAAAAATGAATTTTATAAATTTAATAAAAATGTTTATTGCAGGAAATAAACTTAACACAAAAAACACAACTAACATATTTCTTGTTTCGCAATTTGATTCTATTTCTACACAGGGTGATTCATTAATATGTAAGTATATCAGTAAAGAGTCATATTTTTAAGTAATTTGAGTTAAATCTTAATATTTTGAGCTCAGGACTCTACAGGTAAAATATTTTCAAACTTGTTTCATAATATTCTTTAGTAGTTTATTTAAAGTATTTTTCGAACTTTAAAAGCCATTTTTCCATATTAAACTGGGTTTCAAACTTGCTTCAGTAACATGCGACCTCGTACCGAATATGTTTGTAGAAAAAAAAATATAACCCACTTGAAGCTTTAAACTTGGTTTATATTAAAATGGAAAAGAATTTTACAAACTCAAAATCAAATGAAATGCGAAAAAAATATTTTACGCCGAAACTGTCTACCTCGTTTGCTAGAAAATCAACTTAAATGTGAGATCAGGCAGGTGTGCCACTGGATATTAAATCCCTTGGGAATGAAATTTGCTTTTCCATGGAACTCACATTAGAAATTTCGGAGGCAGGATGTGGTTTGGTATTTCGCTAATTGTAATTATTATTTTGTTTATTTTGTATGTATGGTTGTGTTTTTCTAATTTGTCTTCTAAAATAGATCTATCTAGTTCTTTTCCAAAATTATTGTCAGGAAAATTTACGTATTTTTTCTCTTCTTTACCAAATATTTTATAAATTCTAGCCTGAGAATGACAATACCGTGGTAATTTGTCTATGATTTACATAATACGCATTTGTTGAAACTTCGCTATCATCGTCCATTTTTGTCTGGTTGTACAATGAATCAATATTTAACTACCTACTACGTCTATCCATAATGGTGAATTATCTGTTAGTAGCAGAAACGCGTCGATGTGAAAATATTCTGAACAATTGCGAAATGGATATAATCCAGCACACTGCACTGCATGGCAAATAAACCGTGACGATATTTATCCCCGGTGCGGAAGTTACAAAATTAGTCGGAAATCGAAATTTCATCATCGTAGTAATAGACAGACAGACATTTGTGTGAAATTTTTGGAAAAGGACGAATCAAAGAAGAGCAGCGGTTCCAAGGCCTTTAAAAATCACAAAAATTTCACCCGAGTTGACTTTTAAAACAAATTTTACTTAAAAGCTGCCCCTGTTCGCCAGCTTATTCTCTTTCTCTTTGTCAGCTCCCTTAAGGATCGCGTGCGTAACTTCGAAATGGGGCAATTAATTTGCGGTTCAGACTGGCTGGCGTCTAACAAATGTTGATCTTCCAGATTAAATTATCGTTGTTACTCCAACACTCAGGCAAAAATAAACCAAAATTAATAATCTTGACTGTGCCATCGGCTTAGGTGTTAAATGAAACATAAGGTCTTCAAAAAAAAACTACCACAAACAGTTTTTTTTTAATCTAATTGTGTTCGGAAATCCCTACGTTGTTTTGTATACCTAGTAGCACGCTTAGGAATAATCGAAGCTGCCCTACATCATTGCGGGGTATTTGGTGTTATGATTATTTGCAAAAACGCTATTCTTATTTATTCAAGTACCAGTTCCCACGATATCAGAATAAGTGCGTATTATCAGGAAAATATTATATTGAAATACTTTATACTACTTCATAATACTGGCAAACACAGTAACTACTAGACTGGTATACATAGTTGTCCTGACATTAATGCATGAATAACTTACAAACTTGATTGAACTAGATTTTGTTACGTATTTAATCCTATTTTTCATTTTCATTATTTTGGATCGTGTTCTTTCTCGTTTCCTTACAAAAACGCACTACACAAATTACATATTACCTATTTTATGTCAATATGTTCCACCTAGGTAACAGAATTCTTCAAGATATATGTCAATGACTGAATAAGTCAAAGTCGAGAAATCAATTGCGCGGCATATAGCCCAATAAATACACAGCATTACACACCTGTCAAAATATCATAGCTATTCGATAATATAAGGGCTATAAATTTCTCTTCAGACAGCTGACCAAACCTAACCTATCAAAATGCTCAAAAATGCCACATGGAACCCGAAATCTGTCGAATTGACGAACTGTCAGTGGTATGTTGATTAATAAACGGTACATGGACTTATTGGTTGACATTGTAATTTAAAATGACAGATCTTGTTGGTTGAAAGCTAGTTTTGAAATATCTCACGCATGCCCATTTTGAATGTACATCATCAACATTTTTTGATGAACTCACACTTAGTGTTCTATTGCTGTATATACATTTTTGTCCGCAGGTAGGCCCACAGACCCGGATCAATCCGGCCCAAAGTTGCTGTTGGTATGTTACTCTGCGGCGAGTGCAACGGGTCGCCTTTATTGAGTTTACACTTGAACGCCGCGCTTTTGCACACTGAGGGCGGTTATCGGTCGCCCTACGGTTCATTGTTGGCGGTCGTGTGCACTATGGCCGCCCAAGTAACGGCGCCTGCGCCCGCGCAGCCCGACGATGATATTTTTCTCGGTAAAATGGGAGTTAAAATTATACCTACAAACTCGTAGCGTATCTCAATCCCGACTTCTTTGCATGGAACCGAACATTTGTGGCATTTGGAAAAAAAATAAGGGGACGCATATTATGGTATAAATTCCATAATTTTCAAAAACATTTACATATCTTTAAAAATGAAGTGTTGAACTTAAAAAATAAGCGTACTATGAATTATTATACCGAATGGAAGGTTGCAAATTTGGCTTCAATAATTTCTAGAAAGTTTTCGATTAGTTAACGCATAACAGAAATACGATGAGTTTGGACCAACTGAACTTTTAATTCATTGATGTTTCTAAAAGTCACTAAATAGAAGCACTTGTTTTACTACATCTATTTACTAGCAGAATTTCATTTCGTTATGTGTCTAACGTTTCAACATTTGCACGTCTTCCTTGAATCCGCACACACACTCAAAAATAAACACGCCGCTTTTTCGGGAAACAACACACATCACGGGAAAAGCGGCATTTTGAGCCTTTGAATTTGTGTCGCGATTCTCTTTTCAACCAGTGATGACCGATTTTTGAATTCTTTTTTTCGAATTTATTAGATTTCTAGGATCACTTTTTGAATTGTTTTATTAGTGCTGTGGGTCGATGCCACCTGATATGCCAATAAGATTAGAGCAATTTTAAGTTTCTTCCGAGTCCGGCTTTTGACAAATATATCTGTAATTTTTTAGAGAAACTTCCACACGCTGCTATAATACTTTTTATAAAACTTCTGGATTCCTCCTGCATCGGTTTTTGTTCAGTCGAACTAGCTAACGTTTCATCCTGTTGGCTTCTTCAGAGCTGGACTGAAACTGGCCTTTGAGAAGAAAGCTCTCGACACCTTCACACCTTCCATCTAAAACTAAAATTATGGAAACTCTACGTCGATGATACTTCCTATTATTTGGCGTGACGGTCACGAATCCCTAGTAGATTTTCTTAGACATTTAATTTCTATACACCCTAACATACGTTTTAACATTGAATTAGAAATTAATAACAACCTCCCATTCTTAGATATTCTTGTCAATACAAAATCAGACCCAACATTGGGTCGTTGTGTTTACAGAAAACCTCAATTTATTGTCACATCACCATCCGGCACAAAAATCATCGGTTATCAACGTTCTTGTCTACAGAGCCGTAAAACTATCTCAGCCCGAGTCATTGAACCCAGAATTAAAACACCTTACCTCTGCTCTTCTCTCTAATAATTTCCACATTAAAGATATTAAGCGTTCCATCACAAAATACAATTCACCACAACCTTCCAATAAGAATGAAGCCGAAATCAATCCCACACCTGCCACTGTTGTCCTTCCTTACATTCAAAACATCACTGACCACATATCAAAAGTTCTAAATAAATATAACATTCAATTCACCACAACCTTCCAAAGGCAATAAATCCGAAATCAATCCCACACCTGCCACTGTTCTCCTTCCTTACATTCAAAATATCACTGACCACATATCAAAAGTTCTAAATAAATATAACGTTAAATTCACCACAACCTTCCAATAGCAATAAAGCCGAAATCAATCCCACACCTGCCACTGTTGTCCTTGCTTACTTTCAAAACATCACTGACCACATATCAAAACTTCTAAATAAATATAACGTTCAATTCACCACAACCTTCCAAAGGCAATAAATCCGAAATCAATCCCACACCTGCCACTGTTCTCCTTCCTTATATTCAAAACATCATTGACCACATATCAAAAGTTCTAAATAAATATAACGTCAAAACCGGATTTACCACTTGTTTAAATCTTCGACCCGTCAAAGACAAAATTCTATTGAGATGCCAGGAGCATTCTTATATATAATCAGTTCTTCTACCAACGAAAAATCCGAGAGTCGGGAATCAGTCATCCGAGACGGTGTTTTGCCCATAATTTAGCTCCGCCCTCCTCAAACAATATAAAAGCAGGTAGTGAGTAAGTTAAGCTCTGAAGAAGCCAACAGGATGATTGGCGAAACATTAGCTATTTCGACTCAACAAAAACCGACCCAGGAGGAAGCCAGAAAGTTTATAAAAAGTAAACCTATAAAAAGTGACTAAAAAATGACTAGTTTATTTGATCGAAACTGTATCGGAATCTTCAATGTTGACGATCAGCTAACCAATTTTTTTTTCTGGATTTTTTTTGCCTTAGCCAAACTTCCTCTCAAGCTGCAAGGTTATGTTGTAGAACATGTCCGTTCCTCTAAGTCATTTAAAGTTATTCGAATATTTTGTTAAAGCTCCGGATATTTTTTGGGGCAACTCCAAAAAAGGTTCCATTGTACTAGACTGACAAAATTGAATTCATGAATTTGTTAATATGTTAATTGTAGCAATTCTCGTTGATCCTTGTCGTTGTTCCTATCCCGCGAGTAGACTCAAAATAATTGTTGAGAACTCTTAAGCAAGTAGACTAATTATTTTAAATCTTGGGAACATTGTAGCGGAGACCAGTGAATCACCTATAAAAATTACTGCTATATTGTTATTCTAGAGCTCTAGGTTATTGATATCTTAGCTTAGAGTATTAGGAGTTCAACCTTAATTTGCACAAGTATAAATAAAAATTCTTTAATGCTGTAAATCGTCTACTTTTGTTCTTGTACTTAATTATTCAAAATCTGGTTTTAAAGTGCATTGACATTTTGTCTGCTCAATCCTACGTTCTACCAGGGGTCGTCATGAAGTTTCTTAATTTTTTTAGCTGAATTTTAAAAATAATATTTTTCTATCTTTTTTATGTCCGTATTCGAAACATACGTTAGAGGCCCAGCTCAAGAAATTCAAATAAGTTTGAATCGGACAGCGAGGAAACTTTTCTAGTAGATTACTTTGTATATCACAATATCTCATTTTCCGAGCGCTCATTCCATTACAAATTCTATGAATTCTAAGGGGCCGTTACGGCATTTTCAGAAAATGGCCTTCTAAGCTACGAGAATCCGAACTACCGCTTAGGACCGTCGAATCGCCTGGACGACGCCCTCAACTCCAACACAGACAGCATCTACGAAGACATTTACCAGGAATTGGACGATATCTGCAACATGGGTCGCACGGGAGCCAAAGCCGCCATTAACGGCGGTTCGGCAAGGAAATCTTACGCTAGCTTGGATGTAGAATCGATGGGAGTCGATTTAACGGCTGGACCGTTGGCACAAAGCAACGTTGTAGATAATAGAAGGTGTGCAAAATTACCACCAAATGAACATGAATCAGTTTATTGGTCGTTTTCATTTGGTTATGGAAATGATTAGACAAAGTCGTTCAGTCACATTCACTGTTAACTTGTCACTCGGAAAATAAGTTCATTTGAAAAAAAAAGAGCGGATTTATACGGACTCCTAATATGTTTCCGTAAAGGACACTAATTAAACTTACATTTTAAGAAACGACTTTTTTAATATCGCGTTTTTTCGCCTTTTTTGTGACACCCGTATAATCGTGAATATTGTCTGCCAATTCAATGTGATCTATATAAACTTAAAATTCTAAATATCTTTGGAATGATGGAAAACGATATGATATTGCCTATACATTTTTTGAAATTCAAAAATTCGGACACCAGAAGACAAAACACACAAAAATAATAAAAAATACACTTAATAATTTCAAGAAGACGTCACTTCCTATGAACCGACAACCTCTAACCAGCTAACTGAAAGCAACGAAAGCTAACAAAATAAGATAAAGAATAATAAAAAAATAAAGTAACAAATTGAGTGAGTAACCGTATTTAACGAAACGTTTTCGAGACAGAAAAAGAATTTTTGCGAAGTGGCAAAGTTTCAGTTCGCTATTTTCTATTCCAAAAACATAAAGAATGAACAAGAAATATATACCTAAGTGAGTGAATAAAGTGAGTAAAATCAATGCACCTCAGACTTCCATGGCATTTTCATACACAGGGAAAAAGTGATCACGACTTAACTGAGAAGGTGGTGCCGCAAAATGCCACATCCAATTTTAAAATTGCGGAATTAACGAAGTGCAAACTGCCATGTTGAATGTTAAACGCTGGAAGGTGTCATTAGTTGAAAGCGAATTGTGAAATCCCACTCGCGCATGCTCATATCGAATATCTCTTCCCAAAATTTCTTTATGTTCGTTTCAGAGGTGATTGTATTACCATCATAGGCAATCACCTTATATGTAATCGCCATATTAAGCCGACTGACTAATTAAATAACTATATTATATCTTCGTTTACAAGATATAAGCAATTTTAATCTCCATATACAAGGAATACAAGGCGTTTTTTTAATTGGGCAATTATGATGTATGTATTTGAATTTAATTAGATAAAGCGTGCAGAATATTTCGAACGTAAGGTTTTGTAAGGTTTTCAAATTTATTTCGATATTATTATTACTTAAAATTAGACATAATATATGTTATGCTGGCTTTTCAACAGTTTTTATTTTTGTCTTTAATATGTGAAAAACTTCCCTGATTGACATTGCAAAAAATGGAAACAAACTTCGAGACTTTTTATTAAGGGGGTACAATTTTCCTTTCGGTTCCTGAATGAGCGACGGAGTGGCGATATCTCTAAAATCATTTCCGATTCCTTTACGTGTCAAGCAAACGCATCTTCACCTCATCTTAAAGTCTAATCACCTCTCAACATGATAATTAAAATTCGTGGCAATTAACAACGTTCTGCACGTTAAATCTAATTAAGTTATGAACCTTTCGTTTCGCTTTTCCGTGCGTAGGAATTCATCAAGTATTTGTTTGCAGGAACGCGGAATGGAACGGCAATGGTTTAATAAGGGACAAAAATAACACTACGACCATTTGGGACAAGTACGTAACGCCCAAAATTCGTAGTTCTTAGTACAGCAGCATGGCGCGTTCAATTTGCTGCACATAGCATAAATTGCCGAAATGCTACTGTACCTATTATCTAGTATCTTGAAACAACAAAAATTCAAATGCACATTCATTTTATTTTTGCAGTTTATGTGAAAATATGGCCAAGGAAAACGGCGACCTAGTTCCTCACATAATGGGAAACTTAACAAACGACTTGTACGCGGTTCCCGTAAAACGGAGCAATAAAAAATCAAATTCCTCGCCGGAAAAGTGTAATAAAATCTCGTCGCTGTCTCCGGATCACGACTGGGATAATCAAAGCGACTTGCCACCCGGCTGGGAAAAACACGAAGGTATGAAAATTAACTTTATATTTTCGCCACACTTTTTGCAAAACATGTCCTCTTAGATAATGATGGTCCATATTATTGGCACATAAAGAGTGGAACCATTCAAAGGGAACTGCCTCTTTTCGACCTGGACAAAGAAAAGTCAGATACCAAATTGGGATTTAAAGAGAGTGACTTAATAAGTTCGTTCGAAACCGCCATGACTGTAACTCGCAGCAACACTAGCTCCGCATTGGATCTGGAAACGGACGATAGAAAAAGAAGGGACGACATGGCATTCAAGTAAGATGAGAGTTGTTTCTATTTAACACAACAGGTTGCATTTATCTAGACATTCTAGAAGAAGAAGTTTCCCTTCGAAGCCAGATCAAGAGGTTAGAGAACGACCAATTAGATTCGCAGTTAGATCTTTAGGTTGGGTTGAAATTGCTGAAGAAGATTTGACTCCCGAAAGAAGTAGCAAAGCTGTTAATAAATGTATAGTGGATTTGTCTTTAGGGAAGAATGATCTGTTGGATGTAGTAGGAAGATGGGGTGATGTGAGTGATATTTCTCATTTCCAGTACATTTTATACTCGAATCGTCAAAAAATGTATTTAGTCATTGCGGCGGTTTCCATTAACCCATTTAAAAATGACAATATACAAACCAAAAAAAATTTAATTGGATATTATGTGGTAGATAGATTTCATAATTAATGGGTTTCAGGGTAAAGACTTGTTCATGGATTTGGATGAAGGAGCGTTAAAGCTTTTCGATCCAGAAAACTTGACGGTTCTTAATACGCAACCAATTCACACCATTAGGGTATGGGGTGTTGGTAGAGATAATGGGAGGTGAGACAATCTTAATTTGTAACTTTTTAATAGTATAACTATTTATCATTAGATTTAGAGATTGCTTGTATTTACGTATTTTTGTTTTGACGCTGCCTGACTGTTTTAGAGAAAGGTAGGTTATAGTGTTACAAGTTAATTTGATATTAGATATGCTCAAGTGACTACTATTTCCCAGACTGGATATGATTTTTCAAATGTGAACTAGTTTAGAATTAATAAATTCCCTTTAGAAGGTTTATTAGCATTAGTTTACAAGTGTTTATACCTGTTGAAATTAATATTGTAGTTTTTGGAGGAAATCCAAATCTTCAATTCTGATTACTACGATTTCATTCTGAGTATTTTTTTGCCTATGTACGTTAAATAATATTTTTTCTATAAAACCTCCCAGATATGAGCCTCTAAAGAACACCACTGCAAATTGATTTTTTTCCACAATTTTTGTAATGCTAAGCGCTAAGAATTAAAAAAGAACTTTTTGCGTAGTTTGAGCATTTAATTACAAAAATGTATACTTCTATAATATCGAAAAAATCAATTATATTTACAAAGGAATTAATGTTTACTTAGAAAATAATCAGAGTAAGTTGAACACACATTATTTAATTGAAGCAAGTTTAAGTCAAATTTTTTCAACAAAAAACTACAATTTATAGTAGCGTCCTATTTGGAGGATCAGTAGGAAAAAATTATAGGAACTTTTTTTTCTTTATCTTAAATAAGTTATTCAAACACTGCGACAACATGAGTGTTTTTGGGAATTGACAATTGAATTAAGATGGTTGTTTTGATGATATTTAATTTTAATTTCGAAATAGCGAAATAGAGATGGGTATAAAAAAAATCGAAAACTTGATTGACATAATGTAGGGAGGTGCTATTTCAAACCTTTTTTATGTCCCGAACTTCTGATAGACCTTGGAAGACATTTTTCACTAAATAAATAGTTTTTAACATAATAAAATAACATATACATTTGCAAGTAGGGATTTTGCATACGTTGCTCGCGATCGTACGACAAAAAAGCACATGTGTCACGTGTTCCGATGCGATATGCCCGCCCGCACCATTGCAAACACGCTTCGAGACATATGCAAAAAAATCATGATAGAACGCAGTCTTCAGCAAAACTTGGGCAAAACTGCGATGGATGCTAGTGGGCGCAGTCTAGCGGCGAGACCTTGTAACCTGCCCATGGAACACCGAAGGCCAACCCGAAACAGTCAAATTTTTATATGTAAGTTATTTCGCGTCATTCTAATCATTTCCGTATACAAATTTTTCGAGTGTAGCCCAGTCGTTTCCGACACCGATGGAAGAGCCAAAAAAGGTGCTTCGAGCTCAGTACTTGGGTTGCTGTCAAGTGAATCAAGCCACCGGAATGGATGTATTAAACGACGCGATTGATCGGTTAGCGACTGGTATTCCTCAAGATAAATGGCAGTCGGTTAATATATCAATTGCACCTTCAATGATATCTGTCCACCATCCAACAGTGGGTAAAAAGGTTATTTTATAAACCTGTATTGTAATTATGATGTTTTAGGATGACAGACTTTTGGCGGAATGTAGAGTAAGATATCTATCATTCTTAGGAATAGGTAAAAATATCAAACACTGTGCTTTCATAATGCACACCGCCCAAGACACATTTATGGCTCACATATTTTACTGCGAGCCATCGTCCGGAGCCTTATGCAAAACCATCGAAGCAGCATGTAAAGTGAGTTAACCTCAAGTAGTATTATACACAGCTACTAGAGCAAAAGGGTTTTTGCTTTCAGTTAAGGTATCAGAAATGTTTAGATGCCCATCCCCAAGGCGTAGGAAGTAGCAATAGTAATTTGAGCACTCCCAGCAGCAGTATTGGAGCGGCACTCAAGTCTATAGTAGGATCGCTGAGGGGCAGAAAAAGTAAGAGCGCGGATTCTTGAGAAGATTGATACAATTTGCAGGTAAATACAACCACAGGCCGAATTATATCATTTATATGAGGAATCTCAGTATAAGGTTCTCAATATAATCCATTATATTTTTACTGCAAAATTGATTTTATGAAATAAAATATCCATCTGCTCAATTGAGTTTTTCAAAATTACCGAATTTTCCATGAACTGTTAATTAATGTTGTGTTCTATATAGATTATACCAAATTTGTTCACACAGAATAGTCCTATTTTTTTTTGTAAAAATTATTACATGATTTGAAGAGACTGAAAAAAACTGGAACTACATGACAGGTTAGCTCCTCCAAGGTTTAGACATACAATTAATTATTATTATTATTAATATAATTATTCAGTAGTTAATTGCATTTAAAGTTGTAATCCAGTATCTAGCAGTCACTGTTTATTTGTAGCCACTTAAGGGGATAAAAATTTCTCTCCAAAGGAATCCGGATCCCCTGTAGTGTGTGAAACTATCCGTCGCAAGCAATTGTAGGATTTGCGGAAACATTTACAGCAAGCCTTTCTAGTGATGTTCTCTGAAGGACAGAAACGACGAAAAAATCAAATTTAACTAATCAACACATTGTCCATTTATATATAAATACCGCCACGCTTGCTAACGTTTGACCGCATTTGATTTACAGAAACGTTTTAAAATAACTTAGTTTTGCTGACTCATTAAAAGTGTTATTAAGTTGTCCTTTTTATTGTGGTACAAAATGACGGTTTGCTATACTAGTTAGTTGCTCAGGTAGTACTATATTTGTAATCAAATGCAGTCAACTTGATTTTTCGTGAAGCTTTGCACTATTCACTTCACAGGGTATGTGTTTATGAACGATTTCTAAAAAATTGTATGACTGATGTTGCTAGTAGGGCACACAAAAGTGTGCTCCTGAACTTTTGAGATAGGTAATTTCTATTTTGATGTATTCTAAACTTCTCCTAAGTGCTTCTTGTAAATTACCAGAATTTAACGTGTTATTTCGGTGTTTACAGTAAGTAGTTGTTTTTTAGAATTTCAAATGTCCAATTTCCTTATTTATTTACCGCCTTATACTTTCGGAAATTAATAAATTTATATCATATCAAGAAAAAAAGTTGCATAGGTTGTTATAATTAGAATATACTGTATAATAATTCCAAGTCATTATGTACCAGAAAGCATTTGATCTGCCGAATGAGGATTAAACCAATTTCCAATGCCGATCACTTTGTGTATATTAGTCTAAGTTTCTAGAATAAGGGCGTGGATTCTTTGAGGGTAATTACTCATAAAAATAAGGTTACACAATCACTCTTTAGAATACTATTAAGCAAAAACTGAAATTAGCAAAAATCTTCAATTTTTCTATACTAATAACAAACCCTATCATATTATATTTTCTTTTCAATTCTTCCGAAAAATTTTACACATATTATTTCATGCCTAGAAAATCAAAATACATTTAATATTACCGATCATAAATGGCAAGAAGCAAAATTTATGTTTTTCTTATAGCAAAACGCTAATAAAATTTAATATTTTTAGTATTTAATTTATCGAGTGACAAAGGGACTAAAGGATTGCTGCTGCTGCTTATATATGGTGTTTCAGTTTTTTGTCGCATAATTATGACAGTTAATAGACTTTATGCCATAAAACGAGTGGTTATCAAGAAATTAAAGTGTGCATAGAATTTTCTCTTTTTCTCCATTAAATCTAAATGATAATGGCACAAAATTAGGTCTATTCTAATTGCGGAAACTAACTAAACAAATTTTGGGCCATTATGTCGCACCATTTAGACAGAATGGGGAAAAGAGAATATTAAGTGCACACTAACCCTAATTAAACGTTTTTTGACCTGTATTTTGCATCAATTTATTAAGTGAAACATTCTGTATATATCTAGGAGTTTTGTTCGTTTTGAAAATATTTTTTTCGGTTTGCCCCTACATATTATAAATTATAATTTTTCTACAACATATAGATTTCTTGAATGAGAGCGATACATAATTTGATTGCACTATGAACATTTTATTTATTTTTTTACAGTTTTTTTGGTTTAGTTTTAATATGTACTGCGCCCGGCTATTTCTAGTATAAGAAACCTAGTGTAAATGAATAATCTAGGTACACTTGTTAACCCAATGTTTTTGTTTTTTATCAAAAAGTTAAAATCGACTTGTATCAATACTCGACATACTAGACTAATACACAAATAAATACAACTTATTCGTGCTTGCAAAAAACCTGTCGCAAATTCGTAAAGTTTCTATGGTATTATGCTTGCTTGTAAATTAACAAATAATTATATAACGTAATTGTTCAAAATACATAGCACCAAGGATACTGTGAACAATAACTGTATGTTTATAATTGATGGTTATGTAAATAATTTTAAGGAAATGCTATCAAGACTGCTTGAAAGTCCTTTATATAATGTGCTTAGTGAAGGCAACCAAATTAAATAATTTTTTTAAAAGAGTTTTTTTTTTCATTAGAAACGATTTCGTATTTCGTACTGGTATGCGGTATAATATTTTTTGAGCATCCTTAATTGACTTTTTTTACCTTTTTACATAACTCTAAATTCATTTTAATAAAATAAATATTTTTGTTTATTTGCTATGTTCTATTTTGTGTATAAAATAATTCTAAATTAACCACTGAAAAAAAGATTGTAAAGTGACAAGTTATTTTATTATCAAAAAGCATATCACAAATTCAATAAACACTTGCGGCATTCCATTTGAACTACTGGATCCGATACATTTGCCAGAATTTTTAAGATATTGTTAATTTTATTTTCTCGACTAGATCGTTTTCTGAATTGCAACAGATTTGCTGCCAAAATGTAATTAGGAAGGCAGGGTTTAATATGGATCAAATGGGAAATGAAATCCACTGATTCAATTTGATTATAAGGGACCAAACTAAAAAATCGTCGAAATACTGTGCTAACAAAAGATATCACATGAAGTTGATAAGTTTCCGCAAGTTTATCCATCAAACTGTTTACTTTCAAGGTAAAATTTTCCAAGGAAAATTTATCCTCCTGGTAAATTATCATAAGCTTTAAAAGCAGAAGCTCTGTGAAAGATTCCGTATCGGTAAATTGTTGTTCCCAAAATTGTTTAAACAATAAAATAAATTTGACATTTTCGCATTCATACATCCCGCTGTAGATATTATCAAAAAAATTAAACACTCTTCGAATTCCTGTAGAATCCCAACGTTTCTTTTTAATTTCGCCAAGAATTTCAAATATAAAGATGAAATATTTCTCTTCAGGATAAACTTGTAAATATTTTGCTACAATTAGATTTAATTTGTCACCCAGCAGACCATCTTCGAGAAAATATTTTTGAATTATAGAATTGCAAAATGTTACACTTATCCTCGGCAAAATCGTTAACATTGTATCCAATAGTGAGGCTTGATACAGCTCGACCTTAGTATCCTTTCTTCTGAGTACCTCAAAAAAGTACCAAACTTTTTCTACATACAATGGTAAGTATTTTTTTGGAATTTTTGGTTTTGAAGAAATCATTTCTAATATTTCAGAGTCATTTTCATTAATTTTACATAGGTTGAGGATTAAAAAATCAAAGATGTCATCAGACGTATTTTTTACAAAATATTTAAATAAAGATGAAAATCCATACTTGAAATTCGAAGCATTTTCTTCTATTGCCAAGTTCTGAAATATTTCTTGCACTTTCGGAACTGGTAAGAGTTCGGCACTGAGAAACAAAGCATGCTTTCTCACTGACACTGCTCCATTTGCTAAAATGGTGATGTGCCCGGAAAGCTCATTTTCAGGAATTCTGTACATGAAACTATACAAACTTGGCAGGCTGGATTGTAAATAATCACCCTGACAAAAGTTCATCAGGAAAGAAATAAACTTACAGGGCTCTGCAGCTTTTCTTATCTCTTTGACAATATCACATCGAATCTTATACATGTCTTTCTGAGTTTTGTCTGTTATATCTAGTTTAGAAGACTGAGGTATGTAGAGTTCCACATATTTCAAAAAGTCTTCTGCGGGCATAAGAATCAACAATGCGGTAATAACATCGGCTTTATCTAAATCCAGTCGTGTTTTAATATTATTTATTAGCCTCGCGTCCAAATTTAAATGGCTATATTTTTTTATTACAGCAACTTTGTCAAACAGCACATCACGAAAACAAAGAGCCATAATAGCGTCATAGTACTTGACAATAATTTGGGGTTCATTTTGAAGAAAAAACTGTACCACAGATTTTGTTAGCCCTGAAGCGTTACACTTTGATAACATGGAATTTGAAAAATAAAACTTGACTAACTCATCTTCAAAGGGATTTCTATTTTGTTTTTTTATCATGCAAGATATTGTCTGACAAACTGGAAAACCTTTCTTAGTTAAACTTACAGTTATCAGTATTTTTAAAAGCTCTTCACTGGGAGGTAAATTAAATGGATTTTGTGCATCTTGTTGATTATACTTCAATACATTACTTATAAACTCAGCTTCTCCCTCGATAAAATTTTGGTCCAAGGTTACAAATACTCGATGGACCATGTCAATTAAAACAGGAAATTTTGACGCCTGCACAAAATGTGATGATTTACCATTATGCTCAACAATTTCATTTAATAATTCCAGAACAAGGACATATTTATCAGACATGTGAAGCAATATTTCGGCAATATCCTCCAAAATTTGTTTTTTTATAAAGTCATCTTCTGACTCGATAATTAAAGATCTTTTATATGTAAATACATCTTCTACATATTGTTGGAGCACCTGTCGTTGAGGATTACCATTCCTATACAAATATTCCAAGTGTCGGTAAAATAAATAAAAATTTGTTTTGAACCCCGGTTCTTCTCTTATTCTGTGAAGTTCAAGCAATTCAAGTATATACTTCCAATGCTGGGAATTTAGTGCTTTGTGGTCAATAGTATCTTTTATTAAGCAAAGCAAATTGAATCTAACAGCATGTTCTTCATTGCGATGACGAAAGCAAATGTATTTCAATACATTCTCCAATGACTCCCAATCCTTCGATTCTGAGCAGACGTCTATTAGTAAATACAATAATCTATATCGAACTTGTAAAATAGATGTCAAATTTATTTTTTCCTTAAGAATTGGAATTGATTTTTTAGCTTCCATATATTTAGTGAGGCCTATGTCATCAGATTTTGAATACATTTTTTCTGCCCACTCTTGCACCACACTTAGTGGGGCATATTTTAAAACATATCTATTAATGGCTGTCAAATGTTCAGTGACAGTGGAGAGATATATTTCCATGAAAGTTTGAGCAAATAATTTCCATTGGCGAACTTGGGGATAACATTTTATCAAAGGACTTATGTCACCTTCAAAACAGCTGTTAAGATCTTCAATGCGTTCAGGAAAAAAGCTTACAAGTAATTTGTCAAACCCTTTGATAGTTCGAACCGCCATGGATTTATGTAAGCTAGGCAGAACTTTTTTTAAATCAGCAACAATTTCTTTTTCGTTGGTTTTTATTAGACGTTTAGTTATCCGTTTTCCAAGTTGTGGCATTGTATTGAGCTCTTTGCTTAACTTTAAAGCTAAGTTAGGATTGGTTTGAAATATATAAACAAACAAATGTTCATCATAATAGCTTTTCCCAAAGTTTTTGTGATACTCTTGGCAATACAATAGAAAAGTTTCTGGGTCTCTATTGTAAATTATTTCAACCTGAGTTGAATTTAAATCAACCTCAGTATGTTTAATGAAACACTGAATTTTTTGCAAAGAACATCTAGCAAGGAATTTTGTTGCAACAAAATGACCATACCTACAAAACAAGTTTTCCTTTTAATTCCGAATATGGCAACAGCAGTTTTGTTATACCTCTTCAATATTAAATCAAAAACCTTGTCCAATTGTTGGTCATCCAGGATCCTGGATAGTCTATTTAAGACTTTCATCCGTAATGAATAAGAATAAGTTGGTAATATTTCATTGACAAGCATATCTTCATTAACATTTTTGAATAAATCTTTGAAGAACCATGGTTCTTTTATAATTTTGCTAACAAAGATGTCATTACCATTTTTGAAGACCTTGAGAAGAGGATTAGTTCTTCGAAAGTATATTAAGGCTTCAACATAAAATAACTCTTCCAGAAAATTTCTAGGTTGTATATCAAGTTGATAGTCGCTAATATTAAAATCAGTTGACTTTAAAAGTTTGAAGAAATTTTTACGCCTCTCTTTCAGTGCATCACCCTGTAGTTGATAAAAATTGGATTTAAATGTATCTCCTTCCATTATTATGTTACCTAAAATTTTAAAATAGTTGAATGAAATTCGATAGATAAAAATAAAGCTTTTCTAATAAAAAAAAAATTGCCATAAAAATATCAGTAGAAATAAACAAGCATTTTCAAATGGAAAAATACATATGCAATAAAACAAAAGTTTAGAGCAGCTAAAAATCGTAATTATACTTACGCCAATATACAACATGAAAGATAAAAAAAACTTTTCCTAAAGTTCAAATAAATTTAATTCTATAATTCAATTCTCAGAAAAAATATAGAAATGAATTATAACCATAGAAAAGGTGATTCTAGTTTCTTGCAGTGTCTAGCAAGATATATAGGCCAATCTTGATGGCCAAAAACAATGAGGCTGTTTGCCGTAATCATTCGTTCAATACCGATTTCGGCAGAAATTTAAGTGTGTGAAAAGTATTAACAACACTTACTGAGTGTTGCCATGAACAATTATTCCTTGTGTTCGCATTTTTTTTTACCAGAAAGACACATGTAATATTAAACACGTTTTGTGCAATTAAGAGGCTCATCCTTGATGATGAGAAAAAGCTCAGAAATGATAGAAAATCGGCATCGTAAGCAAATAAACAAATAATTGGTTACTGTCACTCGTTTTCAAATGAATTCACTCGAAATACAATTTGTCAGTTATTTAGATTTTGTGATTTTCATTTTTCTATGCCCATATTTGATTCTATGATTTGTTTACCGTAAGATCGGGTCAAGAAAATTGTCAAAATTAAAAATTTTTAAGAAACGTATTTTTTTACCTCTATCCAGAAGTCGGAAATTAGAAATTTTTACAAGATTTCAAATGTTTTTGTTTCAGAAATTTGAATCTGTTCTTAATTTACATTAGCCATGACATTTTAACTGACCTTTTGATTTTTGGTGCAAAAAGTAAAATAATCTTTTTGTCTCCATGGATTTATTGCCGGAACCGGGTGGAGTAGAAGGTACTGTTGAGTTTAAAACTAGTTCCTTCTATTATGGTGTATATACACCGAATGACAACATCGATGGCCAGCCCAATGTATTTGAAGATAAAGAGTCTGCCTTGAAATTAGCCAAGAAAAATAAAAAATCCAGATTTAAGGCCTTTCAGTTCTATCATGAAGCCGCCGAATTTTCCCTTAATGGTTATGAATATCCTAACAACAATACTACAGTCAATGGCATATTGTTTGAAAAGAAAGATAATGTAACTGTGGGTGAAAAGGCAAGTCCCTTTAGAGGCCCTAGACCACAAGAACTGACTGAATTACGACGAGCAATTGAAAGTGGCAATATTAATGTGGTTAAGTTTGCGATATGGGATAATCCTAGATTGCTTGTTAGTAGTGGAGATACTCCTTCTATTCTGCAGGTTTTTATATCTATTATTATGTTATATTATACCATTTTAGTTTTGAGTTTTGTTTTGATATTTTATCAATTGTAAAAGAAATATCAAGCTAATTTTACATTATGAAATGTTCTTCAATTTTAGGAAGGAGCTAGATTAAATGCTCTCCATGTCGCAGCGAGAATGAGGAGCACAGCCATGACTGAAATTATTTTAAATACTGTAACTGATCCAGAATTTATTAAAAGGCTTTATGGAGATGACAATCAACAAAATGCTGTGGAAAGATGTAAAATTCTTTTAGATTTATACTTGAATACCCCAAATAAAGGCTTCCATGAAACTCCCTTGCATATAGCTTCCAAGTGGGGTGCAGTAGAGGTGTTAGAAATCTTGGTATCTTACCCAGAATGTAATCTAGATTTGAAAAATAAATATGGCAAAACAGCAGAGGAGGTATGCATATATATATATGTGCAGTGCACATGGTAACTGGTCTATGTTTTTTAAAGCTTATCTGTGAGAGACTTGAAGGTCGTTGTGACAATAATGTAAAAGAAGACATAAAAAGGAAAATTGCAATGTTACTAAGTGGTAGCTACTATGTCCCTGTCCTGCGCACCGAAGATAACACTTTGCCGCCAGTGATAGGGGAACCATTTTCTCCAACAACTCCACCTGTAGGTCAAAGTAATTATTAAAAATATGTTTACTTACTTTGCATATATGTTTCAGTTGTTAAATAAGGACCCCTTAAGACCTAGAATGGAAATTCACGCGTTTGCGGGACCCATGGATAAAAAGGGAGCAGATAAATTCAGAAAAATATGGAAAACTCCTCCTCGTTCAAATTTTAGCAGTCCTGGGTTGAAATCGCCAATTAATCACGAGATGGTTTCATTAAAGGTGAAAGATCTGAACAAAGGGCTGGAAAGAATTGGAAAACAAATTGCTCAAGATCTGAACATTGCTTGGAAGGAGTACTGGTATTTTTTGGATAGTTTTGTGGATATAGCATCTGAAGAGGGCCTAACTCTACTGGAAAAATACCTTTCTGTCAAGCAAGATGAGTTGCATGAGTCTTTAAAACTGTCTCCTGTAACATCTAAAACTGAGATACTAGTGAGTCCAATATCCAACTTATGTGCCGCTTTTTCGGCTTGCAAATTGAATGATTCGAGTGACATACTAGATGAGTCAAGCAAGAAAATGGACTTCGATCCTTTATTTTACGTAGACAAAGCCAGTCATGTGTTCTCAACTCGCATTTTAAACAACATTTCATTTGCTTTGTGTTGCAAGGAAGAGGAGTATGATAATGCTTTAAAAACATTGGAAACTGACATCAAACAATTGGAACTGCTAATGAATAGTTACATGAGTGACCATAGGTTTTCAAATAGTATTAATTTTCAGAAAATTCATCCAAGAGTGGGCGATCAAGTTGGACATAAATTATATTTGAATGTGAAAGATACAGATGGGTCAATTCTGGTTTATAAAATTGAGGACATAGCTGAAAGTGTTGTGAAGATGTTAGATTGTTTTTCGTCAGATGATGAAGGACAATGTCATGGTCAAGTCATGGAAAATAAACCTACCACCTATAGGCGGCAATTGATTTGTTTACTGAGCAGTATAACTAGTGTGTTATCTCAATATTTATCACAAAATAATAATGAACAAGAGGAGAATAACATAAAACATATATGGGACCATTTGGAAGAATGTTCTTGCATCTATCACACTAAGAAACCAAAAAAGAACACTTTATCAAGAAGCAATAGCTGCAAAAACCAGTCTAGGAACATGCCTAAGAACGATTTGCAGATAGTTTCTAAGAAACTATTTTTTACCGAAGATGAGCTAGGTAATATTTTTTGTGATTTTTTGCTGTCACAATTTTTTTTTCTTAAATAAAATACAACAATACAATTCCCTTATTCAAAACTACAGAGGTTGAGGTTCTTTGAGATATATTCTTAAAAGCATCCACACAGAGTTACTGTATCATTACCAAAGCAATAGATATTATTTTTGCCACTTGCAGACAAGGCAACTTTAATATACATCATTAAACATTGTAATATTCTATATTTTCAGTCATTGCGATGTCATTTTGTTTCTAGACATTAATAACGATAATAACGGTTTTTACTTAAATGAAAATTTTGATCCTGAGTCATCAGAAGAGGAATTTTATACAGCTCCTAATTCACCAAGCATGTTAACAGAGTGCAACTCTGACTCAGAAGATGATTTCAACGATACTGAATTGCCGACGCAGGAACTTTACTTGGAAGGGTAGGTAGCTTAATATAATAATAATGTAATATTTATGATAAATTTTGTTTTTAGTGATTATCCAACACAAACCGACTGCGCCGTTTACAATGCTTTAAGATCTGCCCAATGTGATATTGATAAGAAAAAGTACCCGAACACATATAGGTGGCATCACCATATTAATTTGTTTTCAGATTCGGAACGACTTAGGTAATATTTTTTGTACAAGTACAGTTTCTAGTATCTATCACTACTTTTTTTTCCTCTATTTTAGTTGGCCAAACCCGCGAAATTCTAAATCACCCACGCACCTATCTTTGGTGAAGTCGCCAGACTCTAGCAAATCAATACCAAACACCAGCACTCCAACGAAGCCTTCCTGGTTGAGGGTTACTGGAGCCAATTCTCCAAGGGCTGCTTTTAACAGGCACGAGTCCCACTAGTTAGAAATTCTTATGTAGTTTTTTTAAGATGTCAAATACATACTATGCAACCAGAGAAAGGAAGTCTTATGACCAACCAATAGTGTGTTTACTAATAATTTCGACTGCATTTAATTATTTTTGTGATTAGTGTTGAGGAGTAGAGTTTTGTAAACCTAATATTTTAATATTTTCCAAAATTTGTTTTGAGTTACGTGTTTTTATGTTATTTTATTTTTATAAACAATAGCACCCCAAAGAAACAGTAGATGCAAATTTTCATTCTCCGAAAACTATTCTTATCATGTTTTATTAATCATTGACCAGAGAGCAAATTTGTCAAGAAATTCGTAATCACCCAGAAATTAATGACATTTAAAGTACCCATTAAGAAGCAAAATATTTTAAATTTTTACGAAAATTAAACAGGAGGTTAAATATACGAAAATATACAGCGTTTCTTAGTTTGCAAACTGGGGCCGTCCATAAATTATGTCGCACATCAGTGCAACGAGAGAGGGGTAAAGTATTATTGCCTTAAACTTCACGCTCTTATTCGTCTCTCTGTATTCGAAGGTATGCATTCAATTAAAATGGCTAAATTTTAGATTGCAAAAACTGAAATTATTGTGATGTAATTTATGATGCATATTATTTATATCAAATAAGTTGAATTATTGGTCAATTGATCCTCTTAAGAGAAAGTTTGCGTATACAATAACCAAATATTAAATGTTTGACGTCTAAATAGAAAATGAATATAAATTTTGTTTCAAGTGTTGGGATTATAAATATAGAATTTTTGGTAATTTGATTTTAAAATAAATTAATAATCCGACCCTTTGCATCCTTGTGCTATTTGTTTGTGGATTGCTGTTGTTTCAATGGCGGTGGTTCGACTGCAGCCTGCGACCAAATATTTTTAAATATACTATACATAATTTGATCAGTTCTTCCAAGTCTAAAGCCAACAATTAAAAAATTCCCGCAGAAATTTTGTAGTTTATTTATGCATTTATTGCAAACTAAACCTAAAATGATAGAACATTTTATTTTGAATGTGGCTACTTGGGTACTAAGATTATAATCTTACTTGGGTAAAAGACACTTTTTTTAGGTACCAAAAAATGTTCATGGCAAAACGTTAATGTTGAAATGTAATTGGATCATAATTTATTAATAACCCCCTGTATGAGTGACTGTTGAATTTTTGTTTACATGAAATAGTTTATAAATTTACAAATCTTTGCCAAACCTTTTGATATATTAATATTAGTTAATGGGCAGATTTTTCAAAAAAATGTAACTTTGAACAATCCAATGTACATATTATGTTTTATCTCATTAGCTTTGTAAGTTATTATTAGTTGTGTTTCATTTAAATCAATTGATTACTAAATTTTACTACTGATTTAGTGTCCGAATATGTAAAAGATCCTTTTGTTAATTGCACAGCCTAAATAAAAATGCTACCAAAAACTACGATAAGTAAATCAAGCAAAACATTTTAAAATGTGCAATTTGCTTTAAAAAAAAAGAAACCCATCTTTTATTGATTTATGAAATTAACTCGAACATCTAGTAATTTGCTCTTTTGATGGTGGACTTCTGGGTTTTCTATTTAGCGAGCCCTTTAACTTCATGGTGGCACTATTTCTGCTGATTGAGAAAGCAACCCTTCAAAATATTTATTTGGGCTATGCAAAAAATAAAAACCATAAAACCACTTGCTTTTGGACTTTACTGTAGATCTTTAATGTTTTTCAATATATTAAATTGACAGCCAGCTTTTAAGTTTCAATGCACTTTTGAAAATTTTCTGTTTTTTTTAACAAGCTGGTTGTGCCTAGGAAAGAAAAGAAACATGATCCAAATAGCATAAGAGATATATATTTTCTTATTTATTGCTACTATTTCTGAAATAAACCATAAAATAGCAGGTTTTGATTGATTTTTCTACCCATAAACACAGTATAATAATAAACCTATAAATTTTATAAAAATATCATTTTATTATGTTCATAAAACTTTTACACTTCATATCTACTTGCTCACTTTCCTGTTCCAATTCTTTTATTTTTCTTCTTGCTTCTTGCAAAATATCCTCTGATAAACTATCTGAATAGTTGCTGTCAGTTTCACCATTATTATTATAGGTTCTCAATCCCACTTAAAATAAAAAAGAAATTACTAGGTGTTATATCTGGAACTAATATTGTTTTGGTTAGTTGTGCTTACATAATTTTAAAAATGTGTCAGTGGTTAAGCGATTTAATATACATAAAGAAAAATAAATTCAAACATTGGGAACAAAAAATCTATGATTATAAAAAGTTTTCTAGTGTTTGAATTACACGGGGAGACCACAAGAACTTATAAACAAGTTAAAATTTATAAGAAATAGTGGTTATTCCCCAGCTTGTCTAATCCTGCCAAAAAAAATTAGTTACCTTCTGGGAGTCTCAGATTTCTATCTTGATTCTCATCCAATCCTGCAGTTAATATGCTAATTTTACTTTGACAACTGCTCAGTTCAAGTTTTAACTGATTATAACTCAAAATTAGTCTTTGAATTTCTTGTTTCTGTTTCTTGTTTTCAATTTTAAGCATTTGATTTTCATTTTGATAAAATTTAATACAGTCATTTAAATATACACATCTTTCTGAGCAGTGGTTTAAAGTACAAATGTTGGATGAAATTTTCTGTTTTACAAATTGTCTAGAAACTTCTTGTTCTTTCAATTGGTTATTCAGTTGCTGATTAAGTTTTTGTTGCTTTTGCTGGGACACTAAGAGTTCTTTTTCTAAGGCTTCTCTGTTTTTATTGCAATTCTGTATTTTCTTTTGTCTTTTGTTGAGCTCCCTTTTGCATTTATGTATAAGCTTCAAACACTCATTTTTGTATTCTTTGTCCCTCAATTCATGACAACATTTAATCTGCAATAATAATCTGTTATACATTTGTTTTGATAAATTGGCTGTCAGTAAGATTTGAGCAATTTTTTGCATATAGTCATCTAAATTCTCATCTAAAATCAAAGGTTTCACTAAATAACAGATTACAGAAAACTACTAACCAATGTAATTTAAGATTCTGGGTCCTTCTCCTTGGATGCTATCTATTAAGCATACTAATATAGATTTGTTTGAGTCTGGGCCAAAATATAAGTTCACCACACATTGCCCACATTCGCTATCTTTAGATATACCTAATAATTCCAAAATGTTGACCAAGTTATGCTTATCAAGCCTTCCCCGCGTCGCAATACTATTAGTGTCAAAAAACAAACTAATTTCAGGTAAAATCTTGGTTAAATTAACCTCACTGCTAAATAATGACAAAGAATAATGGCATTGATTTTGAAACAAGTACTCAGCAATTATTAGATGTAAGGCTTGGTGCGCTAAACTGTTAGTTTTAGGTCCGCTTTTTAAACGTTTACCGATCATGGTAGTTTTTAGGATATTTATAAGTTTATATTTCAAATAAGATTTTAAATCAGTTTTTATGCCCTTTTCTTCAAACCAAGAATTAAGCATTTGCTGAAATTCTTGCGGCGTTAGCTCTTTAAAATCTGGTTGGTTTGGTACAGCTGGTTTTATTTCTTCCATTTCTGAAACAATTTTAAAAAACGAAAGCTGCTTATTGTTTACATTCGTGACAATGATTTCGGTTAACTCATAGATAACTGTGAAAGTTCATTCTTCTTTTTCCTTCTATTAGCCAACACCGCTAGAATCATCGGGTATCAACAAAAAAAAAATGGCGCATCTGGCAAAGAGCATTGTACGTATTGGGTTCCATGGTTTATCATATGTTTGCTGTGAAACTAGTAAGTCTACATTTCTTTTGATCATTTAGCACCTATGTAACAGAGGCAAATAGAAACAGGCAGTAGCAAGCCAAACTGCACACAGTTTATAGAGCGCAGAGTTGGACAAAAATACGCTCCATCTTAATAGAAATTAAGTCTTGTTTGGAATATATTAATATTCAACCAGAAGTGGAATAGTAATGGAATTAATAAGAACTCCTAAAGTAGCTTGTTATTTTATCTGCAAAAAAACTTTTGAATACTTGAAATGATTTTAGGTGGAGAGTGTTCGAATGCTGGATAGGTATTCTAAAGCGTGTTCTCAGGGTACTTTATATTTAACTGCAACTCATTTGATATTTGTTGATCCAGAAGCTAAAAGAGAAACATGGGTAAGACTTTGCCCTTAATTTTGTCCATTTCCTTTCTTAGATCAGATCAATTACCCATATATCAGAAGTATTTTATAATAATTTATCTTTAATTGTAGATTCTCCATATGCATATGGCCAGCTTAGAAAAGCTTCCATTGACAACTACTGGCTCACCCCTCCTTATCAGGACAAAAACATTCCTTTCTGTAACGTTTGTCATACCAAAGGAGCGGGATTGTCATGACATATATTTATCTTTAAATCAATTATCACAATTGACTAATTATGAAGCATTATATTGTTTTACATATAACTCGCCAATTGATGACATACCAAAACGGATTGGTTGGAAGTTTTTTGATTTACAGGGTGCTTACCAAAGAATGGGAGTGCCCAATGAACAGTGGGCGTTGACTGACTTAAATATGGAGTATGAGGTAATCATAACTTTAACATTAAATTTATTTTAAAAGAGTACCAGGTATTTTGTAGCTGTGTGATACATATCCTAAGCATCTTTACATACCTGCTTCTGCAACAAAAAGTACCCTCTTGGGTAGTTCTCGGTTCAGGTCAAAGGGGAGACTGCCAGTATTAGCATACCTCTATCATAACAAAGCCAGTATTAGTCGTTGTAGTCAGCCATTATCTGGTTTTAGTGCCAGGTGTATGGAAGATGAGAAAATGTTAAATAACATTCTGAGGACTAATCCTAATGCTACTTTTATGTATGTTGTGGATACAAGACCAAAAGTGAGAATATATTAACAAACACAGAGACTTTCTATTTTCAATCCTACTTTTAGATTAATGCTATGGCAAACAGAGCGGCCGGCAAAGGATATGAAAATGAAGCATTTTATGAGAACATTAAATTTCATTTTTTGGGGGTAGAGAATATACATGTTATGAGGAATAGTTTGCTAAAAGTCATAGAAAGTATGTTTAATATAAATATTATGTTTGGTAGTTTTGAATATAGACTTCTGACTAATGGCTGTACATTATTTAAGATGGTGAGCAAAAGAATCCAACTATGAATAGTTTCTTGAATGGTATAGAATCAAGTGGGTGGCTGAGACATATTAAATCAATCCTAGACGCATCTCAATTCATTGCTGAAGCATTAGAAGAAGGTATAAGTGTCATTGTTCATTGTTCTGATGGTTGGGACAGAACTGCCCAAGTATGTTCGCTAGCATCAATGCTGTTGGACCCATATTACAGGACAATTTCCGGGTATCAAGTAATGTTAACCATTTTTTGCAACAACCTTAAACTTATGATTTTTTTGGTTTCTAGGCTCTAATTGAAAAGGACTGGCTGGCTTTTGGTCATAAGTTTTCAGAACGTTGTGGCCATATACAGACGGATAGTAAAGAGATTTCTCCAGTATTTACTCAGCTACTTGACGCAACATGGCAGTTAATGCAGCAATTTCCGTGTACATTCCAATTCAATGAAAATTTTTTGCTCACTATTCATGATCATGTGCATTCTTGTCAGTATGGCACTTTCATTGGTAACTGTGAAAAGGATAGACTCGATTTAAGGTAAGAAATGTTTTATTACTTGGTTGTCTTTCATTATAATTGCTAATTTGCTAATGATGAGTTGATTTGATACCTTCTCAAACAATTTGTATTACAGGCTATCTGAGAGGACTTACTCCTTGTGGGGTTATATGGCAAATCATTTGGATGAATATATCAATCCCTTATATTCTTCTGAAGAGAGTCCGGGAATTATAACTCCTCAGCTTATTCCTCAGAATATAAGGTGAGTTCTTTGCTTACATATAAAGAGGAATTGTAATCATTTCTACGAATCATGAATAGGTATGCAAGCCTGTGGGTTTAAGGTACAAAAATTGTTGCTTTCAGGTTTTGGCGGGGAATGTATTATAGGTTTGAAAGTGGAGTGCATCCAAGAGAACCAACTGCTGATTTGCTCTTGGCTACATCTGATCATTCATTTTCTTTAGATGATCACGTTAAATATTTAACCAAGGTACTGCTTGGTTCACATTAACTGTTATAAGTACATTTGCAGATCATTATTTTACAGAGAATAACATCAGTGAAAAATTTGATTTCAAAAACTATGGAGAAGAGGAAAACTAAACCCAAAAAATCCCAATTTTGTAATAATGTACAGTTAGACAACAAATTGCTGTATGAAAAGTCTTCTCATGATTTGGAATCTGCCAACCACGACCATCCATTGCAAGTGGAAGAAAAAGACTCTAGTAATGCTCAAGAACTGCCCAAAATTGATGAGCTTTCCAAAGACTTTGATTCAGTTGCAATTGACTGGAAAGCTTTAAGGAACATAAATGAATGTAGCTGCTCACTTTCTTTTGATCACTTGAGCAAAAAGGTTAGTTTCTTTTTGTTAATTATATAAATTAGTTAAATTTCATTTATACATTATTTTGTAGAATCACTGTAGAAAGTGTGGGGAAATCTTCTGTGTTCGGTGTATCACAAAACAAGTGCTGTTACCTGGACACACAACAGAAAAAGCAGTACCTGTTTGCAAGCCTTGTTATGATCTTTTAGGAAGCTCTTTGGAATCATAAGTTTCAGAAGCTGTCATGGCACATAATAGTGTAGAATAGACTTTTCTGTGATTTTCGCTGTACCTCTCTCTACTGTTTTCAAATGTATTCAACTACTTAAATATGTTACTATCTGTATTCTTTGCTATGATATACCATCAGTTGTTGCTCTGAAGTAGTGGAACTCATAGTGGATAGTGAATGACCGACCTGTATGAAGAATTTATTTGTTCGATACATTTGAAAACAAAGTGAGTAATAACTCATTTGTCTGGACAATAGAGCGTAAATAACACTTATCTAGCTTAGTGCACTCCAGATATTATGAGTATATTTTATAATTATTTGTCCACAGTGGATTTTGTATTTATTTAAGCTTTAGGAATTTTTTATTTTGAGATTTGAAGCTAGTCCAATTTTAAATGGGGTCAATGTTTATTTGTTCATGTTTTCTTTCCATTATAAAGTAATAAATCTCTTGAAAAAATTTAATCCATAAATAATTTCCAGTTCATAACACTAGTTAATCCAAACATTTATTTCTTAGGTTTTCTTGGCCCACCCAAATCTTCCAACTCTTGCTTTAAAGTTTTTAACTCGGTATCTGGGACAAATCGAATTTCCTCATGATATTGTTCATGTGGTACTATACTTACTGTTACTCCAGCAGGTGTACTAGCTTCTATAGCTCGTAATAGCAAGGGAAGCTATAAAACATGCATGAAAGAATGAACATTTTTTTAAATATGCATACCTGAATGGCAGATATATCAGTTATTTGTACAGTTCTCTCATAAGTTTTTAGTACATATTGGGCTTGGATCACAGCACTTCTTGGTTTGTATGTTGATATCTGCATTACCTGTGGAGGAACAGCCCAACATTCTTCAACATTTATGTCTATATTTTTAATCAAACGATGCAAATACTTTTGGTAGCTCTCAAGCACCGGATAGTCGTATCCTCTCAGTTGGATATTTAGTGTATCATATAAAGGAACTTTTGATTTCATATTCTAAAAAGACTCATTCTAGACATGCCTTTTAAATTACTTCCACAAAAATACTTCTAAATAGTCTGGCTCATACAAGGATCCAGCATAACGTTTATGGATTTTTGTATTGCCACAAATCTTGAGGAATGCAATTCTAATGGAGTTCATTTTATGTGCCTAAAAAAAAAAGGTTATTTTTATATCTACTTTTTAAGGTCTGCCTAGAATTCTACTCGTCCAAAACATTCTGAAATTACAAATTAGAATTCGCAATGCTTCCAAGAACATGTAAAGAAGAACTTAATTCATTGTTGCCTTAACCCTTGACAACTTTTACCTAAATTTTATTCTGGATCAAGTTTGTAATTGTTTATCATGCTTTCTTCAACTATAAAATGTAGTCGTTGGGTTGTATCATTAGATACATCCAAAATTATCAGCAGATTTGTACATCATGCATCAGCCGCCGAGAAAGTTCTGATTAAAACCAAAGTTGAGGATCTAACAAAAAGGATTTTGGATTACAGATATGCATATCCAGAATTTTTGCCAGATCCTAACGTTAAATTTAGGAACCGTATTAGAGAAAAATTGGAACGCATTGATATGGTAACAAGACGGACACAAATTGATATACCTGAATTTTATGTTGGTAGGCATATTATTTGTATTTCTGTGAGAGGGTACCCTAATTAGACATTATTTTTAGGGTCCATATTGGCAGTTTATTCTGCTGATAAACACACACCAGGAAAAATACAAAGATTTGTTGGAATTTGCATTAAAAGAGGTGGTTGTGGGTTACGGTCTTTTTTTATAATAAGAAATGTTATAGACCACCAAGTTAGTTTTAATAGTGTTCTTGTTTTAAATTTTAATGAATCAAATGAAATTTTTTTAGGGTGTTGAAATCTATTATGACATGTATGACCCAACACTTCATAAAGTTGAGGTTTTAAAATTGGAAAAAAGACTAGATGATGAATTACTGTACCTAAGGGATGCTTTGCCAGAATACAGTACATTTGATGTTAACATGGAAGCTCAAATTTTACCTGATGGTATGAGAGACATTTGTCAATATTGATATTTTAGTCCATTTGCCTTTTAAGATGCCTCAGTACCAGTGAATCCAATTAAAGTTAAGTTAAAACCCAGACCATGGCTTGAAAGATGGGAACGGAAGAATTTGAAGGGGGTCCAAGACCTTGAGTTACCTGAGAGATTCTATATCAAAGCCAAAAAATTAGAAAAACCTTGGGAAAAGTATGATTTAATGAAAGAATATATGTGAGTAGCTGTGTTGGTCAAGTTTTGGAAAAAGATTTGTAATTATTTTTTAGGCGAACAATACCTGAAGAAGAACAGGTAGAAATATTCAGTGAAGTTGAAGCTGAACTGCACAAATTAGAGCTTCAGAGAAAGAAACTAAAAAGGAGACGGGTTATCGTCAAACCAACCAAATTATCATAATAAGTTTACATGGTTTATTAAAACACATAGATCATGGTCTGTAATTAGATTTACATTTTCCAATTATTGACTTTTAATATATAACAGAACTTTGCAGATTTTATTTTTTTTAATACTTGATTATTTCTTTAGTTGAATAATATTTAATGAATGTGCCAATAAAAACAAAAAATATCCTGAAGGGTGGAGTTTCATCGAGTACAGTCAATTAGTTCAACCCAAAAATTGAAATAGTGATTATCAAGATGGCATAATATTCTATATGTTTGATAAATGATACTTTAGGCACCAGAGGAGAGTGTTTAAGAAATGGGTGTCTAAAAGTTTTCAAATGTTGCATACTATAATCTTTCTAAGATGCACATGAATATATTCACTGAGTGACGAGGAAAATGAGAAACCATCAGAACTCACAAACATCAGTATTATAAAGATTCAAACAAACATCCGATTCCTTCCAACCCGTGAGTAAAGCACCAGATATGTTCAAATTAGCTCATGACAGACACATTACGCAGTGGTTTTGTTAAGTTTATGATTTTTGAACAACTATTATAAAAACTCCGTGCATATAACTTGATTGGTTGAGATGCAACAATAAAACAAAACAAATGAAAAAGAAAAAAATGTATATACAACGCAAATAAATATTACAGGGAATGACTATATAAAAATCATTATAAACAATTTTCCATAATTTACAATACTTGAAAAACAATTTCATCAATTTTTAGGCAGTTGCAGACTTATTTACAATAAATACCCCATAGTCTCTAAATATATCTTTTGCTTTTTTTAACAACAGGGGAAACTAATCACTTAGAAGGCCTCTTCTCTTCTGCTACCACACAAAAACTACTTGCCACTCAACTGCACGACCTGTTGTAAGACTTCGTTGCGACCGAATTCGATTTTGAAGTACTTAATGAACTTATAAACTGCTTTTGAAACTCATCTTGGAAGCCTACAAAATCTGTCCTGCCGACGCCTCCGCTGTTCACACCGTGACTTGAATTCGAGTAACTTTTATTAAATGCTATTACTGAAACCGGGGAACTGCTAACTTCAGTTTTGGCTGGAGACGACAATTTCTGCAGTGCCTTTAAACTTTCCATCACTTTTTGAACGTCATCTCGATCATTTTGCATGGTCGGAGTCACAGTAATATCCTGCAGTTTTTTCAAATCAATTTCGTTCTGCTCATTCTTGAATTGTAATGGATGAGAAACCAAATGCTCCTTCTCTTTAGCAAATGGCAAGGTCATGATGTCCTCTTTTCTCGTACGGGAAGAAATCATGTGATGAGCTTCAGCTTCCTTGTGAAACTTGGTAAACTTGGGGATTCGTAAGTCGTCATCCTTTTGACTTTTGGCGAAATTGACTGGCTCTTCCTTATTGAGGTATTTGCTCTTTGAATAATCATCCTTTACAGAGGTAACCAAATTAACACCTCTTAATTCGCCTTCGGTGTGCAACTTAATGGTATCCTCTTTGTGAATCTTATGTGTATGCAGCAAACTTACTTCCTCTTCTCTAGGTGATTTGGTGTGGATTTCCGTGAGATCAATGATCTGGCAGTGATTGGTCGCTATCACAGTTTCCTCTTTCGAGTTCATTACTATAACTCCGTTATCTTTTGGAAGCTTTTGTTTCTCTCTGCCATCCTTGTTAATTGGTTTTATGGTGGTTTCATGCAGTTTTTGATTTGAAACGACCTCCGCCAACTTATCGTTTAAATTCACCGGCGTTATTGTAAGATTGGCGGAGGTTTGAGCTAGTTTGAGGGGAGCTGCGGAAGAAATGGGCAGTTTTTGACCTTTTGACGCGTTCGGTGCCTTCAAAAGTTTGGGATCTGGCGTTTTTATCATTGCAACGCTGCAGAACTTCTTCAGCACGACCATCGACATCCAGCCATCTGGCCAAAGAACCAAAATGTTGTTCTTCAAATATTCCAGTAACAGGCATTCTATTGAATCTTTTTGCCTGCCTTCAAGTAGAAGGCAGCGTTTCTTGTGGCCTAAGATATCGCGGACCAATCGCCTGAAAATTTGAACAAATTATTTATGTGGCACAGACATGTTTCAGATGTTGACTTACTTCATGTCCTCGGAAAACGTAAATCTTCTCCTTGGCGCCTTTAAAGCTTTTAGTTCGTCATTGGTGGTTGCTTCATGAGAAAATCTTTTAAAAAAAGGTAAACATATTTTTTAAAATCAATAATATTTAATAAATTTACTAAATTAGTTTTTAACGTTCAAATATTTATACAATTGCATAACAAAATAAATCAACCTCATTATTATAAAATTCGGAAATAATCTGTCAATCCTACAGGACTCTATCCCTAACAACATAACAAGATAGATCTAACTAATTTTAACACGAAATATTTGAACCGAGTTTACCTGAATAAGGGGCATTTGGAAAGTACATTTTTCAAACCTCAATTTTATTATGAACTTAGGGTAAGTTTGCTTGAAATGACACAAAGTAGACAGAGTCTGAATAAAAAAATTGCGGGCAGTAAAATGCAATATTTTCAGTAGAGTTCTGGGAAAGATATACCGCGTTTACAACCTTTTTTGGCTTAATATTTGCCTGCTGTAAAGCGGAAGCGACCATTCTTTTCAGCACGTGTATCACAAGCCAGGGCCGTATTTAAAATGTTAGCCGACAAGAACTGTGGCGTGCCGACTGTATTTTAAGAGTAGGGAAATTTTCTGTGATTAAACCGTTATATTAATTCATATTACTGTGCTTTTTTTTTAAATATTCCTAAAACAGTCCGTACTTAAGGTAGCTTGATTTCAAGTCCAGTTTACCCATTAGATTGGTTGATCTTCTATATTAAAAACACATTAGAAAGATTTCCAATTTAAGGGTTAACATAATGACTCTAAAATATTTTTCTAGGAAAGCAATACAAAATCTTATGTAGATAATTGATTTATAATGGAAGTTGGTGATATCAGAATATGCTGTCAGTTTTATGAAATAATATTTTCTTAGCTGTCGAAACTTTGGCGTTATTTCTATAACGTTTTGTGTTTGTAATTAGTAATTACCAACTTACTGCTATTCAATTGTTTTTCAAGACTCAGTGCGCAATTCTTATTGAGGTACCATATACATTTTATTACAATTTATCCTATCCAATTTATTAAATCCGTCAGCTTTCAGCATTTGTATGCATGAAGTACCAAAGTACGGTTCTGGAACATCATTGCGAAATTGCGAATATATTTATTGAGGGTTACAAAGAGAAACCCAAGGGATGTAGGCCTACAGTTAGACCTTCATAAAAATTTACCAAAGTTAAATACCGGATGATGCCGTAAAAACGATATATCGTTTGGAGAACTCTAAATGTTGTATGAACTAATAAAAAACCGGACAAAAATATCTTACTTTTGTTGGAGAACCTTTTGGCATTCTTTTTCATGATTGGATATCAGAGATGGCATTTTCTGATCTATCTCAGTCTTCAGTTTGATAATGGCTACATTCATTTTTTTCTGTTCATCTGCTAGTACCAAGTTTTTAGCACGTTTCACAAGAGTTTCTTTTCTGCATTGCACGAAATGCGACAAATGTTCGTACACTTTAACCCTTGAGGATCGCCCCAGACACTTGCATTTCCTTTCTAATCTGTAATAAAAACACGTTAATAGATCTATTACGGCCAGGCCAAATGTATATACTCACTGAAGTAACATAACATTGACTTCTCCACTGAAGAATTTCAGTTTTCCTCCTGCCTTGTAATCCCGAGCTGCTCTTTTAATGCCTTCTAAAATGTCTATAATGTCGGATGGAAGATTCTCGGGCAACTTGACAAATTCAAATTTATTTACTTTGTGATGATTTTCCATTTCTGGCAAAGGTAGGGGAATGGCTGAAGATAATAAAGAACAAAATGTTTCACGAAGAAAACATTTACAGTTACTTTCTGGCCTGGAATTGCTGTGAAACTTGCAATCAGGGAAAATTACCACTAAAGTGCATGTTTTGGCGTAGCTGCAGTGCACAGTATTTCCAGGTCAAATAGCTTTAAAAAAGAAATTAATAACAAACCTATAGGTTTTGTGGAAAGCTCTCCCTTTGTAATGTTAGCATTGATATTATTTTCTAATGGGACCACACCATCACCATCCAATCTGCTTATTACTGATTCAATAGCATCGGACACGCTGCTTAATTTCATTGGTTTTTTGTTTTCCTTGGTCCCATCTCTCATTGGAACATCTGAAATACCAAAATTCTATGACATAGTGAAAATAATCTCAAAATCAATAATTTTTTTGTTTATTTTGGAGAAGTGGATTTGGTGAGAAGTTATTACCAGTATCCTTGAATTCTTCCGGAATTGTCATATCTAAATCTGTTCGTTTCTCGCGGAGCAAATCTTTGACAGTTCTTTTTTGGGAATCGAGCAGCCGGCGCTTTTTCACTTGAATCTTTTGTGGACTAAACATTTTTTTCTTAATAGCTTGCTGCATACTTATTTTTGGTTTTTCCAAGTTATCTTTCTATAAAAATATGAATATTTTTTACATTAGCTAATGCAAACTATTACTTTTTTAATACCTTGTTGGTTTGGGAGCCCACACTAGCATCGCTGTCTGCTTCCTCATCGTCTGTGGTATCCAAAGCTCTCTTGACATTAAACACACATATCAGAAAAGTTATATATTTGTTTACAATTGAGACCCACCTTTTTCTTTACTCTGCTGGCTTCGCCTTCCTCGTTGCCACTGCCCCCTGCCTCTTCATCATCACCGCTGGATGACCCTTCAGACGTTGCTTCATCATCAGTCTTAAACTCCAGAGCTCCGCTATTTATATAAAATCCCCCTCTCGCGGTTGTTACATTTGGTGGAATAATCTCGTCATAACCATCGGTGTTATCAATGAAGGAGTCAGACTCATCATATCCTGCTCCAATGTCGGCGTAATCGTCTTTGCGACCTTTGCGTCGCTTTTTCGTTCCTGGATTCAACCCGGAGCCCTATGAGAGCAAACCCAATAATACTTTTTTTGGGCTAAATAAAACAAACTTACATATTTTGCTTCCATTTCCAGTGCAATTCTTCGAACGTCATCGTCATTATCAAAGAGGTCCAGCCCATTCGGTACATTGTTGGTTTCCTTGATATTCTGTTTAACCTTTTTCTGAAAAATTTTACGTAATGTTAAAAAGAATATAGAAATTACGATAAAGTTGATTAGAATATAAGAACATACATTAGGAATTAAAATCTTCCAAAAGTATGCAAATGCAGTATATCCTAGATGATCTTAATGAAACTAACAAATGTTTTTAATTTGATGAAAATTTTGATCCACTGCGTGCCCCTTACACACAGAATTTATAACTTTTTATGTATGCGAAAAATTTACTAACAATTACCCATAAACACGTATAAATTGAATTGAACTTGGTGTATTTATTCCTGTAACATTCCATAAGCAAAGATCTGATAAAAATTTCACCTTCCAAAAAAATAACAAATACTTTAATTAAGACGTAATAATACTTCCCTAGTTTTCACACCTTCCTACAAACTGATAAATCAGAATATATGTTTGCGAGCACCATTTTTTTGTAAACGAGATTTCCTTTCCGCTTGTTATCCGGGTAGTCCAAGTGTTATTATAAATTAAAATATTTTAATTGAACATTAATTATCATTTTTGATTTTGGTTGCGGTTACGTTTATGGTAAATTCGTAAACAAGCTGCCCCAAAAATAAAAACGAAGACAACAAATTTTAAATTTACAAATATATACCTGTTTCTGTTTCCAATTCCATTTTTGTCGTCGTTGCTTATTATTGATTTAGATAAATAAATTCATTTCGGATAAAAAAAATACAGAATACAACTATCTACCAAAACAATTTAAAAGTTAACAACATAATTTTGAGGCTCGGGATTTGGGTAAGGTACGTACGTATTTCATACTTTTCGTACGAGCCGGCAATGTCGCAGCTCGGAAATCTACGCGTTCGAAACACCTCCTCTACGGGATGCGCTCCTGATAAAAGCGCGCCAATCGGTATCGACAATCCCGAGAAATTTGCAATAAAATCCGCATAACGCATTCCAAGAAAATGTTAATTAAGCACCTCATACAAAAGGATTTAAAAAAACAGAATTTTTGAAGACTTTTTTCAAATTTTATAAAAAAAGAAAATCGGACAATCTCTGACTCATCATCATTCAGTTCTCTTACCTTGGGAGAAATTGGACATTTTTTTGCCTATATAATGCACACACAGAACGGTCATTTTTGAGGGGAACATATATAGAAAAAATAATTTTATGAATGCACGAGTTAGAAACAAAGCAAACCACCACAATCAAACGCGGGTTTTTGTTCCTGCGGTCAACTGACATGCAACTCTGTTACCAAGTAGCTTTCTGTTTGCATTATCGTCTTCAAGCATTAACTAACTATCCCAATGCTTCGTTTTAATTATTAAATCTATGCATGGGCTAGCAATTTAGATTAGACAAACTCAAGTTATAAATTAATGTTGCACGTAGTAGAAACGGTTTGAAACATTGAATACGCAAAATTGGCACGGCTCGGTTATCGCCCAGAATAAAATAAGGACAGCGCTGTGTCTATAAGCCTTGTCATCCGTTTAACTGTAAGCATATATATCCACGAACACAATTATATTTCAAAAGGCTTCACATTTCCGCAATAAATTCCTATAAAACGCTCTAATGCACCTACGTGACAGAGAAATCGGTGCATATGGTTCAACGTTGTTACGTCAGTGCGATGGGAGTAGACTACTACTTCTCTTAGGCTAGGTTTGTGAATGCGAAAGAATAAGGACATAACCCCAATCGATTAAATTAGGAGAGCCCTGGATGTTGCACTTTTCGAGAAGTATTTGCGATTTGAGACAAGCATTCCCGCGACTTGCATCCAAACTTTCTAACTCACGTATGTCGCGTGATTTGCAAACAATATGATTTGGCGTATACACATTTTTGTAAAATATGCTTCAAACATGGCGTCTTTAATATTAAACACAGTAATTAAATCGAAAACCTATCGTATTTTCGACGAAAAATGTCGTTTCGAGGGACTGTATGAGGGTGGAATTCATTCTGAAAAATCGCCGTGACAGCACCCGAATAAACGAAAAAAAAACTGCAAAATAAGAGGAAACGGGATCGTTCGACCTTTGTAACGATCCTAAAATACAATTCGTGACCATTTTCTGTCATGATTACCTTTGCAGCTGCTAACTCGTCCTTATAGTTGTATTCTGGACACTTGTCTTCGTTTGATTCTGGAAGAGCTACACATATTCTCAACGTTTTGCACAAGTTTTTTACCGTTTTATCTGTCACTCTTTGTGGTTCCAATGTAGTCAACACGACACGTTTTATATCTGACATATTTCATCACAAATTTTTCAGTAAAACACAGCCCGGTTTCGCTCCAACATATTTAAAATGCACTATTCCCAAACAAGCACACAAATACGAGTTTGCGCCGTTTGCGCAATCCAATGCGCAATGCGTGGTGTTTTTGAAATGAAAAGTTCACTGCGAAAACCGCCCAGTCTGGGCAAATTGAACTAGATGTCGCCATAAGTTGTGTTGATTGAAGTCCTCCAAATAATTGTAATCCACCGAATACAGAAAACAACTCCATTTATCTACGGGGGCTAGGCACTCCCCAAAACTACAAACATCATCATAAATTTCGTTCGGCGTCTCTACAGAGAAGAAAAAACAAATCTCCACACCCCTACTTTTATTATATCTGACTGACCAAAATCAGCAATTTTGTTCTGTGCCTCTGTGATAGCACAAGATTGGACTTTCGGATCCATCACATTTGTTTAGGATTTTTTGGTTAGAGTTTCATTTAGGTTTTAGTATTTATCGAAATAAAATGACAACAGATTTTGGAGATCCGTCATTTTCAGGCGGTTTGGACTCAAAAGTTGGCGACAAAGACCTACAAGAATTCTTAATGGTAGAAAAACAGAAAGCCCAATTTAATGCTCAGGTTTGAATAGCCCCTTTCTGGGAGTACTGTTTGAATTATTTCCCTTTTTAGATTCATGAATTCAATGACTTCTGTTGGGAAAAGTGTGTCGACAAACCTTCTAATAAGCTGGATAGCCGCACGGAGACTTGTTTAACAAATTGTGTGGATCGTTTTATTGATGTGTCTCTATTAATAACCAATAGATTTGCGCAATTACTGCAAAAGAGCGGAGGCATGTAACATCGCAAAAACTGTTTAGTGTGAAATTGATTGAAGCTACTGTTAGTTTAATAAATGGTTTGTTAAAATATTTATATAGTCATTTTTATGATGTGTTTCACAAGTATTATCAACAATTGTAAATTTTTTCAAGTCTAAAATCAAAATAGAAACAACAAAAAATAATTCCAACTCCATATAATAGTCTCAAAAAATTTATTAAATAATATCTGTAACCTACTTGGTGGTTGACTTTGTGTACCCTATTAGAAGTTCTCTTATAACATATTCTAAAATATGGTTCTTTTATTTTTTTTATGAAATTTTAACTTTATCGGCGATATTTTTACTGCGTATACATGTGACTCAAATCGTTTTCAAAACTGGTTTTCGATTTATATTCATTACGTTTTCATATGAGCTTTCAAATGGTTTTGAATTCGATGTGAAAAGGTTTTAAGATTTAGACATTTGGCAATGTCATAACTGCATTTTCTCCTCTTTTTTATGTTCTTGAATAACTGTTAAATCCCATAAAAACATCCAAGCGGATTTTAACTAACCTTCCGTTTTGGCTAAAAAAATTCTGCTCATTTCAGCAATAATAAAATATTTTCGGAGTCACTAACACTTGTATTAGTTTTCCTCGTTAGAAATTTGCAGCAACATAAAATTAAAAATTACCAAGAAAACGTATTTTGTGGTGACTCACTTAAATAAAATTAAATGAATCTTTGCAGAAATTGAATTAACTTTGGTTAGTTAGAATTCACGAAGTTGATGATACTGACCATTCCTACCGTCGCGGCACCACAATTTAGTGCGTCACGCTTTGAAAATAAGTTGAAAACCTAGCATTTAAGTTAAGTTAAAGACAGAAAGAAGTATTGTAGCTGATATGTGAAAAAAACGAAACTAGAAAATCGCACATTGTAGCTTTTTTCGCATTAACAAATCGTGGAAACCTTTTTGCAATTATTCTATGTGTTGCCTTCAAATATTATGTATATAATATAAAAGTATTTTTTTAATATCCACTGCTCAAAAGTGCGCAGTTTTAAGACATCAGCTTTGTTAAATACTGTCGCTCGACTCACTTCGGGTGTTTCCGGTGTTTGGGAGCAATCGGATGTTTTTTGGGGGTGGATTTTGGCCATCGTATTTTCACGTTTGTCGATTTTTATGGTCACGTCGCACGTCACTCAGTGAACGTATTCGTACCGTTTTGCAAAAATGTATACAACAACCAATGGTCGTAGGGAAAGTATAGGACGCAACACACGTTGATAAACTTCTTTCATCACTCGTTTATTACTCGTGAATAAAATGGCGTCAATCAAAATTGTGACATAATATACTCTTGAAAACCAAGCGGAATTTCAAAGTACTTACGTACTATCAGCATGCTTGTACGATTGACTCTTGATCAACTGTTAATACTACAAACAAATTACGGTATACAGGGTCCCAACTAATTCATATAGGGACGAGTTTGAAGCTAAAATTACGATTAAATTAGTAGAAATTTTAAAATTTCTCTTTTTTCTCTTAGTTTCTGAAATACAATGTGATTTATAAACATCTTCGAAATTTACAGTGGTAGTCATCCAGAAATCAGTTGATTTGAGAAAAAAAAAAGATTAAAAGTTCAACTTTTTTTAAGCTTTATAAATACAAATACAGACACGTATTTTTTAGTTTGTTTTTGCTTAGGGCATCTTAAGAACTACACTCTTTTGCAATCGTCGCATTTTAAATATAATACCGCCATCTGGTAGGGAAGAAAAAGTTGCTGATAGTAGTCGATATGTACTAAGGTTATTTTTTATTTCCATTCTGGTTTCATTTTTTTCCCATCTAATAAGGTGGCGGTATTAACTTCGAAGTCCGATCTCTCTTTTGAATGCTGCTAATGTTATCCTTTTCGATACGAATCTCTTTGTTATAAATATTTAAAAAAATGCAAAACATTATCGTTTAAGAAATAATTTTTAACAAGCTTTAAAATTGACAAATATTTCCTGATTTGTTCATAGGTACTTGCCGACATAACAGTACAGTTCCTGTAAATTAGTGGAGACCCTGAATACGAATACAAAAAAGTCATCATCATCCCTGTACCCCCCATTTTGCGTGGGCAATAATTACGCACCTAAATTTTTGCAGGTAGTCTATTTTAAAAGTTGTTTATCACTTGGGAGGCGCTGAAGTGTGGCTTCGTTAGTGAAGACGACGTGGTGTTTTGAATTTGTCTCGAAGGTCCTATTGATAAACAGGTAGCTGACTTATTAACCATTTAATTATTTTCTATTCAAGGCATTAAACTATAAATCATGAAGGGTCTGAGGAATTTACCTAGTGCCATTTCGGGTAGTTGTTGTTAAACACGGTAAGCGACTTGTTAGCTGGTAGATTTCCGTACTGTAGCAGAGGCTGTTTCAAATAATTGCAAATAGTCTCATTAGCCAATTTTTCTACTGGAATCACTCAAATCACATTCACTCGAGTTTTTTTTTGTTAAAGGTTCTCAAATCCATGCGCCAAAGTATGATCAACTGTCTTTCCCATATTTTATTATTTGAAAAATAATTTATGTTTCTTACAACGTCTACGTATTTTTTATCTTCATGGAAATAACAAATGCTGCTGATTGCGTGCCACTGACTCTTCGAATTTTCGAAAATATTTGTAAAATATAGGTTTTTAATTCCTTTGTTAGTGCTCTGACACTTTTAACATAGCACAATTTGAATCGGCCTGTAAATGCGAAGGACATTGTACGGTATAAGAACTATATATTTTAAGATAGATTTCATTTTGATTTCGTCTGTATATGAACAAGTTATTAGGTAAAAAAAATATGCCATAGTTCAGAAGCTATAATTAAAGACAATACAGGCCAATATACTTATTTTTAGATGCATAGGACTCTAGCTTTCCTTATAATAATTTTGTGTCTGTACGTATCACAAATATCATCGACGCCATATTTAAACCAAAATTCTATGATGAAATTGGAGACGTTTTGCGGAAAAAAATTGAGCAACACACTTAGCCTAATTTGCAACGGAATCTACAACACTCCTGTGTCAAAAAAAAATGGTAAATCGACTCAAAATTTTCGATTCATAACCCAACCTATTTTGCCTTTTCAGTTCGGGATATTTCTGCTTATGGCAACCAATACGAAGAAGGTATTACTTATGACGATCTATTTCCATTCTGGGCGATACCGAATATGGACATATATATGACCAATAGGAAAGTTAGAAAAGGATCCGGTGTTATATACGAGTGCTGCCATCAACCGTGTTCTCGGGAAACTCTTGCCAAATACTGCGGCACCATATCCAAATAGTTTTACACAAATTATTGCATTGTTGTGAGTGGTGAACATTATAGAGAAGCATTTATTAGCGAAAAATAAATATTCCCCGAACTGATGGTTGTTTGTTTTTACAGACGAATCTTAAAACGGTTTTAATAATATCAATTTCTATATATAATATGAGACAAAACCAAGGAGTTAGAGGAAAGTGTTTTGGTAGGTTGCTATCTAACAAATCTTCTCTCCTGCGTCGGTTGTTGATGGATCAAACTTGCTAACAACTTGCTAACTTGCTTCTTCAGAGCTAAACTGAAACTGTGAACAAAAAAGCCAACAGGATGATTGGCGAAACGTCAGCAAGTTCAGTTGCAAATAGTATTACAGTAGCCTGTGGAAGTTTATTTGAAAAATTAAGTATTTTAACTATTAAATCGATGTACTAAGGATTCTCTCGAACTTCCTTTGTGCTCACTTCAGGTAAATTTTTGGACGATTTGTATATTCTTTAAAAATGTGTCGGATCTGAACAAAAAATAAAATTAAAGAATTTTGCCAAAAGTTGGGTAAATAATAAAAATGTTTATATGTTTATGTATAATTATTGATGCTTGAAATGAACTAGAGCTTTTTTAATTTCCATACACATTAATGATTGACTTTTTTATCACGTTTAACAAATATAAAGAAATGTGTGAAAGGGATACGGGATTTCTGGATGGAAATAAATATGGAAACTTTATAATTTGTGTTCTAAATTATTTGGTCTTGATTCTGTAGTGCTCAGCGGCCTTATTTTTCCTCTTATTTCAGAAAAGAATTGTAGATTGATTTAAAATGGGAAAAAAATCGGTAATTGCAAAGTCTTTAAATAAGTCTGAAAGGATTGTAACGAAAATATTGCAAAAATATGAAACATTTTAAGAGTATCGAAACTGGATCACCGAACACCATCCAGACAAATTAAAAACGAAATTTCGGAACATAAGAGTTGTTGTTAAAAAAACACTTCCCTCAAAAAAGGATAGAAAGTCCCGAATAGAGTTTGCCATAGCTCATCTGTCTTGATCAAGAGAAAACGTAATACAGTTTCTGAAAGTGCTGATAGTAACATAAAAGAAGACCGGTTAGAGCAAGATTCAAGGCAAAGTACCAAAAACATGATTGTCTGGGTATGTTTTTTTCAATCTGGGACAGGACCAATAATTATAATACAGGGTGAAATTGACCAATTTCACTATAAAGACTATTTCACTATAAAGAGATAAAGGAAGACCGATGACAACAGAACGATGGTCCGAAACCCGCATCCAAGTTAGAGAGAAAATGATTAATTTTTAAAAGCCATCCCAATCACCATATCTGCACCCCCATGAACATATTGGGATGGGATCAGCGTATTAGAATCCATTCCCAGGAACTCTTTAACACTGAATCAGTGAGAATACAAATTTTGAGAAAGTTTCTATACTTTTTCCAGCACAACGTTAATTTAGGCAAGTCAACGATATACGTTAACCAACGTATTTTTAGATGCGTTGATTAAATAGGGTTTCCTCTGTGGAATAAATTCAAACGAGTCGATGCCAGTCTTGCATAATATTGGTGGAGTTGATTTTGGAGAGTGTTACTTTATCTAACATAATGTTTTATGTGGTAATAAAAATTAGGTACACGTTTCCGGCCATTGTTTGATTTTGGACCTCATTTTCACAACTTGCTGAAAGTGTTTTTTTGTAATCGAAAAATTTCATTAATCGGAAAATAAATTGAAACACGTAACAGGTCACGAAAATGATCAAGAAACGAACCAAATAAAAAAAATCTTGTTTGTTCAGTGAATGGGTTACGCCGGTAAAGTTCTCCAAACGTTATACCTTTTTTACGACATAATCCGGTATTTAGAAAAATGATCGTAGGCCTACCTCGCTAGGGTTTCTCTTTGTAACTCTTAACAAATGGATTCGCAATTCCACATTGACTTTCCAGAACCGTACTTCGGTACTGCGTGCATACAAATTATTATTAGTCCGTGAAGCGAAAAATCCATTCTTACGTTAAAATGTTTATTATAAATATAACTGAAGGAATAAATTTAGCTATAAAACAATGTTACAATATTTATAAATAAAAGTTATTCTGCATCAAACTAATCACTATCGTCACTGGATTGGTCCCCCACATTAATAATTAATTCTGGACCCAGTCGACTTCTATAAACATTTTCTTCGTCGATGACATGTTCTACAGGCAGATATTTTTTCTACTTCGCTTCTAATTAATTGTATTGCCCCAGAACTAAATTTTGGCGAGGTGTTGTTTCTTCTTAAACTGGGTTTTAGCTGTCTCCATATCAGTTCTATTGGATTAAAATTGCAGTGATATGGTGAAAGACGAACAACTATGAATCCCCGCTCCATGGCTAAGTTCCGCCAACTAGCTTCCTTGACGGTATCGTGGCTATCAAACTAGGTCTCATCTAAATATATGATGGCGATGTTTTTGCACGATTTTCTTAAATTTTTCTCAAATATCTTGTCCTCCACTCAGAAATTCTTCTTAATTCCATCAAAGCTTGTCTTTTATTAATGGTTTTGTAATAAAAACCAATTCTTCGTACGAACGCACGCAAAATCCCTTTTTAACAGTCAATGTTCTGATACGCATCATATATCAAACGTCTCACTATTCCGCACATGCACCATGTCAAGTAGACTTTTTGGGATCCCACGATCTTTCGGCGTTTTTCTTTCTTGGACACAATTTACTGTGGCATACGGTGCTTTATTCATCTGGGACATTACTTTTATGGCTCCGCTTTCCCCAGAAGCAGAAACACATATAAAATTATAATTTTGGCAGCAACCTGCAAATGTGTCCGAGTCTTTGACCCATTTCAATTTGAAGAATGTTAATCATCAATGATTATTACGTCATCGACCACAATCTCATCTTCTTCGTCGCTGGACCTCGCAAGTGACTAACAAAATTGAATGATTTGCAAGAAATAAATTGTAATTCAATGTATATGATACCTCAATAAAAATGGCACACTGACTATTGAAGAACAATTGAATAACAATAAGTTAGTAATTACTAATTAAAACACAAGACAGAATAGAAATAACTCCAAAGCTTCGGCGGCTAAGAAAATAGTGTTTCATAAAACTGACAGCACACACCGATTTCACCAACCCCCACAAATCTATCAATAGCAAACTGGGAAAACATCCACTATAAATAAATTACTTACATAAGATTTTGTATTGTTTCCTAGAAAAATATTTTATAGTCTTTATGTTAAATCCTTAAATTGAAAATCAGTTTAAGCTTTCTAATGTTTTTGAGCTACCTCAAGTAGGGACTGTTTTAGGAAGATTTATAAAAAGCACACTAAAGAAAATTTACCTACTCTTAAAATACAACAATACTACAATAGGCGGGTCTTAAAATCAATCCGAAGTCAAATCCATAAAAGGCTGTAAAAACGGTATATCGTTTGGAGAACTCTATAGCTACGATTATAACTAGGAAGGTACGGCGCCGTATACGGCATAGTTAATTTATTACTAGTACCTAAGTCGGTTACCGGAAGATATAATTAATGAAAGCCATAGGCAAGTAAATACCAGGAGTGATGAAATATATATTTATATAACAAACATGTTTATTGGTAATATTTGCGTTACAAAATTTAACAGTGTGATTTTCTGCTTTCTACACCGTCTCTTTTTTTTTAATTTTATACTAATGCAGGCGCGGTTCGGACACAAAATAAACTCACAATGTCGATTAAAATTTGTTTTCGTTGGCACTGCTCAAAACTCAACATATTAGGCTCATAAAAATGCAGTCGGTTTTTAAACAGGTCAATTTCCGGTAGTCGAAAGTGGCTTGTTATCTCCCACAATACATTCTCATTTCCTTCAGAGTACACGATTTTTCACAACATTCGTTCACGATACCACCGTCCCGTTTTTGGTTGGACAACAGCGATTTAGCTAGTGCTTTTCTTACAAAGGGAAAATCTGGCTCCTCATCGGGTATCATGTTTTCACTGCTTTCGTTATTTTCGTAGTAATCGGCGTAGCCGCTGAATAAGTCAAACGCTGAAACGAAGTTTTTGAATTAATTTTGAATTTAGTAATACCAAAAAAATATATTCTATTCTTGTATATAATGAAAACTAAAACTATATTGATTGCTCTTATAGTTCAAACTAAAATATCAATTTAAATGCTCATTTTTCCTTGTGAAAACTTCAAATTTTTTGCTGAGTTAGACAGCACAAAACAAAATAATTTTACAATTACAGTTTCCTTATGACTTAGTTCTGTGGTTGTTTATGAGAAATAACCCTGTAAAGAAGCTCTATTAAAATAATAAATAATATAATATAATATAAATATAATAAAACCGTATTCGTTCAATACCTCATTTTCGAGATATATGGTATTCTACTATCTACTCTTTGAGATGACAAGTGTCATTGTTATTCATCTCTTCTCTTAAATATTCTAATATCTTTACCCGTTTTAAATTTTTTTCAAAAGATCACTTTCACTTAAAATACTACATTTTTACCATTTAAGTTTGCTGCTTAATTTTGTTATTTTTCACTTGCTGTTCTATGGGGGACATGTCACGTCCTATATATCCTATATACCATATACACGAGTTCATGCAAATGAGAAGAAGCGAAACTCCCAGTAAGTTACTCACGCGATTTTTTTTGAGGTGAGTTGTAAATGCCTCCACATACCAGGGTCATCATTTCAGTCAATTTGGGGCCGCAGAACTTCTCTCGTTTGTGCATTAGGTGATAAGGAGAGCCCAAGATATTTGTCGTCAGGTGTGCGAGTAATACAAAAATTGTGATGACATTCATCTGTAATTGAACAATTTGTTAATCAGAAAAGGCTGAATGCAAGCTAAATAATAAATAAACTTTTATGTTAATCCGAAACAGTGTTTTTCGTTGAAAAATATTTTACTAGGTTTGAAATAATCGAATGAATTTAACGGCAGCGTGGATAGAATATTTTTGTTCTATTATGCTTGTTTCTGAAGTAGTAAGTTGCTTTTAAAATTAAAGTTTTAGATTATCCAACATACCGCCAATATCTTGTATGTCGTGATCACTTACCATTCTATCGCCACCAGCTGGCAAAGAAGAACTGGAGCCCAACTGCATATGTGCGGTATTTTATACCGCAATATGACCTCCGTTTCATACTCGATTAATTCAATATCTATTAATATTCCTACACCATCAGCTGAATCTCCCCGTGCGTCTGTAGAATGTTTATTAATGAAGTTGCAGGAGTTGATACAATGCCCTTGAACGAGATCTTGATTAGCTCAATCTCCATGACGCGAAAACTGGCAAGGGGACGTTTTTGAAACGATTATATTACCATATTGAGAAGGTGCGAACTGGTTTGTCAGTGGTCCGGCGCCGTTAATAAATTTTGTTTGTCTCTAAGCAATAAGCGGCTCAAAATTACACCGGTACATCATTTAAGACTGGTTATGGGGTGAGGAATCACTTGTAAATAAAAATCTGTTAACTCCAAAATGCACCTGCAATTGTTTGTAAACAGTGTACAAGGTAACAGAAATAGGAATTCCTTGACCCTTAGCATTAGAAAATCTTTTTTCTAATGCTAAATGCTTTTTGGAATATCGAATTTTGTCTCAAAAATTACTCTTGCAGGCCCTAAAATAATTAACAACTGTTCCTGTATTGCTTGTGGAAGGGGGCTTACTGTCATATATTGAATGGATATAAAAATTTAATTACAAAAAAAAAAAAGTCAATTGTTGCAAAGAGAATAAAATTCGCGCGCATTTTTTAATTTTTTTTTGATTTGGCATTGAAAATTAAAGTGACTTAAATTTGTATTAGGTTGTCTTTATCGGAAATTTGTAGTTTCCAAAATAACTAAAAATCACAGAAACGTCACTTTATATGGCAGTTTAGCACGAGTTCTCTGGTATTGATTTGTTATTTGATTAGAACTGATAATGTATTCAGAAAACGAATGATTGGGTCTATATAATTATTAAATTGATAACAACAAAAGTATCACCTTAACAACAAAAGAATATCAAAAAAAAATATCCATAAAGAAGAATTCACGATAACATAATTTTTGGAAAAATTGAACGGGATTTTAGGGAGCTTGGAGTTTTAAAGTATAAAAAGAAGTATAATATTTAAAACATCTCTGATATAAATCTCTGATTATAAATTACTACGCAACTTGCGTAACCATTAAATTAACATTAATTTGTCAATTAGTTCAAAAGCAATAAATTTCTGGAATACACAACCTTGTAAAAAGTCACATTAATTTTTAATACCAAACCTGATAAAATTGTAAGAATAGGTCTTTATTTGAAAAAAAAACTTTTTGCTTTTTTATAATTTAATTTCTTTTTGGCTCACAATGTATTACTTTAAATCCAAAAAAATCCAGTCAATATATGACAATAGACCCTCTTTCTCAAGGCATAAATCCAGAATTAAATAATTAAAATTCCTTGATAGGAAAAATGTTAATTATTTTAGGGCCTGCAAACATCATTTTTGACATTAAATTCAAGATTTCATTAGACTAAAGTGTTTTAATATACAGGGTGTTCTATTTAAAATAGGCAAGCTGATATTTACCCCAGGTGAACGGAATATTCAGTATAAATTAAATAATCTAGATGAAACTATGCGACTTTTACCGCATCTTACTCCGGACTTCATTTACTTGGTTTACATTTCAAAACTGTTTCCATTGCGCATAATTTCTAATGTCATTTTTATTTGAGATAAAAAGTAAAATTAAATTTAGTAAGTTAAATTAAATTTTGGAAACTTTGAAAATCTTGGAAAATCTTGAATCTCTTGTTGCATTAATAAAAAATTTTGAATATACCCAGACAGACATTCACGGAAGCTGCTAATGTTAAAAGGGGATAAAGAAAAACATTAAAAAATTGACAATATATATTAATGATTGAATAGAACAGTAATGAGAAATATCTTCATATTGGAAAAATCTTAAACACTGGATTTCAATTGTGTTAGCACAAAGCACGGTTAGCATGGTGTTCGAAAACGCAAGAGAACTGTAGGCTTGCTGGATTTGAAATATTCCCTGTGTAAAAGGTTATGACCGAAAAGATAATTCCATAGGTTAAATTGTGCAATACACAATGGCGATAACCGAAACAGGGTACTCATTGGTAGCTGTTGGTGTTGTGCTTCTATGGCCCCAGGTCTCCAAGAGTAAACTTTACTTATCAAAATGTATAAATTTTATGTTCTTCGCAAGGTGTAGAAAAGGCAAGAAAATGTCCAAAAATTTCGCCGATAGCAGGTCATACTCAAAATTTTCGCGCAATCACAGTAGGATCACAGTTCTGTGTTTTAAAGATAGATGAAATAATGCAATACAATAAAAAAATGCAAAACTTTTCCAATAATTCAGAAAAGACTACTCAAAGTAATTAAAAGAGTTAATTTGAAATAAAAAAGGACCATATAACATGGTAGATATATTCTTTTTATTTTTTCAAGACATTTTTTTTAAATTGCTTATTGCAAAGAAAAGGAAGTTTTATTTTTGGTGGCGTCGTTTATAAGACTAAATATTTTTGCTTAGATGCATTAAACATGATTGAATTTACCGTTTTTTACCAGCAGCTTGCTGTATGACATATGTTATATCTATAATACAAAAAAAGTGAAGTTGAAATTCGCCTATTTAATTTCAAGATTTTTGAAATTTTATTTATTCGTGTAACTAGCAATTAAAATGTAATATGAAATAATATTTAATTAATTATTATTAATATAATTAAACTCCACTTTTGGATAACATTTCTTCTAAAGATGCTTGTTTGCTGGCACCACGTTCAATGAAAGTCTAATAAACATTATTTATAACTCCTTAGTCTCAATAGAATAGTGTTTTCTACATTTGGACGGGAGCATCTCCTGAGATACACTAGACTCACACATATTTTGCATAATTTGCACACGATTCAACACACGAAATAAGAATGACTACTCATAAACTTAAACTAAGTAGTATACCAAACCAAACAATATTAAACACAGGTAGGTATAAAACTATTTTCTATTACGGACCACAATTTTACCTGAATTTAAATTCCAAAACTTTAGGTAATAACCTTGTTGCATTGTACGTTAATGACCACCCTTGGATAATCCCCTTCCAAAGCAATTGGTCACTTTCTGATATCTATGAACAGACCATACGTATCATTGGACAAAACACTTCACCTAGTCAAAGATTCAAGACGGGACAAAAAAAGATCAAAATTTAAAATTCGGTCAGAACATTTCCATATGAAAATCATAACCACTAAGAATTCTCTACTGAGGTGGATGTGAAAATTTCCAGACGAAAAAAAGCAGGAAATTAAAAACATTAAATGGCTGCTGCAAATTGTTAACCATATTTAAACGTCATACAGTGTCACTGTCAATGTGACAACTTTGGAAAATTGCTCCTATACAATTTATTTAATAGAGTATGTATTTAATAGAGTAATTTTAAACGATGACTGAAAATAAGGGCATCAGCACGAACCAAATCATTCCAAATCAAGACACAGAAACAACTCCCTCGGGTGACAGAGCGATTTGTATTGATTTTTACTGAACTTAGTGGTCTTGTAGAATCGGATAGTGCATGGCGTTCTCCAAGCAAGTTAAAACAAGAAGTACAAACTATAATCGATATTATGGCACCGTCATTAACGCAGAGGTTTAGCAGCTTTAATGCTAGCAGCGACGCTGATAACGAGGAATCGATTTTTAGTAACTCTAAAGTGTCTTCCTTGGTACTTAATTTATCCACTAATAAAGAAACCTCTGTTAATTTATATTATACTCGTAGCCGAAATTTAAAGAAAAATGTGACTGTAATGTTGACGATTCCGACAAAACGGACGCCCCTGATATTTCCAGAGACGATACGAACCTATCGGTATTGGCTGACGCGACCATAAGGAGCACCGATGTGGAAGGCCGATGTTTTTCATTGGATCATATATCGGACTACATTTGCCCTCCACCGCTACTGCCAGCTAACGTTTGCATCAATTCGGAATGTCTCTGCCCCCAAATGGCCACGCTTGTACACGCTGGTGTCTCAAACATGGGACCTTCTTTTGCCAGAGACGTACGGGTACCGCGAGGTGCTACGAGTGAGCGGCGATTTGTTTCTGGTGAAAAGGGTAAGAGGTTATTAAGTTGGTAATGTCATAAGTCCATCCGCGTACTTATCCACAGGGTTTAGTAAGATGAGATTAATAAAATAGAGAATGCGTAAAAACTACAAATTTTTTACAGTGGAATTATTTTTAACCATATAGCTCCTAAACATATAGATTCTCTGCCTATACTGATAATATAGGAACTTTAAAAGCCACCATGAAAAAAATGTTGATCCAAAATGGCCTGATTCGCGTCAATTTTTACTTCTGTAATCTAATAACGGTTTAAACACTTACATGAAATGTTCCATGAGAGTTTGAATATTTAAGAAACGGACCATATTTTTACCCATAGAATCTTATCTTTGGAAGGCGATTTTAAAAGCAATTTTTCAAAAACATTCATCTGCTTTGCTTGTCATTCGAACATTTTTATTGTAATTTTAGACGATCGAACCGCGAAAGAGTGCCAAGTTGTGAGGAGTTCGGTAATGAATTGGCTAAAAAATATTGTTTCTGGTTATAACCATAAATATGATAAAAACAATTGCGAGTACTACAAGATGGACGTTAAGCGAAGCAGGAAGGATGACAAAAGTCCGCCCAGGGTAATCTTATTTTAATTATTAAATTAATTTAATTATAGTGAACAATTCATTTGTGAGTTTTTTAAGGACTAACTTTAAGTATTTCGATTGTTATTCTCCAATTGTTTTCTAGAATAATATCCATGTTTTTGAATGGGTGAATCGTTTGGACTTGTTATCGACGAATTTGATGTAAATGTGTGCAAAAAAAATAAACCAACGCGTCATCCAATGTTACGATTTAATAATTAATTTTTTTCAATCTAGTTTTTCACCTCAGTTTACCAAAATATCATCAGCATTAGGGTAAAATGGTAATTTGTAATTCTTATAGCGTGTAATTTTTGAATTGGTCGACGCTAATCTTCCGAAGAAGGATAAACACAAAGTGCGCGAATCGACGACGAAAGGCGACAAAGGGTCTTATTTTACATCCAAGGAAAGAAGGAGCCAAACATATGCTTTCGATCATGATCGCTACATGCACGAAAATTTGCAAAAAATTCCTTGCCGGGAAGACGAGTATTTTGAGACCGACAAAACGGACACGTGCTGCGAGAAAGCCCCATTTGATTTTAAAAAAACCGCCGGGAAGACGACTTATTTGGATACCCAAGGCAAAACTAGGGTGGACGTTTATTACTTCGATCATGGAAATTCAACGTAAGTGTCTGAAAATTGGACTTGATAAATGTTTTTAAAAATATTTGTACAATCTAATATCGAAAGTTTAACAATTTAACAAGTGTGGTAACTGGCATTTGAGTCACCAGTTGATTTGACACGAGCTGAGCGAAAAAATTAAAAAGTGTACCAAACCTGTTGCATACCATACTTTTTCTACGACCGTTAGTTTTTGAGTACCTTTTTTGGCAAAACTTCATAAACGTCATAATTCAAGCCGTGCTGTAAAATCTTCGAAAACATGTTTGAAGCGGCTCAGATTCGTGGGAAATGATTTTTTTCCTTTAAAAGCACGCCATATAAATTTGGAAGGAAGATATCTGAAATCGTTTCTTAGAAAATCCAATTGAAAAAACTTGTACCCCAAAAGACAAACAGAAGTTTTTTCCACAAAATGAATCGAATGAATGAAATATTTGCGATAATGTTTGTGAATGTAATAATTGTGATTACCATTGTAGGCATTTTCAGACTACAGATTATCCGCCGTTGGTGTGCACAGAAGCCCTCTCGGAGAAGACGGAAAAACAAGCGACAAAATTTTGGGCGGAGATTTTTGGCACCGTCCATATTGGATTTTCTTTCTGCACTTCTTTCGCTCTTCAACTCTTTCGGTAATTTTCGTGTTATTATATTAATAACATCGCTTTTTAGTTATATATTTTTAAAATAGTCGATAACAGTGACGGTTTGATTTAATTACATCTTATATTTATTCCAGATTTGTTTTGTACAGTATATTACGCCCGCTCACCATAGGATTAATGCAGTTGTCGTCCGATTACTTCTTCAAACCATTTTTAGCTACTTTGTTTAACGGGATTATCCAACCGATCTTGATATTTTTTTACAACGTTGCCACATCTGTTAAGGATCTTTGTCATCCTTTGGCCGAAGGCGTTGGCTATTTTATGCGCGAGTTTTCCGTGCTTTTGAGGGCAATCAGAATCGTGGAAGTCAACACAGGAGGGTGCGAAAGTAACCCGCATTGTAAGTGCGAAAAAATAAAAGTCGGAAAAAAAAGCAAAGTCAACTGTTAATGTCACTGACTATCTCTATAAGGATAACCATTAAGTACTTTATACAAATATTGTCGAATTATACATGCTTATTATAAATATAAAATGAATGCTAGTAAAATAACATGCGCTTTATTTTGCCTTAAAAGTTATAGTGAATCATGCTCCACCCATATCCTTACTAGCTTAAAGTCAGCAAGGTTTAAATATCTGCTTATAGATGCTTACGGTTTTCTGAATCACGGAAAAATTCTATTGATTGTTACTTATTCACAAAACAGTAAAGGTTGTTTAACCAGAATTATTCCAAATTATATATCAATATATCAGATCATAAGAAATTTCTAAAATGTTAAAAAATAATTTAGGAGTTTGAGTTGGAATTACATTGTTCTTGTGAATAGTGGAGTAACTTGGTTATTAGTCCCTAGAAAATAAAAAAATGTTTTAAATTGTTTTCTTTGTTTTCATCTCAGCATTATTTTTGTGCCAAAGTGATATTTCGAACATTTGATTTCATCACTAATTTTATATTCGGAAGCATTAAAAATCTAAATATCCATTACGTAATAAACTTTAAAAGTAATGCCCCATTACAAGGCATTTAAAAGTTTGAACTTGGTAATGCCCTTTTCGCATTAGTTAAAATTGAAAAATTAATAGCGTATTTAAAATTGGTATTGGTGGCTTTGAAATATTATTAAAATATTATGCAATATTGTTTCTACAAAAATTGGTTATTGGGTATTTTTAGTCAAAACAGCATTTACACATTCATTGAGTGCTGATCGCTCGCAGCTCGTGACTAAAGTACCGAAAACTTTCCAAGTGGCTGGTGACAGGGTTTAATGAAACTGATGTCTTAAATTGATACCTTTGTACCCCTAATTAGTACATTTTTCTTTAGAGACTTCCAAATTTGCCCACTGTACAATTCGAAGCTTGCATTTAAGCACTTTCGTTCGTTTTGAAATTGATTTATCGATGTTTTTTCATCCCACCATTTTAAAATAATGTCATTATAATGTCATTGTTTGACAAATGTAGATACAAGAATTCTTGAATATAAAATAAACTTAAAAATGAATAAGAATCCCACCTCAGAGGCAAAAAGCATAATTAAACAGTGTCGATTAGATGCAAGACGTGATAAGGAAAAGTTCGTTTTAGACGAACTGTTATCGATTCAGTTGCCACATGATTTACTGAAAAAGTACAAATTAGGAAAGAGCAGTAAGCAATATTTGATGGAATTTGCAGAGAAAACAAAATCAAAAGAATACAAAAAAAGGTTAGTGCCTTTGTGTCCCGAAATTCCTAAATGCCAAGACGCTCACAAGAAGTTGCGGAGATTTAGTGACGAATGTCCTTTTACGGCGATGTCACATTTTCAAGAACTTTGCATTAGAAAGAAGGTAAATACTGTAGAATTAGGCTTAAAATAAATGTAAAATAATTTGTTTACTTTATTTTAGTATCTATTGAAATTATTTTTAAGTAGTCTATACAGGAGAATTTGAAGGCGTATCACTTGCATATAGAATGAACCTGACAATTCATATCACCAAAATAAAGTATTGCTTCAAATTATTTTTCTTCACCTTTACCAAAATATTAAATGACGAAATGTAGTTATTTGACGAAATTTTCCTTAGTTAATGCATCAATTTTTTGGAACTATTGCTAAATGTAAAACCAACAAAATAGAAGCTAAATGTTTTCACTCTATATTTTCCTAAAGAGGCAAAAATTTATTTTGAAAATCAATATTCACTAAATATGCCACTAGGAAACCAAATTTAATTATTCGCAAGTTGCCAAAAAATATATCTGGTATGAAAATTTTACAAAAATGTGGGTTTGCAATGCATTTGCTTTGTTTAGAAGTTATTGTTCTTTTATTGATTAATAATTCAACGAATGACAAATTCCACGCAAAATGTTAAAAGCAAAATGAAATGAATAAAGAAACAGTTAATTGTATATTGTTTTTCCCATTATTAGATATATCTGGATTTGGCTGCTTTGTATAAGATGCCAAGTCTATTTTAATTGCGATATTTTAAAAGCACATGATTTTCCATTTGCGCATTTTATGCTTTGGAATTTATTACATTTCGTATTCAAAAGATGAATTTGGTTGTTTTTTATTGGTGATTTTGCGATCCTTACGATTTGAGAGTTAGAGTTATTTGAAAGGGATTTGCTATTTAGTGCATCACACAGCGTTGGCTTTTCTTAGCGTAGAACATGAGCAACTGAAATAAATCATGGAAAATCCATCACAAGCTGTTTATATTATACGTCGTATGGATGAAAAACAAAAATTAAGTTACATTAAAATATGGCATAGGATTATTTTGTGTAAACGGTGTTCTTGTTTGTGGTTTTAGATCCAGGCGAAGAACCTAGAAAAGAAGTTTCCGAAATTAGTGGAAACTGCTATAGCTGAAGCGAAAGCGCATTTCTTATCAGTGACTCACACAGCCGGCGTTAATTTGAAAGTGAAGCCCTTGTCAAAGAATGAAAAACGAATTATAATAGAGCCATACAAGTTTTTGGGCAGATCTAAAAATTACGGCAACTACTTGCTGGTTCGCGATGAACTACTGACCAAGTGGGTCCTCCACCATCACATTATCAGAAAAATTTTGGACGAATGCGTAGTTTGCCTTCCTCGTACGCTTTGCACGATCAGCAACTTGAGAAACAAACCTTACGACATAAAAGAACTCGATGCGGTTTTTATGAAATTCGTCGAAGATTCACAAACCGCTGTCAAAAAATTACACGACAGGGTGGTGGAAATTGTTGGGCGGTACACCACGAAATTACATCCATCGGTTTCTAACAGGGTGTTCAAAGCGTGTGACGGTCTCCTCTCGGTTCACATAGGTCAGGCACTCTATAGAACAATCGAACACATTATCGACGCTACCGCAAGCGAAAAGTTAGTCCCCTATTTAAAGCTGTCCATCCACTATAAAGAAAATTTAGTCCTTCAGCCGACCGACACAGATTTGGTTCTTATTTACACAATATTCATAAATAAATTGGTAGAATGCTCGAACAAATATATGGCGCTGGAGTACTTCAAGAAGCGTAATTACCCCAGCAGGATCATTCGAATTTTCATAACCGAGGAATACGTTAATCAAGCTTTGGAGAAGGTGGCGGCCAATATCAGGAGATTGTATGAGCCGATAACAGCTTACGTGCGGAAACTCGATGACGATTTCAGCGAAATTTACAGCGATATTAGAATTGCAGGTAAAGTCTCCAAAAAAATTGTAATGTTTGTTGTGTTTAATCTTTTGATCGGCTGTTTGCGGTTTCTTAGTGGCTTTTTTTTAAATTCTCATGCATATGGCTGAGCGGTGTATTCCTGTTTTCACTTCATTTCACCATGTAAATTGTTAATCTATTTTCTTTTATTTCTTTCGAACTTGAACGTTTTGGGGGCACGGTAATAACTTACCGATAATCACCTTGTACGTTAATACGTAATTCTTGTTGGGTGAGTTCATTTATTTTTCATTTTTCATTTATTTTATCAATCTAGTCCAAGCTCGTTGCAGGAGTCGAAAGCAAATACGAAGATGTGGATATTTATACGCAATTCCGCAAGGGCTGTGAACAAATCAGACATTACCAGCAATATATAAGAAAAGCAAGCAGTATGTTGAGCAGCGAATATTTCGCTATGGGACAGTTAATTCTTTCCGAATACGTTATTACTATGAAAGAATCCGTATCTTCCATAATTGAAACAATATTTTCCGAATTGTGTGGTTTATACATTAGAGAGAATGAAGATATCTGCGATAGTTTCGAGAAGCTTAAAGAATACGCATTGATCAAGCCATCGACAACCGAAGATTTGATTGAGCAAGGTAATCCAGAAGTTTAATTAATAAAAATACGTTTGAAATTGTCGACAGGAAAATACATGATTTGGGCGAAGACCGTCCTTTTGCCTCAGAGCAGGGACAAAATACAAAACATGTTAAATAATTTGACTAAATTGATCGAGTTCGGAGATCTCTCCAAAGATCACGTGGATCTGAATTCCGAAACAGTGGGGTGGCTGCATAGAATCGAATCTATTTTGGAAGCCAACTCCATTATGTACGAGCAGCTCAAGTTCGAACACGAGGAAGAAGTACAAGCAGCCGTGAATCATGTGAATAACTCGATAGAAAAATTGACACCTATGCTAGGTAAGTTATTTGATAACTCAAGAAGATGGCGTGTTATTTTTTTTAATAATTCCACTGAAGCAAATTTGGATGATATGGACGACTACATTCAGTGTAGAGACTATGTGAACAAACTAAAATGTCACATGGTTGTGCTGAGGGACTTGAGAAATGAAATTGCTTGGATCGTCAAGGAACAAGAGTGTTTGGGTTTTAGGATATCTCCTTTCAAAAACGTCGAAGAGGTAGAAAATTGGATCTATCCATTTTTCCATTTAATCAAAGTCTGTGTCTACATTCAAAGGTATTTTTCAATGCCAAATTAGTTTTAATTAAATTTTATAAGCTAGATGAATCAGTCAGTCATATTTCAGGCATATAGACGTATGTTTGGATGGGCCTTTTGAATTCCTGAACTACGAAGAGACAGAGCGAAAAGTTGAAGACTTCATGAAAGAGTTATTGAAAATTCAAAAAACTTATAGAGTAAAGTTGAGGTTGGCACTTTAGGTGACGCTAGGAACGTGGTACAGCTCACTTTTTCCAGACAAACGCATAACGAAAGTTCCCAATTACGGTTTTTCGGAACAGTTGATGATCCCGATTTGTATGCTTGGCCTGCTTCCTTAAAATTGACATCTCTAGCTATCCAAACATTAAAGGACTTTAGGCCCGCGATGACCTTGATGCGAATAATGTGCAACGATGCTTTGGTTGGTGTTTTGTTTACAATGATGATTCTCGATGTGATTGAGTTATGGTTTTTGAGTAGATGAAGCGCCACTGGAAAGAGATGTCGCACATTGCTGGTTTCGATTTAACTCCTAACGCTGGTACTTCATTGAGGAAATTGACCTTAATGAGATTGGAGCCGGATTTGGACAAATATGACGTCATAAGGTTGGTAACACATAAGCGTGTATGTCTTTAGTCGATTTTTTAATTTGTGATAGTTCCGGAGCTACCAAAGAAAGAGAACTTTTAAGAAATCTGACGAAAATGAAGCAAGAATGGGACGATATATTCTTCAAAATAGGAACATTTAAAGACACTGGAATGATGATTCTGATGCAATTGGATGACATTCAGGTGAAGTTTTTCTTGACTACTTGGGGCATTATTTTTAGTTGTTTATGTTAATTATATTTGTAAACAATCCCAGGTCATTCTTGACGAGCATATTCTTAAAGCATTGACAATGCGAGGATCAATTTTTGTAAAACCGTATGAACAAGAAGTCAGAGCTTTTTATGACAAATTGTTGAGAATAAACCTCACTTTGGAGGAATGGGGAAAAGTTCAGTCCCAATGGTTGTACCTCCTGCCGATATTCTCATCTAAGGATATCGTGGCCCAGATGCCAGAAGAAGGAGCTTTGTTTAGAGAGGTATATCGATTTCGTTGACAGACCATTTGAAAGTTAAAAATCATTCTTTCAGGTAAACGACACTTACAAACGTTACATGGAGTTAGTCTATCGAGATTCGAGAGTTTTTAAAGTGGCGGGAGCGGAGGGAATTTTGGAAGTGATGCACCACTGCAACGAGCTGCTTGAAAAAATCAACGAAGGCGTGACGGCTTATTTAGAGAAGAAGAGACTGTATTTTCCCAGATTCTTTTTTCTATCGAACGACGAAATGCTCGAGATCCTGTCCGAAACAAAGGACCCCCTTAGGGTTCAACCACATCTTAGGAAATGTTTTGAAGCAATAAACGTGCTGCATTTTGACGACACATTGCAAATTCTCGCAATGTACAGTCAAGAGTCCGAGAAGATAACCTTCAGGCATGCGGTGAACACAAAAGAGGCCAGAGGGAGTGTCGAGAAATGGTTGGTACAAGTCGAAGAGCAAATGATTGCCTCTGTGAGGGATCAAATTCTTAAAAGCTTTAAAAGCTATTACGTGACTCCTAGGATTCAGTGGGTTTGTTTATCTGCAATGTGACCCAGGATGTTATGTTAAACTTTACTATTTAGGTGAAAAAATGGCCCGGCCAGATTGTTTTGGCGGTTTCCCAAATGCACTGGACATTGAACGTGCACAAGGCATTAAATTACGAGGAGAATTTGTCCCTCGGTGTGTTCTTCGAAAACTTGACCACTTCTTTGAACGATATTGTAAACCTCATTAGAGATCCGACTTTAACTAATCTGACTAGGATCACCATCAAAGTAAAATCGAATTAACATAATCTTATATGAAAACATTATAAGAATTTTCAGGCATTAATAGTTATAGACGTACACGCGAAGGACGTCGTTGAAGAACTATTAAAAAGAAATGTCGAGCACGAGAGAGACTTTAAATGGTTGGCACAGCTGAGGTACTATCTCGAAGATGATGAGGCATTGGTTCGATTAATAAACGCCACTGTAAAATACGCATACGAGTATTTAGGTACTAAATAGATGACAGCCCCGTTGTATACAATATAACTCAAACGTACCTTTTAACTAGGAAACACCGATCGTTTAGTAATAACTCCTTTGACGGATAGATGTTATCGCACCTTAATAGGCGCTTATCATTTGCACTTAAACGGTGCCCCGGAAGGACCAGCTGGTACCGGAAAAACCGAGACCACCAAGGATTTAGCTAAAGCCATTGCGGTACAATGCGTTGTGTTCAATTGCTCCGACGGTTTAGATTACAAGGCAATGGGGAAGTTTTTCAAAGGTCAGGTTTTGATCAGCTGCTATTTAACACGCCAAAAAATGAGTAACCAACATAAACCAAATTTTAACTCCGATCGCGTGGAAATTGTCTATGGAAATTCACTCGTCTCTCCACCATTTTTTTTGCACATTTCAACCAGGGGTCCTTTTTTTCGTTTTTCAGATACAAAAGTCATGTTTATGCTATTATCTAGAGATCGCAATTATTCTCGCTGGCAACGCTAAGCTAATCTAATTGAGGCTAAAACGAGTTAGAATTGATGAAAGTTAAATACTAAATATCAGTGCAGATATATACGGACGGGTTCTTTTTCCATCATTATCAAACTAATGCTTAAATTTTGAAATGAATTGAGATCCACTGTTTCACATGGATGTCATATGTCAATTGTCGATATAACATGACGTTGATAATTCCGTGGTTGGAAAAAGCTTGATGTTTAAAAGCTGTGCATTATTTTCTAGTGTTTCTAGTTCTTGCTTTTCTAATTGAACATCAATAATATAAGGCTTCGAATTTTGGGTCCATTTTAAAAAGAAAACTTCATATGAACATATCTCCTAAACGTCTTAACTTTTGAGATACAGGGTGGTGAAAATATCAAAAATAATATGTACATATTTTAATATCTGTAATACTATGTATCAAGAGGCATTCTTTAGTGTACCACAACTCTGAGGTGTATTTTTGAAACCTTTATAATTATTTCTTATCATTGTAGTAGGCTATGTCTGTAAGAATTATTAATTCTGTTGTCAAGGCAGTGGTTTAATATCATCTTATTAATTTGGTGTTAAAAATATCCGAGTATTGTTATTTTGAAAAACAATGGTCAAGTTTAATAATGAGGAGTTGGCAGATATGCATTTTATGTATAGTTTGGCAGGTCATACCAGAAACAGGTACTTGAGGGCAAATAATTATAAGTCCAGAAATTGAAGCAGTTTGAAATTCTATCGATGAAAATCCTAAACTTAGTACTAGAAAAATTGGAAATAATCTGAATATCTCGCAAGTCATATCATAAAAGAAATACTTTCCAGATGAAGCTAACTTTTTCAGAAATGCAATCAGAAATTACCACAATAACTATATTTGAGCTGATGAAAACCCACATGCAGTTGTAGAGCTTAAACATTAAGAATAGTTGTCGGTAGATGTTTGAGCTGAAATGTTTGGAAATTACTTAATTGGACCATTTTTTCTTAAAAATATGGTTTATTGCAACCCAGTTAACACTGTAGAAGAGCTGAAGCGTCGTATAAGAGCTTCCTGCGATTTAATAAGTATTACTGGAGGTATAGGATGCGTATATCCTACAAAAGTGGAGGATACTTTTAAAAACTTATCTAGTTTCTATGTTCTATTTGTTAAAAATTTTGTTATTAATTTATTAACAAACAATTTTGTTAAAAATTGAAATTGAATTGAAAAAGAACTAATTTCTCTGGATGCTGCCATAATAAGGATATTGTTATGACCATGACTATATTTTTATTTTAAGAGAAATCAGTGGCTTACCATCAATGTCTGCCAAAATAGACGGGTGAAATTCCGTACGCCTGTCACTGGTGTATTTTAAAAAGATGTAGTACACTAAATAATACCTCTTGATGTACACGTGTGACAGATTTCATTAAATTATCTACATTACAGAAATTAAAAAAATATATTCTATTTTTGAAAATTTTACCACCCTGTATCTTAAAAGTTAAGACGTTTAGGACATATGTTCATATGAATTTTTATTTTTAAAATGGACCCAAATATCGCCTTCTTAGTTATTGACGTTCAATTAGAAAAGACCCTGTATTTTCCAGTTTATCGTGATTTAAAGTTAAGTCCAGTGCTTATTTGAAAGGCACTTTGTACAGGGTCTATGCACAAGAAAATTTCATTTTTTTTGCGAGGTCTCTAGGAGCAATTTAGAAAAAAGTGCTTTACAAAATTGTCTTATTAATTAGTTAGTATTAGTAAAAAGTAAAATTTTCATGTTGTAATAGTTAAAACGAAATTTCCAAATGAAATCTTAAACTATCCGGACTATATCCAAAGTAAGTATGGTATGAATAAAATTTCTACAGAATGTCATTTTGATTCAAGCGCCGTTTCAATCATTGGCGCGTAATCGTTTCTAGGTCTCGCGTCTTGTGGCGCTTGGGCATGTTTCGACGAGTTCAACCGTATAGACATCGAAGTGTTATCAGTTGTGGCTCAACAAATACTCTCTATAATAATGGCAGTTAGAGCTCACTTGCCAAAATTTGTATTCGAAGGAACAGAAATTTCGCTGAACCCTGCCTGTTACGTTTGCATTACAATGAATCCCGGTTACGCTGGAAGAACGGAGCTTCCAGATAATTTAAAGGTACGTCACTCCTTGTGGCCCTTCCAGGTACTACGGATAATCGCGTTCCGTCAGGTTTTATTTAGAACAGTCGCGATGATGGTGCCCGATTACGCCATGATAGGGGAAATATCGTTATATTCATACGGATTCGTGGACGCCAGGAACTTATCTCTGAAGATAGTAACGGTTTATCGACTCTGTTCGGAACAGTTGTCTTCTCAAAATCACTACGATTATGGTAATACCGGAGCGTAACAGACAGTGATACAAACCATTTGAAAATGGGAATTTCATTCAATATATTTTTTTAAATGATGTTATTCTCTAAGGCATGCGGGCTGTCAAGACGGTATTGTCGGCGGCGGGCAACTACAAAAGAAAATATCCCGATGAAGGTGAAGACATCTTGCTACTTAGGGCCATTTTGGATGTCAATTTGCCAAAGTTCCTAAAGCACGATCTACCCCTTTTTGATGGTACGGTGCTAGTAGAAAATTATGTAACACGGGCGCATTTTTTAAATGAAATTTATCAAAATCAATGTTTCTCAACCAATACTAACCAATATTACCACAAAAAAACTGTAGACAATTTCAATTTTACCACTAGTCGACTTCTACACTAAATTGATTGCTAGGAAATGGTTACCAAATAAGCAGTAGTTACTTGGTCAGTTAATCCTTGGCAAAGGTAGATGATTGGTTCAAGTAAGGCTTTTCGAATTGAACATGTTTTTTATAATCGAATCCAGCAGCATTTTCGAGTAGTAGTCGTATCCTGGACTGATATATTTTCAGGTTTCATTGACTTCTTTTCGAATCAATGTATTATTGTAAATTCCGTCTATGATTTTGAATGTTAGACAAAGCTACTAGAATGAATGATGAATTAGGAGTATTATTTTAACAATTTTTGATAGACATGTGCAATTTTTTAAACAAAAATTTAGATAAGTTTTGAAGTAGATGAATATAAAAACTTTAAAATAGAAAAGTCGTCGCCATCACATCAAACTATTTTTGGTTATTACATTATTTTGCTTTTATTTGTGGGTTCAGTAAATATTTCATATTTTAAAATTTAAAAATATGCCGTTAACATATTTGTGTTTATCAAGAATTTGAGAAAAGCTCCAAAGTAATACAACATTTTGTATTAGGGATAATATCCGATTTATTTCCGGGAGTCGCTCTACCTAAAGTGGATTACGCGGAATTAAATAAAACCATGATTGAATGCGCATTAAAAGTAAACCTGCAGCCTGAAGAATCGTTCTTGACAAAGATGATCCAAACGTATGAAATGATGACTGTCAGACACGGTTTCATGTTGGTCGGGTACCCCCTGTCAGGAAAAACAAGTACCCTCAAAACACTAGCAGCTACTTTAACGCGAATGAATAAATTAGGTTTGAACGAAGACAAGGTCCTGCACTTCTTCGGTTTTAGTTGCTTGCGACTGAATTTTTTTTCGTAGGTGGACTATCTATTCTTAAACCCCAAGTCAATAACTTTGGGTCAGTTGTATGGTCAGTTTGACCCTATATCCTATGAATGGACGGACGGGGTAGTGGCTACGGCCTTCAGAAACTTTGTTACCGATTCGAGCCCCAACAGGTAAAGCGATTTCAGAATTATAACAGAGTGATAAAATATTAACGATTTAACTCCGCTACCCTATTATTAATGATTAGAGTTTGGATTTTTATGCACAGAAAATGCTTAAAATATGCTCATATACATGTCTGGTTTTCCAAAAAATATGTCAAATATATGCATTATTGTACCATCTATGTACTTTTATGCCTTTTATTTTTACAAAAAAAATATATTCAATTACTTATTTGAAATATGAGCACTTACCACATTTCCACAAGCCTTGCCAAATACTTCTTCTTTTTCCCAAGATAGCTCTGGATGATTTTTAATTCATACATATATAGACCGCTCCCATATATAGACCGCCTCCATATACAGACCGTCTCCATATACAGATCGCTTCTGTATACGGACCGCCTTCGTATACGGACCGTCTTTGTATATGGATCGTCTTCATAGAAAGAACACTTTCATAAATAGATTGTTTTTACAAAGAAATTATATTTTTATATAAACAATCAATTTATCTTTTTTTTTAATACTCGCTCTACTGCGCTCCGGTCGTGATTAAACTGTTTGAAATAATATTTTTATATTTAATTAATTTATATTTAATGAAATTAAATAAAACTGAAAATGAGATGTAAGTGGAAATATCCATAAATTAAATATATTTTAACCATATGTTTTTTTAGACACTCGCTCGGCTCGTGACTAAATTGTTGAATATAATATTTTTATGTTGAATATAATAATTTGTTTTGGTAAAAGAAAATTAAAATTGAAATAAAAATTTTTTGGTACTAATGAATTTTTAAATACATATTTTTGAGTTTATTATTATTATATATTATTAATTTATATTTAAATAAATTTAAAAAAATAAATAAAATGAAATGTGGCAAAAATTATTTTGTATTAAAAATGTAAGTAAAAAGATTTCCTTATTCGTAAGATGTTTGGTATTTGGGCATAAATATGTCTGGTATTTCTAAAAAATATGTCAAATATATGCTTTTTTCTACCATCTTTGTGCTTTTATATTTTTTACATATATTGTTTAGTGAAAATCAAGGAAAGAATAGTCATACAACGAAAAAAATAATAATACTTAATTAGGAGTATAAAGAAACCAACTGATAATTCACCTTCGGTATTTTGAATTCAATGATAGTGCACTCTCGGACGCTCGGACAGCAAATAAAATGTTTAAAATGCTTGGAAAAATTCAAAAATACATATGAAGAGGATGGGATGTATTTCATTCAATCACAAGCACCATCAGTGATAATTTTCAGAAGAGGTTTTTATAATCACATTAGATAAAAGCGTCAAACAAGAAAATGGAAGAGGGCTTAATCCTTAGGAAACGGGATTTTTAATCTTATCCGTTTGGAAAATCCCAGTAATAAACTAATGAATGGGTCAATTTTCTATTTTTTGCTCGAAAAATAGAAAATATTCACTTCACAATGTATAACAACAAAAATATGTACTAAAGCTTCATTTTATGCGTAATTTGTAATTTTTTTATATCGTTAATATAATTATTTCATTTTAAAAAGGGGTATATCCTAAATATTGTGTTGATATTCCTAATAATAAAAAAGATGTTTTTTACATAAAATCATAACTCTACTAATGATACTCATAAAGCAATCAAATTGAACAGAAACGTGTGGCAAACGGGAACATCCAAAACAGTTTTATGACATAAATTAGCTAGTCTTTATGTAGGCGCGTGATTCCTTAGCTTCCTTAGATATTATAATATTTTATAATAATGATTTATTTTTCATAACTTTTATTTTTGTATTTTGTTTAACTACGGATGTTCATTGATTTAAGGTTAGTGGTACATATTATATGTCACAAATCATATTATCAAATATTTCGAAGAACTTGATTTTGTTAGCTAAAACTCACTTTTTGTCTAAATTTGTATTTTGATTATACAATTCTTTAATCAACTTCGGTTGTCTTTATTTCCTTACTTAACAGATGGGTATACACCTGTTCAAATATTTGTATAAGCGAAGAAAGAAGAACAACGAATCTTTGTTTATGAAATTTAATGAAAATTGATGGTTCGGCAATAAAATGCTATAAAAATAATAAGTCCTATATATATTTCACCCATGTCGGCATAATTTTGCATTTTGCAATAAATTGTCAAATTCATTTGAATTAAAAAATCAATGAGATGCCGAGCATTTTAACGATTATCAATTGACTTTGCCCCATTCAGAAAATGGATAATTTTTGACGGCCCAGTGGATGCGGTCTGGATAGAAAATATGAATAGCGCCCTGGACGATAATAAGAAGTTGTGTTTGATGTCAGGAGAGGTGATGTCGATGACGAACTCTATGTCATTGATTTTCGAAACTATGGATTTGGAGCAAGCATCGCCAGCAACTGTAAGAGTTTTTGGAAAATCCTATTAGTTATAAATTCTATATGAGAAACGTCTGGAAAATAGTTTCAAAATTTCACCTTTTTTATAATTTAGGGAACGTACAACTACTTACGGCGAGTCTTTAATATTGAGCGTTGAATATTCCCAGGTATCAAGATGTGGCATGATATACATGCAACCCGAAAACTTAGGTTGGAGGCCTTTCGTCGATTCTTGGTTACCGCATTGTAATCCAGAATGGTGTGGTCCAAAAAGAAAAGACTACATTAGAGATTTGCTCGATTGGATCGTACCACCAAGCCTTGACTTCTTAAGAAGTAAGTGTCTTCAGGTAAGTCTTACAGGCAATGATGAGGGTAGTATAATGAAACCGTCCCATCGTTAGTACTGCAATCCGGGCGATATAAGTCTGGTGAGAACTATGATGTCCTTGATAGAAATGTTACTGAATGATGCTTGCCAGAACTGCAAGAGAAAAGAAGAGGAGTTTAAAAATATGAACGTGTGGATACAGGCAACGTTTATACAGGCGGGTGTAGGTTGATGTCAAAATCTGCTGCATTAATTTAATTCAGAGATATTTGCTAATGATACTAAGGTTTGGGGCCTGGGTGGCGTATTAGACAAATATTCCAGAGCGATGTTCGACGAATTCTACAAACTGCTCTGGAAGGGGCTAATAGGCAATTGCCCTTATCCAACATCAATGGACAAGTTGGAAGTCGGCATTCCTTCTGAGGGAATGTTATTCGATTATTCTTATAATTACAAAATGAAGGGCAATTGGAAATATTGGCCGGAAATAGTGCGGACTCAGAAGATCGATGATTGCAAAAATATAGTACAGGCGCTCATTCCTACGGTGGACACGGCACGGTACAAGAGAAAAGTTTGCGGTATATTCTACACCATTTAATAATATTTTTTATCAAAGATACATGGCGTTAATAGACTTACATATTCGTTACAAGAAGCGGCTTCTTCTAGTGGGTCCCACTGGGACCGGAAAGACTTTTTATGTTCAAGATATGTTAATGTACAGAGTGGACCAGGAGAAATTTGAGCCCGCATTTATCACTTTCACAGTTCAGATTTCAGCAAATCAAACGCAAGAACTGATTATCTCGAAACTATCCAAGAAAAGGAGGGGGCACTATGGCGCTCCGAAGGGAAAAACTACTGTTGTGTTTATAGACGACGTTAACATGCCATTGAAAGAGGAATACGGGGCACAACCACCCTTGGAGTTACTAAGGTACTCTTACGGATTTCGTCTTTGTAAACTTACATTATGAAACGTTCTACGCTTGGGAACGTTGCTTACCTATGAAAACTGAAGTTATGATAGTAACTGGATATTTTATGCACACTCTCGCATTTGACACAAATCTAAAAGTACTTATAAAAAAAAATGCGGTGCTAGATGCTGTAGAATTAAATAGAACCATTGAATCAGAACCGCACAGATTGAGATTTTCGTTGCGTATTATACAGGATGTTCTATAAAATTTCAAATCAATCTATCAAATCAAAAGCCACAAATTTCCAAACTTAATAATAATAAACAGCGTTTTTACAAAAGCAGACATATTCTAATAAATAAATTGAAAAACTTTTGGATATGCCTGATTAGTCTTATACAAATAACGGATATGTAAAAATTAGCCGTTTTTTTTTCTGTAAATATAAAGTTGAGCTTATGTGTCTGCTGGAAAAGAGATGCCTACTTAAATTTATTACTGTCTAGTAGGGTAAGATCCCAAGCACGGCAGACCTACGTTATTTTAGCAAAGCTGAAATTATAAAGATGGGTATGGGTAGCATTAAAGGAAATAACTTTAAAGTTAACAACCTCGTCATCTACATTAAATTTATTGGATGCAGTTGTATCACAGACTCCAAGTTTATCACCTAATTCCACACCTGATCCAGTTACAATACTAGAACAAGTTATTTTATCTGTGTTACCAGAACCGCAGAAATCAATTTGAAGAAAATATTCAATCAGAAAATGTTGATTTACTTATTGAAGATGTTATTTCTGTGGAAAATTAAGTAAACATTGAATCCGAGGATAAAATTTGCTTAAATTGTGACAAAAAAAAATCGATCAAAAGAGCAGCCGTTAGGTTCGTGTGATTTATCTAGTGCTAAGAAAGAAATTGAAAATTATGCAAAAACGAACAGAATTTTATTACCAGCATTTGTGCCAAAAAAAATTTCAAAATAAAATATTAAAAAAATTAAGAAAGGATTTCATCATCAAGTGCCTTTTGAGGAGGTAATTGATTTTATCTGAGAAAATGTAATCGAAACAGAACGGTGTTATTTTTTAACTTATCTTCACAGATATTATATTGATTTTATCGCAAGAACGGCAGAAAAGCAGTTGACAAAATTTCAGAAAATTTCACGCCACAAAAAACAACAATTAAAAAACAAAAATTTATCAAAGAATTTAACTCCTAAATATTTGACCTCCGTAGATAATTTTGCAAAAAGCTGCTTTAATTTTAAGAAAATCCGTCATTCAATGAGATTACAGTACCACAAGGGGAATTGGACTTTTATTTCATACTCACAATTGGTAGTAATCGAAAAATAAAAAACAATCTTAAATGTATTCGTCAAGTACGATCATTCAGTGAAGATATCCTATATGGAATATACAACTCAAAATTTAGATCATCAACATTACGCTTGAAATGAAAAGTTTTATAATAAAACAAATTTTCAACAATATACATAAATAAAAATAAATATACAATATATAGTCTGTATATTGTCTTTGCGCTCGCACACACAGTGGAACTTTGTTGGCGCCTGGGAGGGCCCATCTGAATCATCCGCCTGTTCAATTATAATTTTATAATGTTACTCTCAATAACATTTATAAACGGCGTCTTTGCTACTATGACGTCGGTTGCCTTATTTTTTAGAAATGTCTAAGAGTCCGCAGGAAGTTATGGTCCACAGGACGTGACTCCCAAATATATATACTTGTTTATAACAACAATCGTTAGAAAATGTGTAAAAACCTACCATTAAAAATGAATGTAGGTGAGCAATGATTTTTACACCTTTTTGACTTACTTTCAACCTAGCAATTACCCGTACCTTCCTATACTATTCATCTTTAAAATTTCAGCTTTGCTAAAATGACGTAGGTCTGCCGTACTTGGGATCTTGGACTATAGCATTTATAGTACTAGAGCAATTTTTAAAAAAAAGGAAATTCTTTTGTAGGGGTACATTTGCAAAACATGTTCTTTGTTGTTTCTTTTTAAAATAGATCCCATAAAGACGTTGTAATCACATGTTTTTGATAATTACAGTGATATTATTCGAGAATATTTGTTGTCATTTTGCAGAACTTTAATCAACATCTTTATAACCAAAAAGAGAATGAATTCACATCCCGTTTTTCAGGCAATTTTTCGACCATAAAAACTGGTACGACGTTAAAACCACCGAACCAATATATTTGCGCGATGTGTTGTTTCTCGGGGCCATGGGCTTGGTGGGAGGAAGTCGCCAAGATGTTTATCCGAGGTTTTTAAGTCATTTCAACATATTTTCAATAAACGAGTTCAGCGAGGAAAGCATGTCGAAGATATACTCGAACGTGTTGCATTTGGGTTGGAAGAATCACGGATTTCCCACGGAAATAATTTCGATGGTGAACCAAACAGTTGCCGCAAGCTTGCAAATTTTCAAAGAGGCGATCGAACACCTAAGACCCACTCCGTCGAAAAGCCACTACGTTTTCAATTTGAGAGATTTTTCGAGACTGATACAGGGTGGGCGGCTATTTGATTAATCGTTAATATTCGGGTTTTGTCACTTTGCTTACAGGTTGCGCAATGCTCAGAAAAGAGTCGGTGGCCCATAAAACTTTTTCGAAAATTTGGGTTCACGAGGTCTTGCGAGTGTTCTACGACAGATTGATCGAACAAACCGACAAAGACTGGCTCTTTGGTATGATTCGAATTTGCGTCAGGGACAATTTCAAAGAGTTTTTCGAACACGTATTCGATAACTATCCGCGCGACGATAATGGTAGCTATCGAATGTGATTATCTAAAACGCGTAAATATTTGTTGGTTTCACAAAGGTTTCGTGACCCAAGAGTCGATCAAGGAGCTTCTATTTGGTACGTATTTTGACCAGGATGCGGAACTCGAAGAAAAACGTTACGAGGAGGTTCAGAATATCGAAGCGTTTAAACAATTGAGCCAAAACTGCCTCGAGGAGTACAATGCCACTCACAAATCCAAAATGGACATTGTTTTATTTGATTACGCGTTGGAACACCTCTCAAAAATCTGTAGAATCCTATCTATGAATTGCGGCAGCGGTCTATTAGTAATCTAATTTCGGTGACTGTTATATTCGTTTGTGTTCATAGTATTTTTAGGTCGGCATTAGTGGATCCGGCAGGCAATCACTAACTCGTTTGGCTAGCGAGATCTACGGGCACGCGTTATTTCAACCGGAAATCACCAACATGTACGGCACCAACGATTGGCGAGAGGATATTAAGAAAATTCTTAAAGAGGCCGGAGGGCGGGGAAAACATACCACCTTCCTAATATCGGAGGGGCAGATAAAAGAAGAGAGTTTTTTGCAGGACATCGATTGTTTACTTAACTCTGGCGAGGTGCCTAATATTTATCATATCGATGAGAAGCAAGAGATTCTAGACATGGTTCGATTAGCTGCTCAAGGTAAACAGTTCTATTTAAACTATTCATAACATTGTGGTGGAAAAAAAACTACTCCAGGTGGTAATAGAAATTTGGAGATTAGCCCGCTGGAAGTATTCTTCTTCTTCACCAAGAGGTGCAAAGAGAAGCTGCACATAATGTTGTGCTTTAGCCCGGTAGGAACCACGTTTCGTAATCGGCTGCGCCTGTATCCTTCGTTGATAAACTGCTGTACCATAGACTGGTTTAATTTTTGGCCCCATGAGGCCCTCGTCGAAGTTGCTAAGGGCTGGATGCAAGACGTAAATCTCTCTGAGGAGATCAAGGAAAACGCAGTGGTAAATGATTTTCGAAATCACATCAATGTAGACCAACAGAAGTTTTTTAAGACTTATTGAACTAGTAGCATTTGTCAATAATTTTAGACGGTTTGTCAGTATTTTCATCTGCAAACGTTAAAAAAGTCGGAAGAGTTCTACAGCAAAACGAGCAGAAAGATTTACATCACGTCCGCATCGTATCTCGAGCTGATCAGATCGTTTACCGAACTAACCAATAGAAAACAACGCGAAATAATGGGAGCAAAAAATAGATATCTGGCAGGCTTGGATAAATTGAACCACGCAGCTGTTAGCATAGGTAAAACACATCAATATCAATAATCGATATTAACGGTCACGTCCGTGGTGCAGGTGAAATGCAGAGTTCTTTGGCTGAACTGCAACCTCAACTCAAGCAATTGAGTGACAAAGCTACAGCAATGACCAAACAAATCGAGCACGAAACGTTAACTGTCGAGCAGATATCGGAAATCGTAAAGCAAGAGGAAAAAAAGGCCAATAGACACGCGGCTACAGCCAAAGCGCTGAAATTGGAATGCGAGGCCGATCTGGCCGAAACCATGCCCATTCTCAGAGAAGCTATATCCGCGTTAGATACGCTGAAGCCGGCTGATATTAGCTTGGTGAAAACCATGAAACATCCGCCAGATGCCATTAAGTTGGTAATGGCGGCCGTTTGTATTATAAAAGGGGTGAAACCGGATAGAGTTGTAGACGTGGCAACCGGCCGAACGATCCTGGATTACTGGAAACCTAGTGTCAAGTAAGTGAAGTCAGTCTTCTTGTTGCTTCCTTGATCAGTGTTGGGATTTCTGCTTGGTACAAGAAAATATAAAAAAACATAACAGCCAATGAATGTTAAATGTAATTCGATGCAAATTAAGAGTATTTGCATACTATATTCTTAGCATAATTCTGACGTCCTTTCATATTGCCGATATGTAGTAGATGTAAAGTGGTGATTGGCCAAGTAATTGCAGTAAAGTGCAATTGAAAATTATTTTTCGAAATTGTAGGATCTTGGGCGACATAAATTTCCTGCAATCTCTTAAAGATTTCGATAAGGACAATATAAAACCCGAATACATGGCCAAACTGAGAAAGGAATACATTACTCATAAGGACTTTAAGCCGAGTGTGGTCGCTAAGGCTAGCAGTGCGGCGGAAGGCCTGTGCAAGTGGATCATCGGTCTGGGGGTTTAAGTCATCAACGTAGACGCTTAATTTATTCATTCTTCCTTCAGCTATGGATATGTACGACAAGGTATACAAAATTATAGCGCCGAAGAAGGCCAAACTCGAGCAAGCGGAGCGCGAATTCTCGGAAATAATGGAGACTTTAACGGAAAAAAGAAACGAAGCGAAACGACTCGAAGCTCAGCTTCTCGAGTTGCACGAAAAACTAGACGACGCTACAAGGAAGCAAACGGAATTGCAGGACGCCGTCGATTTGTGTAACAACAAGTTGATCAGGGCTCAAAAATTGATAGGTGGTCTTGGTAAGGGAATGAACGTTAATGCTATAAAGCCACGCTTCTGCTGTACAAATACTGGCCAGCAATTTTTTATTTGTTTTTTTGCCTCAAATACTTGTTTTCGTACTTTAAAGTTCAGCGTAAGTTTTTTAAAACAAACTGTTCGATATTCCCCTAGTGAAAATATTGCTTTATGCCTAGAGCAAAAAAATCGCCCAACCTCAAAGAGGTTCACAAAACTATAAGGATTCAATTATCAATTCACGAAAGAATCTACAGCTGAATATGTGGTTTATGCAGCAGTGTTTATATTTAAAGTTAACACCGAAATTTGTCAATTTGAAATGCAGACCTCGTACAACTTTATCGAGAAAAGCTATCGAAGTTGCTAAAACCATGTGGATAACCACGCAGTTTGAGGGATGAGGTCGAATATTTTAAAGTGAATTCATACCGACGGTTAAGTAAGAAAATTTACAATCTTAAATTGCGTTTTAGTAATTCGTCTAATTGTTAATATTTTCTCGAAAGAGACCATTGACCAGCTTTGACGCAAATTTCCATAAGCGTTTTCTCAAGTTAACAAAAATAACTTTTAGTCGACTAGAAGAGGAATTACTCAACTTAAATGTTAAATATTATTTTTCATACAATAATCTTAGCAAAATTAAAGACACCCTAGCCATACAGTCCACATTTTTAGGTCTGAAATTATTAATTAATTCCAACTCACATAACAACTGTGGCTTTAGTCGTTTCAAAGGCGCTCACTTGAAATCGTTGTTGAGTAAAATTAAAAATGAAGACCTTGTGGTCACCACAGCTGATAAGGGTTCTCGTCTGGTTATAATGGAGAGGAGGACATATGTCGATAAGTTTGACTTTTTGGCAGTGCATGATTTTTACCAGATGAAACAGGACCCCACTCATTCTTTCATTAACAGAATAAAAAAAACAATTTAGATCAAGCTTTACTAAGACTTGAATTCTTCAAAACTTATAAAGAAAGGTTATATCCTATGAATCCCAAAACACCTTTAGTATATCCTAAGATACATAATGAGAGGATTCCCATTTGACCCGTAGGGTCTTTCACGGTTTCATTGTTAAAATCTAGCTTCATAGCTTAACATGGTTCTTAGAAACACAAACTGGCTTTCGGAGTATTTATTCTACCAAAAATTCAGTGGAGTTGACCAGTTACTTGAAGAATATTGACATTTCATACAGTGCTATGTTGGCTTCTCTTGATGCCAAAAAACTATTCCCAAGCGTTCCATCATCTGACTGCATCGATTTAGTGAGCTCTTTATTGAATGACACCACTTTACCGTCATCGATGCTCTAGTTCTAAACGCTTACCGAATTCCTAAATTGCCATATACAAAACATATTCTTTGGACTATGAGGCAGGAAGATCTCTGTTAGGGTTCATGAACATCTAAGTTTGGTGAAAAAGTACAAGGAGACAGGTGACAGAAAACGAATCTGCTTTCGCTACTCATCGTTTGTAGACGGGGCATAACTTTTCTCCGAATAAAAATGTAATTGTTTTACATGAGTAGCCACAAAGTGGAAAACTTGATGTTCCTTGATCCTTGATTACTTCAATGACGTTTTCAATTTTCAGCCGACAATAATTTTTAATAATATAAAGTGCAGGTCTCTGGTGTAACCCCGTTAGGTGTTTTTTTTTTATATTTTTATGTTTTTACTTTTTCGGTTCGGATATCGGATTTGGTTTCATTCCATTTTGTGTCTGTGTGTGTTTGAGTTGACGTCTTTGTAATTTGAATCTTTATAGTTTTATGCCTAAAGGGCCTTTTGACAATTGAATGATGATGTTTTATAAGTGGATGACGGTAAAAGTGATTACAGTTGACAAATATAAAACTTGCTGTGGATTAAAAAACAGCTTACTTAACAAGTTGCAATACTTGGAGCACTTCTTAATTAAAATTATGAAATAAATAAAAAAATTATAGGTTTTAGTAGAAAAAGCGACTTTGCCCATTTGAATTGAATTTTATTCCATTTCTCCATATTCAAGTATCTAAAATTATCAATCTTGATTTTAGTAAAATGTATAAAGTAATAGATGATAGATGATAGATAATAGATACTTTTCAAGTAAAATTTCTCTCTATTTTTTCATGAAATCCCACGTTTTGCCTTTTCATATCGAATTTTTCGAATTCCCCGCAATGATATTGGTGACCTGAGTGATGTCAAAAAGCACTTTTAAGTTATCCGATATGCACAAAAAAATCCTATCCCTTACGTGGTATTTGCCTATAGAATGTAATTTAGATGTTGTAATAATTCCTAAGTTTCTTTTCGGGGTAGGTGGCGAGAAAACTAGGTGGTCGGCAGTGGCGGAATCGCTTCAGGCTCAATACGACAGCCTCGCGGGGGATATTTTGATATCATGTGGTATAATCGCTTACTTATCTCCGTTTAACAGCCTGTTCAGGCAGGAAATGGTGACAGATTGGCAGGAATTCGTCAAAAAGCTTAAAATCCCGTGCGCCGAGCATTACCATCTCGCCACGGTATTGGGCTCTGATGTGAGAATTCAGACGTGGTATATAAGCGGATTACCGCGAGACGGCTTTTCTACCGACAATGGTAAATTGAAAGAGCACCTATTCGCCACAGTTAATGGAGGACTATTTCAGCCATTATAATGGATAATTCGCGTAGGTGGTCCTTGTTCATCGATCCGCAAGCTCAAGCCAGTAATTGGATTAAGAAAATGGAGAAGCCGAATAATTTGACCGTGGTGAAGTTTAGTTTCCCTGACTATATGAAAAAGATTGAGACGTGTATTCATATGGGGTATCCCGTTTTAGTGAGTGCAAATCAAGACAATAACTTAGTAACGGCATCTAATGGGCTGTTTAACAGTGGGAAAACTAACATTAAATTATGATTGGCGCCGCGCACCAGGGTAGATTTGATATCCAAGAAATTTCCAAAAAGTTAGATTATGTTTAATTCACGACCATGATTAAACAAGAATGCTTTCGAAAAATCGTAACTGGGTGGGGCAAGTTCGTAGCGCGTAGCGCGAAGCAGCTTTGTATTTTGAAAAGAGGCCGCTTCGCGATTTCTTGTCGTAGAGAGGGGCATTGGTTTTCTATCGTGCTCCTGCGGACCACTATGGAACTTTCGCAAAATCGATGTAATTATCTTGTGTACACACCCTGTATAAAGCGTCTTTTACTTATCGCCGAATTTCAAAATCACGACAAACTTTGATAAATATAAAAAATTGTACAAGTAATAACAATTTCCAATTCCAAGTATCTCGCGCGTCCTGTATGATAGACGAAACCTAAAACTCTCTCTCTGGATACAATATTCGAGACTGTTTAAATCAAATTATCCTATGTGTTGTAGTTTTTTATTTACGGCTAATATTTATCCACGAAAACGGCAATTTTCAGGATCTTTTGGTTTTTTAGTCATAATTGACACACCCTGTACATAATTGAAAAAAAATCCGCAAGCGGATGTTATAGCTCTGGAACTTCCACGTTTCCTGGTCCAAAAATTTTTCAAAAATAGTAAATGGTTTTCGAGAAAATAAGTTTTTTTCTGAAACCATGCAGTGCGCCGTAATAATCAATGATGTCATCGTGTCATGGCTGAGCCTCCAAACAGCGAGCGAGCGAGCAGTACAGACGAAAACCGCAAACACAAAAATTGTAACTCTTGGTGCGACCTATGACACTGTTTGAGCCGATTAGTCATATTTTTTACGATTTTTGATTTGCGATTAATAATTTCCTCTGTAAAACAACAACTTCCAAGGTCTTTTAGATTTTTGCCTATAATTTGAAAACCCTGTACATAATCAAAAAAATGCCTGAAATAAATGTTATTGCACTAGATCTTCCGCGTCGGCTGGTTAAATAATTTTTCCGATCGGGTAAACGATTATGGAGGAAAACATATTTTTCTGGAAGCCAAAATTACCAAAAAAAAAAAATTCAAAAATTTTTATAAAATACTTGGTAAAATTTGATTGCACCCAATTTCTATTGTTTAAATGTGGACACGCACCTTTACTTCTCTGCTAAATTTGAAGTTGATATCTGCAAATTTAGGACACTTAACACATTACTTATTTAGCACTAAATATCGGGAACACACTGTACAATAGGTGAAAACCTTAAATACAAAAGAACGTGGCATCTGAATCATAGTCTTTCAGTTGTAACGAATTTTCAATAACAGGGGGACACATTTTTCAGTTTTTTTGAATTTGCGGCGCACCCTGTGTATTTTTGAACAATTGTAAAGAATAAAAGTATATAGTATATATCTTCTGCGTCTTCTGGTTAAAGAATTTTTATGGTCTCGTAAACGGTTTTTGAAAAAGGATCTTTTGTATAGTTCCTTGTACACGCGATTTTTAATTTTTTTAGAATACTTGGCGACCCCCCAGCTCCCCCATTTTCAATAGGTTCCGTCACGGAGCAAAGGTGCATCTATGTGCCAAATATGAAGTTGATTGCTTTACATTTCGGACACTGATCGTTTTTCCTAGCAATGTCCAAAAAATAGTCGAAAATCGCGAAAAAAAGATGGATGCTGGCGTCGTATCGATGCAATTTTTTATAAGCTTATGAATCGCGTAGAGGGTTAAAAAGGAGACAAATTTTAATTTTGTAGCCCCAACGGTTCGGAAGTTATAAAGAGATATAACATTTTTATACGAACGTAGATACTCGAATTTTTCGAAAATAATATGTTTCCTTAAGAAATTTTAGTCAGTATTCTCCACTCTACTAAAAAAAAATAATGTGCAACATACCTGGCAATATTTATTATATATATATATATATATATATATATATATATATATATATATATATATATATATATATATATATATATATATATATATATATATATATATATATATATATATATATATATATATATATATATATATATATATATATATATATATATATATATATATATATATATATATATATATATATATATATATATATATATATATATATATATATTCTCACGTATTGATTCACGGATGGAAAAATGTGATGACACTATATTCCGGGATATCATCCGTTCGCTCGTTGAACTCCGACTGGAATCCTGCAAATCCTGCATCCGACTGGAATCCTGCAGACGTTTCGCCAAAATCTCACTTTCTCACTTGGCATCTTCAATGCTCCGCGCCCAGTGTTCGAAGTGTTTTCGGAGCGCGAGCATTGAAGATGCCAAGTGAGATTTTGGCGAAACGTCTGCAGGATTCCAGTCGGATGCAGGATTTGCAGGATTCCAGTCGGAGTTCAACGAGCGAACGGATGATATCCCGGAATATAGTGTCATCATATATATATATATATATATATATATATATATATATATATATATATATATATATATATATATATATATATATATATATATATATATATATATATATATATATATATATATATATAGTTATATATATAGTTATATATATATTTTACATTTATTTTTATTAATTTTATTTTTTATATCATTGGACATTTAATATTTTGTAAAGTGTAAATTGGAGGTTTTACATTTTTCCTAGATTAATCTGCTTTATTAAACTAGAGATTTATAAAATGTATCATCGTGATTTATAGATCGAAAATGTTGGTGAGGAATTGGAAGCTGCATTGGATCCATTGTTGTATAAGCAAACATACAAGCAAGCTGGAATAGAAATTATCAGTTTGGGCGAGAACGTGATAGAATATCACAAGAATTTTCGGTGCTTATTAATATGTCTCTGTTTACAATTAATTATCTAACTTCTACATTTGCAGTTTGTATGTAACTTCAAAATTCAGAAATCCTCATTATTTGCCTGAGGTCTTCAACAGAGTAACCATAATTAATTTTGCTCTTACATTGGAGGGCTTGGAAGATCAGTTGCTCGGTAAATAGTGCTGAATAAGCTATTATCTTCATTCGGGTTTAAAGGCCGTCGTCGATTGGAATTATTTCCTAACGTTTCGCTAGCACGAGTGGCGAGCTTCTTCAGAGGTCCTTCCATCTCCGATGTTGGACGTAGACGTAGACGTAGACGTAAACATCGGAGATGGAAGGACCTCTGAAGAAGCTCGCCACTCGTGCTAGCGAAACTTTAGGAAGTAATTCCAATCGACGACGGCCTTTAAACCCGAATGAAGATAATAGCTTATCAACGGGTCGCGAAAGCCTTAACCAATTTATTAGTGCTGAATACTTATATTAGTTGACGTTTGACGTTTTCGTGCGCTCCCTTTTGATTTTTCGATTTTATTTTCTGCGATAATAACTATAACCACAACATAACTAATTTATTCTACCGCAGAATAAAATATCTGGCATATATACTCACTTTTAGCTTTCCATCTTAATTATTGGTATGGTCGATAGAAGATATATTGTAAAAAAGGAGATAAAAACCATTCACAACTTTGATAACTTTGTTGCCAAAGTATAATTCAATTAATAGAAAATAATATATTAACCTGTATTTAAGCAAGCAAGTTCAATAGTGCTTTGACACTTTATGTTACTTTTTAATATAAAAATTATATGTATGGCTATGTACAAAGAAGGAATTCTTTGCTATAGCTTTGAATCGCTGGTCCGACTGTTCTAGGTATCGTCGTAGCTGTGGAGAAACCAGAGCTGCAGCAATTAAAAGAGAGACTGATCGTTCAGAACGCTGAAAACAAGGCGGCTCTCGAGCAGACTGAAGATAAAATATTAAAAACGCTGGCCGAAACCAAGGGGGACATTTTGGAAGACGAAGTCGCGATAAAAGTTTTGGACGATTCGAAAATTTTGTCCGAGGAGATCAAGGAAAAACAGCAGAAGTCATCGGAAATTGCAAGCACCATCGAAGATTTCAGGATAAAATACAAAGGCGTCGCCGGTCACTCTTCTGTGCTTTACTATTGCATTTCGGATTTGGCGAATGTGGATCCGATGTATCAATATTCCCTGGAGTGGTTCATCAATTTATACGTGGCTTCCATCCAGAAAGCCGAAAAATTCAGACGCGTGGAGAAAAGGTGTCAGAGCTTAATTAAAGCTTTCACATTCGATTTGTACAACAACATCACGAGATCGCTTTTTGAGAAGGACAAATTATTGTTTTCCTTTATCCTCTGTTCGAAAATAATGATTTCGCAAGGAAGACTGGACGAAAAGGAATTTCTGTTTTTCCTCGTTGGAGGAGTAATCGTCGAAAATCCGATAGCCAACCCTTGTCGGAGCTGGTTGCCGAGCAGCTCGTGGGATGAGATATGCAGAATGGATCAGCTGGTGCCTTTTAAGGGCTTCTCGGAGAGCTTTGTCGCGAACCATCGTCGTTGGAAAGAGATATATGACGATTTTCGAGAGGATTTGATCTGGCCTGAACCGTGGCATACAAATCTGAACTCATTTAGGTAAATTTTTTTCTTCCACGCAAAAATAACGTTTCTTTCTGATGAGAACTTTCAACAATAACATTTTTAAGAGAAATAAGAGATACTTTATTTAACAAATTTGCTACAAATGTAATAACTGTATCTTATCTAATTTTTCAATACCCTTTACAAAACTTCTGGACTCCTCCTGCGTCCGTTATTGTTGAACCGAACTTGCTAACTGTTCGCCAATCATCCTGTTGGCTTCTTCAAAGCTAACTATAAGGGCAATATAACTAACAGTTTTAAGCTCTGAACAAGCCAACAGGATGATTGGCGAAACGTTGGCAAGTTCGACTCAGCAAAAACCGACGCAGGAGGAATCCAGAAGTTTTGTAAAAAGTATTTCTTTTTTATTGTGAAACCAAATGAAATTCTACAAAATATGAACTCTGCCCTACCCACCATTTCAATGTAAAATTTTGCAATTAACCAGGTCAACTTCAGACGAACCCGCTTTCATTGTACTATTGTAAATAAAGAGATTCAACTATGTACATATTGCAGGTTCTTTTAGGTTCGGTTTTTTCACACGTCAAAACTGGCGTCTTTAAGAGACATTTTCTGCACCCTTCATTTGTGCATAATTGGGTATTTTAGATTAGAGATTAGAAAAACTTTTAAAACATTATTACACATTTACAATGAAGTCCTTGCAGTTTTATCAAATCAAAATTAATTTTTTTTTACACAGAACCAAAAATATTAAGCTATGTAGATGAAGTTGTTAGGTAATTTAAGCAAGAAGTGGCGAGATGTACCGTGGGTTCAATTTATCTTGATAACATTTAAATTGGCTGTAACTTTTTTGTTTTTAGAGATATTGAGGTAAGCAAATAAACAAAATATTGTTGGTTAATAGCCAAATCTTTTTCCAAGTACATACAAGCCTACATACAATACGTACAAGCCTACATCATATTTTTTAAATGGAACACTCTATGTATTAAATATGTATTTAATAAATAGAATATCTTATTCCGATTACAATGATGTAACACACTTTATATTTGAGTCCACTAGTTTTTAACAAATTATTGTCCAAGTGATTATTGTTAAAATAGTTTTTCGCGAATTCACCATCCGTGAAAGGAGTGATATGCTTCAAGTATAGTTTCTGAATAATAAAAGTGCAACTGCAGTTCGTCGTCAGTATATTAGACTTTATCCAGAACGCCGAGCTCCTTCAAAACAAATATTTCCAAGGCTGCCAAAGAAAACGGTAACGTATTAAATGCTAAAGAGGTATACCGGAATCATAATGTTTTAGATGAAGAAAATTTCCTCTGTTACTAGAGTATATGAAGAGACAGATATTTCTCAGTTTTTCAATTTTTTAAATAGACATAATGAGAATATCTTTTTGAAAAATATTTGATGGACTGATGAAAGTTCGTTCACTACAAAAAAGGGTTGTAATGGACAAAATACTAGATGTTGGTCTTTAAATAATAGTAGTCAAACACAAGAAATAGAAACCCAGGGGTAACAATCAATTAACGTATGGTGTGGTGTCATAGAAGGGTCCGATATTTATATATCAAAAGTTAACTGGAGATCATTATTTGCAACTCTTATAGCAAAAATAAATATATCAGGGCTGATTATATGGCAACAAGACGGTGCCCCTCTTCACAATGCTGGGCAAGTTAAAAATTTTTCTTTTGGGGACACAAAAAAATCACGTGCACAAAACTCCTTGTAAAAATGTCATTGAACTTCGGCAAAGAATTTCAGAGGCATTCAATCAGTTATGAAACAATCCGAAAACGTTACTAAATGCAAGACATCATACAATTAGAGTGTACGATGTGTTCAGAACAATGGTCGTCACATACAGCAGTATTTAGAATAGTTAAAGATTTTTATACTTTATTGTGTCTTATCGTGTTTCGTGTTTTTGTTCTACTTTAATTTGTAAATAATTATTGTTGTTGCAGTCAGTCACGGCACTCTTTGAAATTACATAAAAATTTCCTGTTTTTGCTGCTTTATCAAAAACGAGTAGACTAAAATATAAAGTGTGTTAATTGTAATGAGATATTCTATTCAACACATATATAATATACAGGATGTTCCATTAAAAATATATAATCTAGTCTTATATGTCAGAAAATTGATAGTGTTTTGTTTTATACGACACTTAAAAAAAAAACTTGGCTACTAATCCTACATTTTGTTTTTCTGTTTACCTTGATATCTCAAGAAACAAAAAAGTTACAGCCAATTAAAATGTTATCAAGATAAATTGAACCCACGGTACTTTAATTTGTTGTAAAGGGTTTTTGTGAATTTTGTAGAAGGCTGATGGTAGTAAAAGTTCTAAGACCCGATCAATTAATAGCGGCTATAATGAACTTCGTCAAGTTGGAAATGGATGAAAGATACATTAAGCCTCCGTCCTTCAGCATTTCCGTATCGTACGACGATTCCTATAGCCTTTGCCCCCTAATATTTATCCTTTCGCCCGGCACCGACCCTATGGCAGCTTTGGTGAAATTCGCCGACGAAAAGAGAATGTCTGACAAGTAAATTTCATGACATATAGGCCCCCTCATTTTAAAATACAAATGATTGTTTAAGATTCCGATCTATTTCGTTGGGGCAGGGTCAGGGTCCGATGGCGCAGGCACTCATCGAAGAGGGCCAGGAATTCGGTCTTTGGGTGTGCCTGCAGAATTGCCATCTGGCGACGTCTTGGATGCCTCAGTTGGAGAGGATATTTGAAAGCTTGGACTACTTTACCACTCATGACAGCTTTCGGTTATGGCTGACGAGTTATCCTTCTGATAAATTCCCCGTGACTTTATTGCAAAAGGGGGTTAAAATGACCAACGAACCTCCAACTGGTAGAGGATAAATAATTCCTCGTCAATTTTTAATCCTTCGCGTTCCAGGTCTTCAAAACAATTTGTTGAAATCATACATGAGCGATCCGGTCAAGAATATAGACTTTTACAGGGGATGTCCGAATCATGAAGAAATGTTCGCTAGACTGTTGTACAGTTTGGCATTTTTCCACGCTGTAGTACAAGAAAGGCGAACGTTCGGAGCCCTCGGCTGGAATATCCCTTACGGATTTAACGATTCGGATTTCGACATATCCGCGCAACAACTCCAGATATTCATTAATGAGAGCGATGAACCTTTCGAAGCTTTGACCTACCTCATTGGAGAATGCAACTACGGCGGTATGAAAACTATGCAATTGCATTTCCCTAATTTAATTTACAAGCAAATCATATAAAAATCGATTGGTTATTCAGTAGAATGATTACCAAAATGTTCACTTTCTAATCATCCACTTGTCCACAAACTGAAAAAGTCCTGATTGCGTATGTTAAATTAACTTGGATATTAGTAGGAATATATTTATTTTACGATGGTTAGGGGTTTATCGAGAATTTATTATAGTGCCATTTCATTTGTGATGGAATAAAAGAGCACAAAAAGCACAAGAAGTTCAATGTGGTTAAAAGAGGTCAGGCGTGATATTAAAATGTACCCTTGGCCTGTACAAAGTTGTCTTCCCAGAGTAGCGTTAGTTTTATTTTATAACAGATTTTGATTGTAACTGATTCTTCTCTACATCCATATTTGGGCACCCTTTATTTACAGAAATTTAATCCAATTGTTACATTGTGATAAAAAGTCGCAAACTGCAGGGATATATAGATTCTGTAATACTGTAATACTATTCACAAATCTTCTGGATTCCTAAAATTGCATTATTTCGAGAAAGGATTTATCATCACTGAAACCGAAATAGACCGTCCCCAAATAATAAGAGGAAACAAAGTGCCATGTCCAACACCTAATGAAATTCGTAATCTTAAAAATCCAATCCTTCTAAACCTAATATTCTAATGCTAGAAGGATAAAGAAAAAATTCAAAATATCTTACAAAAGTATCCTATCGTCAAGATGATAAAATAACCTTTAATCTGCTATTATTCTCTAGCCAAATATCTAGCTTGTATATTAAACCACTTTACAGCGAAAACTGATAATTTAGTACTTAATTCCTTTCACCTCAACGACCAATTAAATACCCATGGCACAGGCCCTCATTGAAGAGGGCCAGGAATTCGGTCTTTGGGTGTGCCTGCAGAATTGCCATCTGGCGACGTCCTGGATGCCTCAGTTGGAGAGGATATTATGATATCCTTACGACTAGACGTTTCTCCAATTATCTTGTTGGCTTCTTCAGAGCTGACTGAAACTGGCTCGCATTTTACTCTCTACCTGCTTATATATTGCTTGAGGGGGGCGGAGCTAAATCAGTCAGTCATCCGAGGCGGTGTTTATGCCCCTCATTTACCTCCGCCCCCCGAACAATATATAAGCAGGTTCAGAGTAAAATGCGAGCCAGTTTCCGTTAAACTTTGAAGAAGCCAACAGGATGATTGGCGAAATGTCAGCAAGTTCAACTCAGCAAAAACCGACGCAGGAGAATTTCTAATTATTTCTTAGTGTTAATAAGATAAAAAGATAGTTACGTAGGAGACTGCACAAAATTTTAAACCACCTATTAATCTTTTTTTTTTGAATATCGAGAAAAAATATTTTCAGGCCGTGTGACTGACGATTGGGATCGACGCCTCATCGTGACGATACTGAGCAATTTTTTGAACCCTTACATCGTTACGGAAAAAGATTACGTCTTCAGTACCATCGGCAAATTCTACGGCCTACCAGATAAATCAGACTACTTTGTATACCTGGCCCATATTCAATCGCTTCCGTCGTTACATCCGCCAGAAGTATTTGGTCTGCACGGAAACGCGGGTAAAACAAGAGACCTTCAAAATTCGAAACTCCTGTTGAGTTCGGTGCTGAAGGCGTACGGAGAAATTTCATCCACAGGCGAAGGCGATACTGACAAGCACGTATTGATGATCAGCACGGATATTTTATCTAAACTACCACAGGAATTTGATCTCGAAGCAGCCAACCAACTTTATCCGGTAGATTATTCGGAATCAATGAACACCGTTCTCGTTCAAGAAATGGAACGGTTCAATAAACTGATACATACTATTAGAGTTACCCTTAGCACATTGCAGAAAGCTATACAAGGTACGTTAGTTTGAAGGTCGTATATAGACAATCATTAACGTTGATTAATTCAGACATTGTTGTTTGTTGAACTTCGCCGTAAAGTAATTGAGTTTCACCAACAATTTGGCGGTTTCAGGATTGATAGCAATTAACCCAGAAGTGGAAGCTTTCGCTACGTCGTTGTTATTGGGGAAAATACCAGACAAGTGGGCGACCGTTTCCTACCCAAGTCTGAAAAATCTACCTAATTACGTTGCCGATCTTTTGGATAGAATCCAGTTTCTGAAAAAATGGTTCGAAACGGGAAAACCAAACAGTTACTGGTTGTCCGGATTCTTCTTCACTCAGGCGTTTTTGACTGGTGTCAAACAGAATTTTGCTCGAAAATATACCATCGCGATCGACAAATTAACATTTGATTTTGTGGTCCTTAAGAACGACGGTCGCGACGTAGATGTAGCTCCGGTTGATGGTAAGTATTTGGCTAAGCGTGTTCTTTTGAATCCGAAAAAGTGTGTGACGTAGTAATTCTAATAATTTGTCTTTCATTGTTGACGTATAATACAGGAAGGAATAACAATAGCATTCGCGATCACTTCCCTCTAATTTTAACTTTTTGTAAATTACTTTCACTATCGGCAATATTTCTATTATATTACCTTCTTCATTTACCTTCTCTATTGTAGGCGCTTTAATTTATGGCCTTTTTACGGATGGAGCTCGCTGGGATAGAAATACTCAAATAATAGAGGAGCTGTTGCCAAATATATTGCACGATGAAATGCCCGCTATTTGGATTGTACCCTTAAAAATGGATGTTTACGAACCTGGTAATAATTTTTAAAGTAATGGGTAGTACAAGGAAAACAGCGTCAGATATTCCATTCCGCAAACCCATCAGCAGTATTTCTGAGAAGAATAACCTATTTAAGTAGGATTCAGATCTTATCAATTAGTGTATTATGATCAATAGCAACAAAAATGCTGGTATAACTGTTTACACTACGCGGTTAAGTCATTTTTGTACAGGAGGGAGCGATGTTCCGCGCATGCCCTTAAAGTTCGGGTTAGTGTATAACCTGAATTTTGCGTTTAGTGTCTAAAAATTTATTATTATTATTATTATTATTATTATTATTATTATTATTAATGGGATCTGAACCTGTCAACGGAAATGGAAAACTGTCAATGGCTAAGTTGAATGCCGCAAGAAAAGTGATACTTGATTCACGCATACTTCTATTGAATATCCCTTCCCAACATTTTTGATGTAGTTTAATGATGTAGTACCATTTTACAGGCAAGAGGTACGTATGTCCCGTATACAAAACTTCTGCTAGGAGAGGTGTGTTGTCGACAACGGGACATTCAACCAATTATGTCTTACCGATTCTGCTTGACACTAAGAAAAGACCAGAGCATTGGATTAAAAGAAGTATGGCCCTATTATGTCAGCTGGACTAAATTGGTATTGGCTTAAATATTTAACAAATTAATTTATGAACAGTTTGCATATCGAGCCTGGCCAAATCGTTTACGAATTTGTTGTTTTTCATCTTTAGATATAGTGTCATCGTTTTTGGTTCCACTCATATTGTGAAATTTTTTGCAAATTATTTGTATTTGTTTTGTATATTTATTGATATTTATTAAATAAAAATATATTGCTACAACATAGTAATGATTTTAGACTATAAGTTATTTTCCTTCCCACAGTATAATAATTCTATCGCTAAAAGAGCGGGTAATCATTCGCAATTTTGACAGGGGTAGAGTTTTCAGTTTTTGTCTTTACTTTTTATTTTTCTTACTGCACCTCAATACCGGTCCAGAATCGGGGTGTTTTCCTAATTTATTGGCCCTGTAATTTTTGGGCGTGTCGGTTTAATAAATACGACCAAAGACATATCCAAGCTGTTGTATGAAATAACCAGTTATGATAATTCTAATTCCAGGTTTCATAAGCAAGCTAGCATAAATGTTTGTTTATCATGGCTACCAGTTTCGACTTCTTTGTTTCGAGGTTGCTATTTGGTACCCAATGAACCTGACTATCTAGCATAGTCAAATGCAACATCGAAACACTAATAAAAAATTGTTTTTATTTTCTGTCTTTTAGATAATATTTTGTTATTTGAAATATAAATATTAAGTTAGAGTAAGTTTATAATTACAACGTCACACCAAATCAGTCTTCAAAATGAGCTTGCTCCTCGAACAGTTGCTCGTAGCGTCCCAATAATCGTTGGTTGTTGGGATCAAACGGACTGTTTATGTAAAGGGTTGCAGGATACTTTTTATTTCGCACTTCAATTTGGTACTCGCCAGTTTTCAAAAATTCGTTATCCACTGTTTTGCCCTTAGGATGAGATACATACCTGCATACAAAAAATGTGTATGGTAATTTTTATGCAAAATGAATATATTTATTTACCCAATTCCTATAGGAGAATCGAGGAAGAATCCATAACCTCCCCTTCTTAAGTACCCTACAATTTGGTCGTCTCTCCAGATCGTTTCCAGTCCGTAAAGTGCAACGTGGTCATGGAGGACAAAAAAACACCTTTTTTTCGCTAATCCTGTCTGTTTCAGCTAAAAAAATCTTTTTTAATTGCGGTATTTCATTTACCAAACTCACACCTTTTCTACAACAGATTTCCCTTGATAAAGACCATCTTTTCTACAAAACTTCGTCAGACCAGCTTCTACCGGGTTATCATCAACTCTAATATCAGTATTCATTAGATGGTATCCTATAAACAGACAATTCGATGGTTCGCAGGTTTCTAAAAGTTGCTAACATAGCGGTACCTTTCTCCATACTTAAAGCGTCCAATGCTCTGAATCCGGCGTGTTTGAGGTCGAATCCCTTGCCGGCCTCCATGACTTTGTTAAATACTGACACGCAATAATCAACAGGAACGTGAAGTTCCCATCCCAATTCTCCCACATAGCTAATCCTCATAGCTCTACAAGTGTGTCCATTAACTTTCACGATATGGGACATTCCCATCGGAAAACGATCGTCTGTTATCGGAAAGTCTGTGGCAGCTTGGAGCAGCTCTCGACTGGAGATTATGAAAATTAAACCCCAGTTACCATTGCGATATGCTTACCTTTTTGGGCCTTGAATCGATAATATTCCCAACCTTTCGCTGATTTCCGTAAGGTATGATTTAAAATTTTTCTTATGCAACTGCTTCCTCAAGTGACATTTTGTTTGATAACCTGACACTCCTCCTGCTACCACATAGTAACCTTTCCCCTGATAATTTTCTACCATTAAAATTAAATTGAAACGTTGTTAGACTAGTATACTTTTAGAATTGGTCCTACTAAAGTCCCACCTCCCTCTTCTAAAGTGGTTACCGTGATATCGGCTTCAATACCTCCCTTAGAGTTTAACGAAAGCGTATATGATACTTTTCCCGGTTGGTTGCTCAAGTTGGAAGTGAACAGCCAATCGGCAGCTTGCTCTGCGTCCGGACCGGTCAAATACATTTTAGTGTAACAGGACAAATCGAACAGTGCTACGTTGTTTCTACACGCTAACGCTTCCTCCTTTATCTGTGTAGAATAATACATATTTGAATTAAAATAACCGCATTTTACAATTGGAACGGCCACATTGTTCGATCGCATAGCAACACTAATTAATAATAATAATAATTTTATTCACATATTGATATACAATGAAAAGGATACGGTTCGGATGAACAAAATAAGACATTTTGCGCCTCCATTTTTAAACCTATCCTAGGAAGAAGGTAGCAACGCTAGGCAGGAAAAATACACATAAAACAAAATAAATAAATACCTAGTACGATCTGTGCGAGGGACTTAGACTTTGGAAATAGTATACAGTAGACATTACTTAAATATTTAAAGATAATAATACTTTACGCAGATGTGTGGAAAAGGTATTGTTTAGCAATTTAAGAGACTGATCCAATGCATTATATGTTTTAGCCATTAATTAATACAATTAATTAACTTTTGATGTAGTAAAGACTTTTTTTAACAGACACATTTGCTGGGGACATTGAGAATAAAGTGTCAATCCTTATTGTAAAAATACCCGATTCTAGCACGTACAATAACATTAATTGAGTTATTTATTACATTACTGTAATAAATAACTCAATACGGGGCTATATTGATCTATCGGCCGTTTTCTAATTGAATGTCAATAATTAAGAGGGCAGTTTTTGAGTCCATTATAAAAAGAAAACTTCATATGAACATATGTTCTAAACGTCTTAACTTTTGAGAAACAGGGTGGTGAAGTTATCAAAAATAAAATATATTTTTTTAATATCTCTAATACCGCTGTAGATATTTTAATGAACTTTTCCACACATGTACTACGTATCAAGACGCCTTATTTAGTGTACCACAATTTTTTAAAATATACCAGTGGCGGGCGCACAGAATTTCATCAGTATATTTTGGCAGACATTGATGTACGCCAGTGAATTATCATTTCTAAAGAAATTTGAATTTTTGATTTTCTTCAATCCAATGTACGGTTTTCGCTTAAAAAAATAAAAACCTCTTCTCTGCACGGTCATAAAAATATCGTTAATATGTGTATACTTATTTGGTACTTGTGTGCCATCCTGAAATACGCCATTGCAGCTTAATATGCCTAACTGCCCTAATTGAAAGTAGCGATAAAGACATGCCAAGGAGAGCCTTGTTTAAGAACATTCAAAGGCCACAACTGTCCACCAAATATAATTATCCTACCAGAGGAAGACTTTTAACACCCTTTAATTCTTCGCTTTACTTTTCACCGAAAAGAATATGGAAGTGTCAAAAGAATTTCAAAAATATTAAGATTTTGTTATAACATAAATAAATACCAGGTAGAAAAGGCAAATTTTTATTTTAACAAATATTTTTACAAAAAGACCTGCAATGGAAAGTGATGCTCACGTTTTTAAATTCGATTACTAGTAGGGATTATTAAGTTTTACTAAACATTTTTAATAAAAGCGGGGATTCTAGAAAAAATTCTGTGTAAAATTTGAGCGCCGCTCTCGCGAGATTTGATTTTATATACACAATTTTATTAAAGTATATAAGGTAATCAAACAACGAGACATGCCAATTGGCTCTCTCTTTCTATTGTGAAATTTGTTTCACTTGTCTATCACGCTTTTACAACACCAGTTTAGATCGTGTTCACTGAATAAATAATGATTTACAAATTTGAAAGAACTTTAAAAAATTCTTATCAGTGGGATGAAGGTTTTCATTGCGCTGGGTTGCATTAAAATTTCAACGTAGTAGATTTGAGTCTCTGGTAAATACTATGACATTTCGATGACCTATATTGATGGTTCAACAGTTTTTTTTATTATCCAAAGAACGGGGATGATGTTGGTTCTCAGTTTCTGTAGGTTTTAAGATTTTATTATAGTGCTGTCGGTTTTTAATCACAGTCGGCAAGTGTCGAAAAGATAGAATTGTCATTCTTACCAAATCGTGGTGTTCCGAGAAATCAAAAGTCAAATCTTTCTCGATTTCTTTCTCGTATCTTTGGTCACTGTTCCGATTATGGTCGTAGTACCCGTACCAATCGTATCCTCTAACGGGCGCAGTACGATCTTCCTGTATAAAATAAGCTGGCCTTTCCCATCCCAACGCTTGTTCCATGACCGCACCGCTCGCTACCAATTGCTAATAATTCAATACCTCGCTATGTAAAAGTTTTTGATAATTTGAACACCAGCCTATACCTCGTGAAAAGCGTCAATTCTTAAATTTCTGCCGGACAATCTTTGATCGTAAGGATAAACGATGCTGTAGTTTTTCCCATAACTCTCGTGGCTAGTCTCGGTGATCCATGGACGGTTTCTCCTTTGAACTTGCGAGAATCTCCGGATGTCAAAAGAATGCATATTTATTAAGGGACGTCCGGTCGCTATCCATATAGCTAGTTGTTCCGAAACGCCACCGCTGAGCATCATTCCGCTAGAGTTGTAACCAGCATTGTGATAAAGACCTGCATTATACCAGCAAAAACAGTTTCTCATATTTTCGACGACAGATGCTCGAACTAATTGCAATGTACCCACCTACAACTCTCGGATCTTCGCCGACTATTGGTTTGTGATCCGGGGTAAAACTTTCGGGTCCACAGATATCCGTCTTGATACCGGTATTTTCCAAAACGGGACATAATTTCACCGCGTTCTTGTAGTGTATCTCGAATAAACTTTTGTCCAATTCGAATAATTTAAAATCGAAATCTTCGGGTGCCTATAAAAATTTAAGAGACAAATGGATCCGATATTGGCTAAGTTTGTACCTCTCTGAGTAACTCAGGATTCATTTCGTATCCCCCGAGTAAAATGCCAGCGCCTTGTGGTCGGAAATAAATATTACCGTCGTGGCATCTTACAGGCGGACTGTCCTGAACACCAGGTATATCATTCGTAATTACGTAGCTGTGTTTCATAGGTTGAATAGGTATATCCATTCCCACCATGTGAGCAACAGCTCTACCCCAAGCACCGGCTGCGTTTACTACCGTGTTGGTTTTTATAGTTCCTACAAATTGGTTAATATTTAATCATTATTCCTTTCTTCAATAAATATTTTAGCACTTGAAAATACTTGAAATAATTAAAATTAATTGATTGCTTTTCAAAATATACCGTTTTAATTTCAATATCTTTATTAAGGCAATATAGTTCAACCACTCTTTAATAGCATAAGCATTTTACCACTACCATTTTTTGAAGAACAAAATTAAAAAAACAATCATTGCTGCCTTGGTACATTTGTTTTTTTGGAATATATTCTTACCCTTATTGGTTCCAACCCCTATAACTTTCTTCATGCTTTGCGTCGATTCTTCGGTGAATATGTTTGTCACTGACACACCTTCTATCAGCTAAAACATACAGAGAGTCTGATTGTTCTCGGTTTTTCTGTGCAGCAATTCACAGGAATGAAATGCATAAATTTTATCGTTCGCCATTAATTGCGTTTATAGGTATATATTTTCTTAATTTACCTGTCCACCATTTTTCTGAGCACCTTTGAGCAGTGCGTTGCAATACATCGTGGGATCGGTATAACCATCTGGCAGGGAGTAGAGAGCCGCGTGAAATGAGTTGGGGTCTAGAATCGGACAGAGTTTTTGCGTTTCCTTGGGACTAAGCAGTTTGCTATCAATGTTGAAGAAGTGTCCCAACGTATGGAGACGTTTGTACTCTTCGAGTCGCTCCTACGTAGCGCAGACGGTTTTAGATTTATTATTAAGTACACAATTAATTGCATTACCTTAGTTCTGGCAATAAAAATACCACCTGTATGTTTGAAACCCGGATTGATATCTGTTTCTTTTTCGATATTGTTTAAAATTTCGACGGTCTTTTGAAGCAATAAAATTTCCGCATCGGAAGGTCTAAAAAATTACTTTTTCAAATCACAATAAACAAAAGTTGCCTAAGCGCGTGCCGGTTCGAATGTTACTATACCTCAGGCTCCATATCAGCCCTCCAGTATGCCAGGTGGTCCCACTGGTCACCTTATAACGTTCGAGAAGAAGAGGCTTTAGCCCCTTCTTGGATAACTGATAGAATGTCGTACAACCAGCTATGCCTCCGCCTACAAGACATAAAAAAATGTTTTGTTGCTATAGTCTCTTATACAGGCATTGATTTTTATCGATAATGAAATTGTTCGCCTTTATTCAGCAAATTTCTTCTTGAATCAAAAATTTGTATAAAACGTCTGTTTTACAAATAAGATAGTTTCAGTTATTTCATAAATGTCTAGTCTACTTTTATTTTGATTTCATATACAAGTAGTAAATATGATGAAAGATGTTTACTGTAAAATTAAGAAAAAAAACAATTTAAACACATTTTTTGACCTTTTGGCATGGCATTGTTTACCGTCAAGCAGATAAGCTACCGAATTGGTATTTTTATCCGGACATTGAGTTCCAGATGAAAAACAAATTAATTAACAACAACAAACTGAATTTGAAACGAAATATTTAATTTGATTTGTCAAACCTTACGGTAAATGCGTAATCTTTATGAAGGAGCTATAAAGACTCAATGCATTTTATTGAACTCTTACCGATAATAACAACATCTGCTTGTCTAGGTACATTCGAGCCATTGCTATAGCACTTTTCGCACTGTTTCAATTTCTCTAAACCGATTAATTTTTCCGCTTTAATAGATTTTGGGCTGATTCGAAACATATCTCCGATAAACGTTGTAAATACACAAAATGTTGTTGTCGTATCTCTGTGTTTGTACCGTGGTCAGGTTCAAATTCAAATTATATTAAGACTAATAACGATAGACAGCAACCGTTTCTATCAGCGTTAAACTTTTTGATGACCCCGCTAATCAGTAGCGTAACGCAAGTTTCAATGTTTGCAAATATGGGAGTCGATTGGTATCGTTTAACTTTTCAAATTGAGATAAAATTTTAACTCTTGTACTTTGTACAAGGGGTAAAATTAAATTAAATTAAATGTTATTAATTGAATAGTTTATTTTACGTGTTGTTATGCATACGGCGATTTTCTCTAATTTTACCATCGAAGAAAGAATCGATAAACAATAACATTTTTATTTTATTTATATTTTATTTAACAAAAAGGTTTATTTCAACATTTATTAATTTTTTATTATTTATTATTTTTTATTTAATTATGATTTTTGTTAACTTTTGTAAATTTGTAACTTATGACAAATATCATTCATATGAAATGTGATGAATAAAGGGTATACAAACAGTTTGCAGTTGTTTGTTAAAATTCGATTTCCGTTGAAAATGGTGATGGTGGTTTAAGACATACAGTAATTTCAACTCTTTGCTTTTCCTTCTTCTCTTCAAAGTATTCAAGTTCAGAGTGACGTCATGATCTGCGGGAAAGATTGCAGCATCCCACACAGTCTGTACCTCTCATAATTAAAAAATATTTCTTGAATCCTTTCAGCATAATTTTTATGGTATCCATACACTGGAACAGCACCCAACTTGAAGTCTCGCAAGGAACGAATACAAAAGCTGTATACGTTTAACGATATGAATATCCCTAGCATTTTTTTAAAGTATCCTATCTCTAAACTCAATGAACTGTCTACCAAGACCCCCAGTTCCCAACCCCACGCAATAATAATAATCAACTGTATTTCTGCTATGACTAAAGTTAATGGAGTGATACTTTTTCAAGCTAAGTTTCGTCCCATTTTTCGTGTATCACAATCACTCGAAATATTCACAACGCTGTAAAATTTCAAATAGAGAGAGACTCTCGAATTGTCCCAATTTTACTTGACTGAAAGTTATTAAAACTGCAAATTTGAGTTCTTAATGTAGCTTTGAACTCACTAAAGTACAGATCACTTCCTCACCCTATCAGTCCAAACTAATGAATCAGCAAAATATGATTCCTGAGAACCCATTTTCCGATGTTACAAATATCATTTCATATCGTTTGTGCAGCAAATGCCAAATTTGTGAAGAGCTCATAAAAAATATTGTATCACACTGTATCAGTAAACGTTCGAATATTTAATCAATAAAATTCGCGAATCACATGCCTAAATTAATGTACTCGTGAAATCATGGAGCATTATTTATTTCTGGTGCTCTGAAATCGGTTATTTGTTGTATCATTTGACGTCAAAATTTCAGTTTGACAAATGTCCCCCGCTGTGAATGCTTAGTAAAATGAGTGGTAGGCATAATCCGCACGTAAGTGACTGAAGCGATAAATTCAAATACCAACAGTAAACATTAAGGTATCTATAAAGAGGTACAAATTTTCAGCCATCAAGACGAGCCAATCTATCGGATTCAACGCAGCTTCCTTCACACAGAACAGTTCAACTCTCGGTTGAACGAAACGCTGATAGGCCCGCCTCGCTTCCTCAGGATTTGGGAACTTATGCCGAGGTAAATATTATTGGAAGTAAATTTCACTATTAAAGTAGTTTTGGTTAGTTTGATCACAACTTAAATGGATCGGTTATTTCCTATTTGACCTAATTTTTGGTAAATTACATATTATTGCCGATGATTGTTCTTTTGTTTGAATTTTCAACTTTCGAAATATTATCGCTACCTCTCTGATTGTGTTTATTTAGCTTTAACCAACGGTGAATATTAAAGTTAATTATTAACAATCTTCGTGAAAATAAATGTTGTTATTATACATGTAGTTTTGGATTGTTGCTTTCATTTCACATGAGGAAGGGGTTTCAGTCAACTGATAACTTGCATTGTCCATTATAATGACGCTATTAGGAGGAATGTTTGGAACTAGTTTGTTTTTAAACCAACTTTCAAATAAATCAGCGGTGGTGTCTTCATGGTAATCCAGAGAAGAATCTTTAATATTTTTCGCAGACAGAGAAAGTCAATTTGGAATCCAACCATCTTTAGAGCCAGCTTGTAAAATATTTATTCTTTTACCTCTTTTTGATGGCGCGTTTGTTTCACACTTATCGGTTGAGTCAACGCAACCCTTTTCCGGGGTATCATAAGTGTCCAACCAGGTTTCATCCAAGTAAATAATTGGCCTTTGTTGTTCTCTGTAAATCCTAATTTTTTCTAGATATTCCAGTCGCCATTTCCGAATTCTAAAAGATTCCATTAAAACTTGCCTTTTGTCACTTCCATAAGGTAGTTCTGCCACATTTAACACCGGTTTCATCTTTTTCAATCCTCCTAATTAAGATATCTAATGTAGGCAAGCTTTGTTCCTCGTATAACTGGTAGATTTAACGCCGTATTATATCTTGATCACTTTCATTTACACTCGAGAAAATGTCAACATCGCTTCTTTTTTTCCTCGCTGAAATGGGATTATTCATAATTTTCCATACAGTTGATGTTGGAATTTTCGTCAATCTGGCCGTTTCTTCTAAAGATGCTTGCTTGCTGGCACCACGTTCAATGAGAGTCAAATAAATATTGTTTATAACTTCCTTAGTCTCAATGGAACAGCGTTTTCTACATTTGAGCGGGAGCAGCTCCTGAGGTACACTAAACTCGCACATATTTTGCATAATTCGCACACGATTCAACACACGCTGTATTACACACGCAATAAGAATGATCACTAATAAACTTAAACTAAGTATACCAAACCAAAGATTATTAAACACAGGTAGGTATAAAATTATTTTCTATTACGGACCACAATTTTACCTGAATTTAAATTCCGAAACTTTAGGTGATAATCTTGTTGCATTGTATGTTAATGACCACCCTTGGATAATCCCATTCAAAGGCAATTGGTCACTTTCTTATATCTATGAACAGACCATACCTGGTTGGCAGACGGGTATAGTTTCCTTTTGCGGGGTTATATTTATTCATTTATGAAGTATCGTCTATCTGGCGGTAATGTAGGAAATATAGTTATCATGTTGCATTTGTCCTACAGAAGCATGATGGGATTGACCCTTCCGTCTCGACAGTTACTCCCTATATATTCTATTTATTTAGGTCGTTGCAGAGCGATCCTGTTATGGTACGACCAAAAATATAGTGCATATATTGCTTTGAGGTTTTAAGTATTTTACAATACCTTAACTGCAGACCTTTGCAGGACAGTGGACATTCCAACAGATGTTTATTCTGCAAATTTTTATTTGAAACGTAAAAGGACTGTTTTAAATTTGATTAAGCATTGATACTGCGGGGTATTTTCGAATAAGTAGAAGCGTTTATTTTAACATCCGGTTATTTTGTTTAGTTCTTAAGAGTTTAATCTAAATTGCAATATGTTCGTATACATTACGGAGGTATTTGACTGTGATCCTTCCAGTAAGTACGTATTTATGTACCTGATTCTCGAGCTTTGATCCTGCGAGGCTGTTTTCAATGGATAGTTCAACGGGTAAGGGCACTGTACTGTACTCTATTTATCTTACAGGTAAGTTTGTAAATAAACATTTTTGTCTTGTGTACCTGTCGATTAACAACATTCTTCTTCTTGTAGTGTTTGTGTCTTCTACATAGTTTTTCTGTTTGTAAACAACAACATAAGAATACAGATAAATACTTATTAGAATCTCACAATTAAACATTTTTTGAAGGTTCCTGTTTCTTAACACTTTAAAATGTGGAGACCGTGGAATGAAGCAGATTTTCCCCTGTTAAAAGATTACATGGAAAACAACGAAAAAAGAAAGAAGACGAAATGGAGATAGTAGTCAAACCTATTGATAATTTAGAAGACGAACTACCTCAGCAAATAATAATACGGATCCATTTGTCTTCGGATGTTAAACAAATTGTTTTAAATGTTTACAATTTTATAGTTTTATATAGTTTTTTAGATGGAGAAGTAGGAGCAGCAATAAAAACAAGTGACACGACCAAAATTCCCAAAATACTCTTAATGTGTTGGATAATGCCTCGTATCATTCAGTCCAAATTAGAAAAATTCCAACTACTTTTTAAAATAAAGAAGAAACTAAAGAATTTCTATACAAAAATGATTTATATTTTGAAGAGAGCTAGACGAACAACAAAACGGACTTAAGATTACCCCCGTATCAGCGCATATAAGAGGAAATAACACTGCACCAAAATTTAGTGATAGTACCATAAATGTAATTCGGAAAGGGGTAGCTAAAATATGAGTACAAAGCAGGTGTAAAAAACGACTAATAAAAGAAGAAAATATTTATCGAGAACGATTGTTGGAGGAGTTGATCATTAAACTAGGTGACGTCGTAGCGACAGTAACGATTTTTTAAGTGACTGATACTTTATTATTATATTTAATATTTTGTATATTAATAATGGTACTATGTAGAAATCTAATGAAATAGAATGTAATAAAGTGATACTTTGTACTATTTTTTTTATGTACGCGTTTCAAGGATTGCTCGACAAAAAAGATGGAAAACATACTTATATCCCGCTTGTTAGTGAAAGTGGATAAATTCCTAGGACGGTCCTGGAATGGTAATATATTATATTATACAACATTCTACTCCACAGGATGTTCTATAAGGGGCTGCGGTTTGGGAGTAGCAAACAGTAGGCAAAGTCGGTTGTGAAAGCACTATATTTCAGGTCTAAGTATAGACGGCAACTAACTGATATTCAGTTACCTGATTCCTTGTTCAAAACTTAATTATTTATAATTGTATTAAAATATATAACCGTCTTGCCTAAGATGCGAAGTCATGTCTCCGTTTAACATAGGTTTTTTATGTCGTTTATTATGCATATTATTATTATTTTTTAGATTAGTCAACCTGCCTTGATAATTTCTGGATTTTTTTTATTAATCTATAACAGAAATAGCCAAATAACTAGAAAAAGTGAAATAGCCACTATATTTTAAAATTTGTATAACATTATTAAACAGTGTTCGAAGTGTTTTCGGAGAATACGTGAAAAAAAAAAAAAAAAAAAAATATATATATATATATATATATATATATATATATATATATATACATATATATATATATATATATATATATATATATATATATATATATATATATATATATATATATATATATATATATATATATATATATATATATATATATATATATATATATATATATATATATATATATATATATATATATATATATATATATATATATATATATATATATATATATATATATATATATATATATATATATATATATATATATATATATATATATATATATATATATATATATATATATATATATATATATATATATATATATATATATATATATATATATATATATATATATATATATATATATATATATATATATATATATATATATATATATATATTTAAAAATCACGACCATATTTCATAAGAATAATTAAAAAAAAAATTAAAAAAAAATTAAAAAAATTAAAAAAAATTTGTTTATTCGTTTTAAATAACATTGGAATAATATTCGGTGCATTGATTTTTGTGGGACTACGATATCGGAAAACTCATTTGAGCATCAAAGGCAAACACAAGCGGAACAGTTATATGTTTTAGTATGCGTCCTACGGGCATATCAGAGTGCCAGTTGCAGGGAGAGCTTCTAACCCCGGGCCTTGCGTGTATCCCATCCAACAGGAAGTATACGGCCCTCACATAGATTATGATGTAAACTGGATGCCCAATAATATCAATTTAACCGATATTCTCGACCAGGTATGCTGTTTCAAAGGATTTTCTACACGAACTACATTAACTTATTCAAAATTTTAGATTTTAAATTAATAGCCCATTTACAACATTGTTTTCTCTTAACAAAATTTTATTATTTTTTTACTTATGTACAAAGTATTAAATAATAATGTACGCTCCTAATCAAAAAAGTGATTTTACTTTATTCAAGTAAAATTTCACTTTTCTGAACTTGGTACTTAATGTACCACCTACCAAAAAATACCATCTAGTCTCAAATTTCAATATTAGCTACGCAAGCTATGAAATAAGAGGATAAGATTTATACTACTCTAACAAAATATTTTTGTTCAAACGAAGCGGAAAACGATATTTCGATATTTATACATGAAAATGTTTAGAAAAAAAATAGATTCTGACGATAATTAAAAAAAATATATTATGTAATTAAAAATAGTAATTTTAAATTATGATAATCATATAAAAAATACCACAGCAAGTTGGCGCAAAATATTTTATGGGGTTCTCATTTAGTACTTAGAGGTCGGTTTATGTAGGGTCAAAAAAGGCTTCCGTTGACCCGCTATCATCATATTCAGAGTCCCCATTCCTAAAGTCCATAACGTTTTATATAATCTCTTTAAAAAAGTGACACTCTCTATCTCGAGGTAACGTTACCCCAAATCGCTGAGATTTTTTATTTGTTGTATCGATAAATACACTAATCAAAGCTGGTGTATTTTGAGCCACCACATATTATTCTGTGTATGGACTAATTGAACTAAAATAATCTCACTAGAATGGTCACCAAAGAACGCCGAAATTGAAACGCATCCAAAATATTAATCAAACGGCTACAGAACAATTACCTGCCGGACAATCACCATATCGCAACCCTCAGTCTCTTCTTCTAAACGAGCTCATGCAGGAGGACAATAAGAAGCCTAAGGTAGCGGAGGAACGCAGAGAATCGCTTATGGAATGGTTCGACAGGTCCGTGGAAAAGGAACTTAGAAAACATAAGGAGACGTCGTTAGGCAGGGTCGGATTTTCACCAACCACGACGTCACCACCAGAAGAGTTAAAGTTATCTAGGGGAGCGCTGGAAAGGATGGCTGAAGCTAGCGCAAGTCAGATTGAAATAGTTTCCGATATGAGAAGAGAACCTGATGCTGGCAAGTTATACGTTTAATTCTCGAGATGCACAATTAAATGCAAATTTTTATTTAGAGCTTAGTGAAGCGGTCGATAAATTAGCGAAAGCTGAAGCTATGAGTAAGTTTGCGGGAGCAGTCAGAGCCGCTGAAGCGGCTGCAAAATCCGTTCCTCCGGAGTTAGCCGAAGAAGCCGCGGTGGCTAGTGCGAGAGGATTTCAAACGGAAGTTCAAACTACAAATATTCACCACGATTTTGATGGTGACCGGCCAATGGAAGTTGTCGGATACATCGGTATAACCAAACCCAAATACGCGACGAGAAGACAATGAAGCATGTAGCAAATTCTATTCGCAACTAAAATAAAGTTTCTATTTTGGAAAAGAAAACACGTTTTTTTAATACTTTAGATCCAGTCAGGTGGTGGAATTTCTGTAATCCGTAATAATAAATAATGTATCATAATAATTATTTATATTTATTATAATAATGAATTTATTAAATTCAGAAATGTTAAATAAATTTCGATAAACTCCCAGTAAATTTCTTTGCAAAATTGCAAAAATTGCAAATGCAGATAATTTAAGAAAAAATAGCAAATTGACCACGGTTATCAAACTAAACTTAATGTTCACACAGTAATGATTAATTATTCTATGTAAAAGAAGAAGTAAAAGAATTATTAATTAGCAACCTCTTCATGAAAAGCCAAGAACTAAATTTTGAAAAATCTCAATATATTTATGCTATATAATTAGATTTTTCTTGGTTGGTTACTTTTTTTATTGTAACACCAAGGTTAAAATAGTATTTTGATGTCCTCACAACACAATAATATTCAGAAATTTGAGAATATTTCAACAATAATTCTCAAAAGTTGGGTTTCACTATTTTTAAGTCAAGACATTGTTTCTAATGCCTTCATCGTATAAAATTTCTATTTATACCGTAGCTGTGAAACGAATAAAACGGTGGAACGTATTTATATCAAAAATTTTCGTATCATTCCTAAAACATGCCGCACGCTCTACGGTATTTGCATTTTCGAAAAGTTCTCAGGAATAAAGAAAAAAATATATTTCGCAAATATTACAGCACCAACCGATATCTTCCGGAAAGCGTGGATGTGACTATTATCGGTAAGCTAATTTCATTTAAAGTTTCAATGATGAAAATTGTTTACATTTCACATGTATTTATTTAATTCTCGAAAATCAGATGTTACATTGATAAGTATATAATATAAATACAAAACAAATTTTACAAATTACGAAGTAAATAAATAAACTGTCATAAGCTATGATATAAATATTCAACGATTTTCAGAAGATTTTCTATTTATAGTATAAAAATAAGTTATCCTATAAAAGTAATAAAATCGTAGTTTTTATTTAGGCGGAGGCGTGGCGGGTTGTTCTACATTTTATCAATTATCCAAGAAAGGACTAAAAACAATACTACTGGAGAAAAACAAGCTAACAAGCGGTACTACGTGGCATACGAATGGTTTAATATGGAGTCTCAGGTATAACAACGATAGCAAAAAGTAAATGAATTAAGTTAAAGTTGATATTACAAAACAGATTAAAGGTGTAAAAGCATTTAACAGGTAATAAAGAAGATATTAGTAAGATAAGACGGGGCCTGTGAGAGAAAAAAAAGAAAAATCTTGTTAGGAATAAATGTTTTTTATTCTTTTCTAATTTTTAAATAAATTAAACTAAAATAAAAAAAATATTAAAAGAAACCTACATTACGACACCATAATTCCTTATTATTTAATTTCCCAGAATAGCGCATAACGAAATCTAAATTAGCGGGGTATAAGCTGATGACATTTTTCTATTCCCTACTCTAAAATACCTAATTATGCACCGATGAAGTGTGCACAAAGTGCCACTTTAATACGTTAACTTTGTCAATCATTTCGGACGTTTCAGCTACTGATAAATGTTATTCATTCTGTTTTTGCAATAATCACCCCAAAAAGTATTGGTCGTACAAAAAGTATGCAAAGTATGCAGCACTTTATACAAATAATTGTAAGTACAAATAAACTATATACAATACAGTTGGGTAAATTGAATGTTAACAAAATTATATAATTTTCAAACATTTTTATGTCTGTTGCCAAATGTACATTCCATATTTTTTTAGTTGATTCCGGAGCAGGAAATACTAAAATATTTAATAAATTCTTAAATTCTGCCCTGTATCATAGGAACACATAACTGATACTTGTAGTCTATAAAGCAAATTTTATTTTTTTGTTGAAATGTGGCGACAGGCGTAGTTTGATTGACGAACACCCTATGTATTATTAATTAAATGCTTCTCAGGCCCTCAGACACGGATATTTTAATGTTGCGAAATACTCTCGAAACCATAAACAAATTGGAGGAAGACAGTGGTGTCGATCCCGGTTTTATACATAGTGGAGGTATATTTATCGCAAGAACAAGGGTAAGTGTTATTTAAAAGCAAGTGCTACGAGTAAATTTTTGTGTTATTAGGAACGATTTGAAGAATACAAACGTCTTCACACTATAGGCCATTTCTTCAAAAACCATAGCAAATTGCTGACGCCCAAAGAAACTCTAGAATTGTGTCCCGTTTTAGAACCCAGTGCGTTCTATGGAGCTCTGTATACCACACCCGACGGATATATCGACCCTACCATGTATTGCAATGCATTAGCGAAAGGTGGTCGACGCTACGGTGGTTTGGTGAGCAGTTTGAGATAAATAATTCGTTCAAATTTTATTGCTGATTAAAAAAAAAGCAATCTTTGTAAATGTTTTTTTTTATTTTTAAAACAGATCTTTGAAGATGTAACAGTAAAAAATATTTTAACCGCCCAGTCGACGCATGGTATTAAAAAGGTGGTGGGTATAGAAACGGATAAAGGTAAATTTTTGATTTTGGAACAACGTTTTTCATTTTTTAACATTTGTGGTGTTATTATAATAGATCCAATAACTAACTCCAATATAACATCTGTAAATAAATTGTGTTCTTTTTGATGTAATGTGCTCAAAATTCTTTAAAATGGCAGTCATGTTTTTTGCAATTAAAGTTTTGTTCCAATAAATGTTCATATTTGACCAAACGTCCTCTAAATGTACGATTCAAAAAACACATAAAATATACACGGACGGGCGAAACATTCGTTAAGATCTAGGTAGCAAAGCCTATTTCGTGGCAAACATCCTTGATTTGGCACCCATTAATAAAGCCCACTAATACTAGCTGCCCCTTGCACTTCAGGGTTGACTGCATCTTATTCAGTCACGAACGGACAGATAAAATTAGTATATCGGCGAATACTCTTCAGAATTAGTTTAGTTTTCACTGAATAAAGGACAGTGACAGTGTCTCCGAAATGTTGTGCAGTTAAGTAAAAAACAAAGTGCTTTCAAGCATTTTCTCAGACATTCTGTTCAATGGTCATTAAAATTTAACGTATTAACTAACTAGCCCGACATTAAAATTGAATTGATCAGTAAACTAATCGGGATAAGAGTTTTGTAATCTGTGCTGAATGTCAGGATATGTACTAAGTGTAATCTTCACAAACCGATTTGTAGCAATACTATTTTGTGTCTTGCTAAAGCCGCGTACACATCTGAGCAAAAGGATTTTTAGTAGCGTATAACACGACCGAACGGATTTTACAATTAATCATATAATTTGAAAAAAGTGCTATTTTATGGAAAGTTTATGAGCTGTAGAAGAAATTAAAAATCACTCTCCAACATTCTTGTGAAATTTTTAAATCGCCTGCTATCGCCGTCGCTTCGGATGTCGTGCAATAAAAAATTGCTGTTAAGGCTCCAATCTCAACTTCTTGGAAGATATAATTATGAAGACCATCTCGTACGACGTTGTCGCCTCTTTTTCTTTAGCATCTTATAAATTACTATTAATCCAGCACTAGCTACTCCTATACTTTCCATGTTTCTTACAAAGTTGGAAATTAAACTATAATTAGTTGATGTTATAATGCTGCATTGCAGGGTTCATAAATTCCAATATAATCGTAAATGCTGCGGGTGTATGGGGTGATAAAATCGCTAGACTAGCTGGAACGGCGATACCAATTCAGCCAATGAAACACAGCTACGTAGTCACCAACGATATCCCAGGTTTTAAAGGGGCACCGCCAGTGAGGTGTCACGACGGAAGTGTGTGCTTTAAGCCTCAAGGATTCGGGATGACCCTCGGCGGCTACGAAATGAATCCCGAAATACTGGATGAGGTCCCTTATTTGTTCCAGATTAAACTTCAATAAAATCGAACAATTTTATTTTGTATAGGCTCCAGAAGATTTCAACTTTAAATTGTACGAATTGGATAGAAGCTTGTTTGAGGTACATTATCAAAATGCCGTTAAGATTTGCCCCGTTTTAGAGCGAACGGGGATAAAAGCTGACATTTGCGGCCCAGAAAGCTTTACGCCGGATCACAAGCCTGTTGTAGGGGAAGATCCTAATGTTATTGGTGAGTTAATAATGGAAATTTATCGGGTAGTAATGCAATTGTATAAGAAATATAGAGAAATTATCTGATAAAACCAATTAAGAGAAATTTTTATTTCGTTCGACTCAGAAACTTCATTGACCTTTGGGTGATTGATTCCGAACAAAATTTTAAATTTTTGTCTTAGGCGCCTCGTTAAAAAGATAATCATAAAGATATCAAATATTTTAAGAAAAGTGATAGAAAAAAAATTAATTGAGCACATGAATTTACACCGACGTCGTCCTAGGTATTGGTGGTATATTTTGTTCTCTATAAAATAGTACGCTGCTGATTTATTTTCAGGCAGGGTATTTTTTGATTTCTCTTTTTCATACATTAAACAATAAATAAAGAACAATTATATTATTGTATAATGACAATACGTGCAGGGTGCTGCAAAAATTTGAATTATTATCACTCTTCTTTCTTAAATACAAGCAGCATGTATTTTATTATTACCGTCGAATATAGGAATAACTAGATATGCCCATTAGACCAGTCGTGTCTTATGTAATAGCTCTAGCAGTTAAACTCTCAACAAAATTAGTAAATATTTTAAAGTTCCACACAGATTTTAAACCAAAATTTGCAATAAAAAATTCCTTTGAATTAATCAACAAAATTAAAGATATCAAAATCCCTTCTAACTCAATACTATTGTCTTTTGATGTACAAAACTTATTTCCCAGTATTCCACCTATGGATGTGATAGATTTGGTAGATTTCACCCTAACTCGGAAACAGGTTAACCCATTGGTGAAACAAGATTTATTAGATTGCTTAAGAGTATCTTTAGACCAAAATTATTTTTTATTTAATGGACAGATTTACATTTCTAAAGAAGGTTTGATTATGGGAAACCCACTTAGTCCTTTGTTAGCCGAGATTTTTATGGATAATTTGGAAAATATCATTCTAGAACATCCTTTAAGTAAAAGTTTTTTTATGGTAGTATAGATACGTGGATGATGTCTCTTCTTGCTTTGTTGGAACGGACAGACAATTGAATTCTTTTTTAAATTGAGATTGAAATTTTTTACATTTAACTATTACGAAAGCGCAACACAAATTAGATTTTTCAATATAAACCCTTCACACACGGACACAGTCATACATAACAGCTCAAATCACTATTATACACACAAAATGGCTGCATTTAACTCTTTTATACACAGACTTCTTAATACGTCACTCTCAACAGAAAATTACAACAAAGAACTTAATATCATTAAACAAATTGCACTGAACAACGGCTACAATCCGTCCATTATAGATAAAATTATAAATAAAAAACAAATCCAGACAACAGTAAACTAACAACACAATAGGAAATTATTTGAAAAACAATAACCAAAATCTCAAAAATCAGGTGTCTACAGGTTGAAATGCGGATCTTGTCCTAATTTTTATATTGGATAAACAGGTAGATCCTTCAAGACACGCATTAACGTGTCTTGAAGAAACAATAGTCTGGATTCTAATTATGCTACACACTTAATCATAGAAAAACACATTTTTGATATTTTGCATACAGCCACAAAAAGTAGAAAATTAAATTTATTTTAAACAATGGAGATTAACAAAATGAGACATTCAAATGTATTGCTTAACGATCAATTAGATTTAAATACCTCTTCTTCATTGAACTTAAATTCTCACATTAATTAATGGTCATTTTTCGGTATATATAGTACCATGCAGTTTGTAAATATTACATTTGATTAAGACACGGTGTTGTCGAAACAATTGTCATGTCAAAATATATAATTTCGTGAAAATTTGAACTTTTAGTTCTTATTTATTTTTATTTCTTAATTATACCACAGGACTATTTCACAACGTCGGGTACAATTCCGGAGGAATGATGTTTAGCGGCGGAGTGTCCGAGCAACTTGCAGTTTGGATTAAAACTGGATCTCCGAATATTGACATGCATTCGTACGATGTTAAAAGATTTTCACCTGAACAAAGAAAGAACAAGCGTTGGATTGCCGAGACTAGTCATGAAAGTTACGCGAAAAATTACAGCATCGTATATCCACACGAACAAAAGCTAGCTGGTCGTAATTTTAAAACTGATGCTTTCCATCAGGTATTTTGCCCATACTTGGAACGAGGAAATGATAAGTCACGTTATTCGTTATTTATGTAGAGGAATAAATTATTCTACAGTGTGTTTTGTAAGTACGCGACCAAAGTTTTCGTTTTTTTTTTTCAGCATTTGGTTGCTAATGGGGCAATAATGGAACAAGTATTTGGATGGGAAAGACCTGCTTATTTTCTAACAAATGGTACAACGGCTCCTGCAATTAAGTATGATTGGTACGGTTGTTACAACCATCGAAGAAACTCTGACCAAAGATTTGAGAAAGAAGTACGAAAAGATTTAACATTTGACTTTTCGGACCATCACAATTTGGTAAGATATGATATTTTAAAAATATTTGTGATGTCAAGCGTCTACTTTCTTGAAAATCGTTATCCGCTATTTCGACTGGATATGATAGTTGTAGTTTTTCTACTCTTCAAAATCGGATTTAATTTGAAAATAAATTTACGGGATGGATCTCCAACATTTGCTTTATAATTCTTAGAGCCAGGTTAAAAACTTTTCAATATTATTGGAAATTAACACAAAATTACCAAGCTTAAGAGTTAAAAGTGCCATAAAAACAAAATACACGAACGGGAAAAACTAGCATGCTAGTGAAATTATAGGGGACTAAGACCTCATTCTAATGGAAAAGGTGTACTTTACTCTAAATCTTTGAAATTGAATTCATTTTTTTTTTCAATTGTTCATTTTATTATTGCAACTTCCAGATAAAAGCAGAAGCACTAGCCTGCAAAACCAGCATAGCATTATTTAACCTATCCTCTTACACCAAGATGTCTCTAATAGGTCCAGATGCTGAAGAAGCTGTTCAATGGTTATTCACTTCAAATATAAAGCCTGGTAAAATCACTAAAACGATAGGACTAAACTCAAGGGCAGGGATTGTGGCCGATGTGACCGTTGTTGCCCTAGAAGACTGTGACGAGGATATTTTTATTGGAGCTCAACCGAATGTAGACAACAACGACCCTTAAAAACAAGTTTATAAAAATATTCGTTTAGTTGCAGGGAAAACGCTATTATGTGGTAGCGGACAGTGGATCGGGTTACCAGATCAAATGCCACATCAGAAAAGAATTAAACGCCCAAAATTTCGACTGCGAATTGATTGAAGTTAGCGACAAATTCGGAATCTTGTCTCTGAAAGGTCCAAACAGGTAAGAACAATCAGCTAAATTTTTTATAATGAATTGTTTAAACATGTACCTACGATAAGTATGATGTTGTGTTGCGACTTAGGTAAATTAGTTTTCAGCCATCAACTTCTTATGCCTCTGATAGAAACGCCAATATCAAAGTTAAGTTATGAAATTCTTAAGATTAACGCTCATGAGTGTATGATAATCAATACGAACGATGTAGGTGAACTCGGATGGCAGATTCACATTCCTGTTAGTCACTGCATGTCAGTACTTAATTCAATCTTAGACGCAGGAAAAAAGTTAAATTTTAAAATTACATATGCCGGATTCAGAGCGTTGGAATCGTTAAGTTTAGAGAAAGGTAATTGATATGGGTTCAGAAATAATACTGCTAAGGTACGCTCAAACTCGTTATTTTTGTTAGAAGCCCACGTTTTGAATGAAGATGTCAGAGTGGACGACAATCCATTAGAGGCAGGGTTGTCCCACTTGTGCCGCTGCTCTGGTCAATATCAAGGAAAATTTGCATTGAAAAAAGTTAGCAGGTCATTTATGATTATTATAAGTTTAGTCCACCAAATTTTAATTTTTTTTATTTTTGAAAAAACTAACAGATCGAAACAGATTCAAAAAAGTCGCGAACAGGATTGGTTAGATATTTATGCTATTCTTGCCTACAGACAAAATATAAACAATGGTGTTAATTACGTAAATAAGTATTTGCAAAAGTATGTATGGTGTTCTCTGCTGTACCTGGGATGGATATCACGGGTTGCTAGTTAAATCTCACCCTATGCATATATATCGGGTCCTATGTAATGTAATCCTGTAATAGTCAGAGGAAATGTTGATTTGATTTTAAATCGAACAAGTTCAAGAAACGCTAACTTGTTAGGGAACTTCTTGGATAAAATATTAATCGATACCCTAACTGCAATACCCCGTTTACTTTTTTATTTGGTGAAATGGTGGCAGCCCATTTTACATGGCTGAATCGTTGATTCAGAGCCTTAACTTTTTTGTCAATGATAAAAATTTTTTATCTCTTCTAGAATTCGTTTTCTTTCAGATACGGGATATTACAGTTTTACCATCATAATGTTATTGTAATATTAAAAATAAAATAATAAAATCTGATACTGAGGGACAAATTGAACAGTGATTTTCTCTTTTGAAGATTGAGGAAATCGGACCAAAGAAGAGGCGAAGCTTTTTCGCTTTAGAACATCCCATAGCCCTCTACGGGTTGGAAACAATATGGAGAGATAACGAAATTGTTGGCTATTTACGCAGGGGAGGTTATAGCTTTTCTATGGATTGTTCTGTAGGAATTGGGCAAGTTCATGACTTTTGTTCTTATCATCCCATTCGCAATGGTTTGTATTTCCAGATATGTCTGCCACTCATATGATTCTGTCGTAGACAGCCACTTTTTACGAACAGGGAGGTATCAAATTGAAGTCAGAAATAAAAAATATCCTGCTATTTATCTAGGTAGCCCAATACTCCCGGAAACGTTTCCTGATTTGTGTCTTTGTTGACTGCATCTGCACATTTATTTTATAGTAAATCTGTAATGTACAACCCATAAGTATATTATTAATCTCTGTAATATAAATTCGAGCTTTTACCAATATGTAAGACTTTTTACACAATCAACCATTCTACCAAGGTCACTATTCTGCAATCTTGGGAATAGAAATGTTGTAGGCAAATAGTCAAAAGTTAGTGTGTTCCTTTAAAATGTTAAAACGCATCAGTATCTTTGATAAAGGTCTATTAAAAAAAAAGAAATTGTTACTCCGAAGTTCATTCTCATGAATGATAGAAATTTTACGTCTTGTGTATATTACCAATGTTTTTACTACTAATTTAATAAAAGAAATTAATAACCAAAAACTGCAATGATAATGGAGAACCTTAACCAACTTCCATAGTGGCACAATATTATCAATGCTCTGAAGGAGATTGATGAATTCCTTTCAGATTTCACAAAATCACTGTTTCTTTTCTATTCAAGATTACTGGGTAGTAAAATTTTTCCCTTTTCAAGAATAAACTGGACAGCTTTTCTTCTTCTTCTGTTACGTTTCACATCAAGTTGGGCCAACTGTTCGGATCATTCGTCTATTACTGACGTCAATCGCTGATTTAAAAACACTTATTTTGAAATCCACAACGTCCAACTTATATTGTACATGCGGTCATCAACTTATTGGATATCCACCGACTTTTCCGGCGTCTGCCGAGGAAAATTTTACCGATAACATTTTTCACAACAACCAAGAATCATGGTGGGAATCGAACCCACAACCTACTGTGGTCGAGTTGGCAGGGCAGAAACACCTTGCCAACCGAGCCATCCTCGATTCCATGGACTAACCTGTATCTGGTAGGTAAAGAAGCAGACATGCAAATGACTTTTTATTTTCCTCTGTCAAAGCAAGAAATTTAATTCGTTTCTGTGGTGTGGTGCAAAAAGCTTAAGACAAAAGTTGCTGTCACATGACAACTTGATTAACATTATTTATTAAAAAGTACCAAACCATGAGTGAAACTGCTAGAGAAAATGCACCCGTGGTTCATAATCAAGTTCCAATCGCGCAAGATGAAACTAATCAATCAGTTAGCGGGGAAAACGTAAGCAATATCAATAACATCAGCCACGTTTTGATGATAGAAATTTCTTTTTTCAGCAAAATGGTACCATACAACAACAGAGACAACCTTCCAGGCTCGAATCATTTTTAACAGTGGCCAAATCCCTTGTCATAAGAATGGTTATTATTTATTTTATTACTTCTTTCTTTAGGGCCCCCAAACCACCTGTCACAAACTTAACTGACAGTCCTGCACCAGTAACGCAGGCAAAAAACATTTTTAGAGATGGTATGCCATTAAGTTTACACATTTTTCTATCTGAATCTGAAAGATTAAGTAACTATTCACACCATAACTTGTTTTGGTACAAAGATATTGTATATAGTGACTGGACTGGGGGTGCAAATAAGGATGGAATTTTTGAAATTGAAAAAGACGTCCTAATTACTGACACTTTGAGGAACAATGGATCTCTTTATTTGCATGCATTTGTTACTAAAAGGGGTTTAAGTCCAGATCCAAAAGCTAAAAATTACAACTACAATGAAATGAGCGGCGCTGTGAAACAGCTTAACAGGTAATTATTACATTTCATTACAAACATCTTTGTCTTTTATGAAAAGTAAACATAATTTATCATTAGGTAAATACCTACATTAAAGTCGTTATGCAAATAATTAAATGTCACCTTATTTTAAGCATAACATAGTGTTATTAACTTTAATTTTTTGTAATGACGTTTTTGTTTCAGATTTAAAAAGATCAAATCAAGCAAAACAAAGAACCTCCTCACAGGTGAGACAGAAAATGCAGAAATTGATAGTGACAAGATTGTATCCCATTTTCATTCAAATTTCACCATTAATCTAGTTTGCGATCAATCTCTATGGAATTATGGTCAAGTGCCTGCACCTTTGGATCAGTATATAAAATTTACTGATGACTTTGCTTATTATAAACCAATTTTGTACCCAAATGATTTCTGGAATATGGCACGCGACTACAAACCACTTAATGATACTCTGAGGTTGAGGTTGACTTATCAACCATTGAGTTTGCTTAAATGGCAACTATATGCAGCTCAAGCCATGCGGAATACCATGTTTAATATTTGGGGAGAGGCTGAACCTCAGCAGACTGACGAAGAACAAGACACTATAAAGGAAACTCTTATGGATACAAATCCTTACCTACTCGGAATTACTTTGGTTGTTTCTTTATTTCATTCAGTCTTTGAACTATTGGCTTTTAAAAATGATATCCAGTTTTGGAATAACAGAAACTCTCTTGAAGGGTTGTCTGTTAGATCAGTATTTTTCAGTGTTTTCCAAAGTCTCATTGTGTTACTCTATGTTTTGGATAATGAGACCAACATGCTTATAAGGATATCCTGTTTTGTTGGTCTTTGCATAGAATTGTGGAAAATATGGAAAGTGGTAGACATAAAATTTGAAAATGGAAGAATCACATTCCATGATAAAGGTTCTTATGTTGAATCGAGTACTAAACAATATGATGAATTAGCTTTCAAGTACCTGTCTTGGCTATGTTTTCCTTTACTGGCAGGCTATAGTGTCTATGCCCTACTATACCTTGAGCACAAAGGATGGTATTCATTTGTTTTGGATTTGCTTTATGGTTACCTGCTAACTTTTGGATTTATAATGATGACGCCTCAATTGTTTATCAACTACAAACTAAAATCGGTTGCACATTTGCCATGGAGAATGTTAACTTACAAATTTCTTAATACTTTTATCGACGATATGTTCGCGTTTGTTATAAAAATGCCTACAATGTACAGAATAGGTTGTTTCCGAGATGACATAGTGTTTCTGGTGTTTCTCTATCAGCGTTGGATTTATCCTGTAGATAAAAGCAGAAAAAATGAGTTTGGCTACTCAGCTGATCAAGAGGAACAACAATCTACTGGAAGTGATCGTCAAGTTGTACCAAAGGAAACCAAAAAGGAGCAATGAGCTTTATTATTTATTTTATATTGATATTGCCTTCCTTTGAAAACGTATTATTTGTGATACCGACATATATGCATGTTATATATATGCCAAAATCAAACGAGAGGCGTAAATAAAATTAAGTTGTAGGGAATATTTGTTGTAAAAAATCATAATTAAACGCAGTTTGTGAGGTTAGATCCGAAATGTACCTTATTTTAATATTTGTGCGAGTTTGTACTGATTATATTAATAAAACTGCGTTTATACTTTGTCGCATTTTTAATTTAAATAAGGGTTCTTTACTTTAATTTGGGCTGGCTTTAATCGATATAACAGTTTTCTTTTTCTGCGATTGTTCCTAAATTTAATCTGAGTTTGGTCCAATTATCCTCGTGCATTTGGTCTATGGAAGAAAAAGATGAAGTATTTTTTTCATCCATATTTGCGATCTTTGACACTCTCGTGTTATGTAAAAATTAATATTAATTTAAAAATTCAAAAAGTTTTTGGGTTTATACTTCATTGGTGATGGGTAGTCTTGCTCGTATAAGTTTAAATAAACTTGGAGGTTGTAAAAGTATTAAGATTTTACACTTAAAACATGGAGTTCGCACCATTACTTCAAAATTAGATCAACTGCCTCCGAAACCGAAACCCTGGCCCTATAATGAGAAGAAATTTACAATGTTGAATTTCTTTTTCGATAAAACCTCTGCTAGATTGGACGAAAATTCTAAGGTAATAATTTACCTCGAAGTTTCTCGTAAAACAGTTTTGATAGCTTGTAGTAGTGGAAGGACCTGTCGCAGCGGGTAAAACAAAAGTAGCGAAACAAATCGCCAACACGTTTAATATGTTATATTTACCTGAAGCAAATTTGGATATGTTTTACATTAACAGTTACGGGTATGACTTGAGGAAATTAGATCCTATGTTGCCTGAAGACTGTAGAACGTTCGATGTTATGGATTTTTTGAAAAATCCAAGACACAAACTTGTTGCCAGAATGCAGATCGAGCAGTTTAGAGCAAAGTATTTGTATAAACTGTTGCTAACTATTTGCCTTTATTAAATTTTTATTCTAGATACTCCCAGTATATAGATGCCTTAGCACATATTTTAAGCACTGGACAGGGTGTTGTTTTAGATCGCTGTGTTTACTCTGACTTTGTCTTTGCTGAGAGCATGTTTAGCCAAGGGTACATCTCCAAAGCAGGTAAGTCTCGTTTAATTTTTCAAAAAAGTTCTGGATTTCTCCGGCATCACTTGATCAATTACTATATACTTGCTGACGTTTCGCCAGTTTCATTTAAGTTCTGAAGAAGTCAATAAGTTGATTGGTGAAATGTCAGAGAGTTCAATGCATTCACCAACTGGCGCAATTCTCTTTTGCACCAAAATAAAGTCCAAAATGATCATTGCCTTCATTTTTCAGCAAGAAAAAAATATTATGAAGTCAGAGACAATTGCATCGGTGAATTGCTGAGACCTCATCTAGTGATTTACCTGGATGTTCCTGTACCAAATGTTTTGGATAATATTAAAAAACGTGCAGTTGGTTGGGAAAAAAATTCTCAAGTTTTAAATGAGAAATATTTGGAAGTCATGGAATATAACTATAAGCAGAGTTATTTAAGGCGAATGGGGTAATATATATTTTTACAAGAAAAATGTTAATTGTGGACTAAGAAATTTACTTACATTTACTTACTTACATCATTGCAGTAAAAATTAGTTTTAGTGTAATAACTGAACTTTTTTTAGGGAACATGCTGAGCTTTTAATTTATGATTGGAGTGTTGAGGGAGACCTGGAAATTGTTTTAGAAGATATTGAGCAAATAGATTTTGATAAGTATGATTACCAGGATCCTCACATGAAAGATTGGTATCTCAAATTAGAAGAAGATTATGCTTGCCTTCGGCACTTGTAAGTTACTTCTGCATTTAAATGTATGGAGGTGTATGTTACTGAATTTTATAGGTATGCAGATAAAAAATATAATTTAATGGCTTATTCTACCAGTGTTCCAATGACAGGTGCACCAGAACTGCTTGTCGACGCGGAAGATGCAGATCAATACCACAAGATTTTGGCCACAGTAATTATCTTGATTTCACTTTTTATTTTTTAATTGTTGGCATACACTTTTTAGGCGCCGGGTGAACAATATGCACCAGGATATAATAAGGCCTTGGGAGATACAGGCATACTTTTCAAAATGGATCGTCATCAGAGGGACACATTACCTTTGACAGAGAGGCGATTACATTACCTTTAAAGTGAAACTTAAGTTATTTATATTTTTCAAACTCTTTATTACAACTGTCATTGTTAAAGAAAAACCAGATACTTGTAATAAATCTAAATCGAATAGTATTGTTTCATTTTTGGAATGTGATCATGCTTATGATTTCCAACCAGGAGTTTCAGATATACGAAGCTAGTATTGAATGGAAGGTTTCAATTTTATTTTTTGACCATCATCACTTTAATTTCATTCAGATTTCATTGATGCATAGTTTATTTTGTGTTGTTCTGGATACATTTAACATAAATCAAATTTTTGTTAAATTAATTTCGCAAAAATAACTATTAATAACACTGTTATGCAGATCATTGTTCCTTGGAAATTTAATAAATATAAACTTGAGCAAAAGAAAAATTATTGGGTCATAAAATTGATAAAATTTTATGTACCTACGTGGGAAATGTGATACCACTATAGTAATAGCGCTAAAACTCGTTGAACTAGTTATAGTTCGCCAACGATATACCGTTCTTAGAACCTTTACGGTTTTGACTTTGGAATGAGTTTAAGACCCGCCTGTTGTAAAGCGGAAGGGTCCACTCTTTTCATCACGTATACCACAAGCTAGAGCCGCATTTAAGATGTTAGCCGACAAGAACTGTGGCTTGCGGACTGTTGTATTTTAAGAGTAGGAAAATTTTCTTTATTAAACTGTTATTCATATTAGTGTGCTTTTTATAAGTCTGTAAATGATATGTATTTTGAAAATTTCTATACAAAGAAGCAGTTATTGAAAGTTCTTCAAACCGGAATGTTTGACAAGAAGTATAATGGCCATGGAGAGAGATTCAAAGTTGACCGTATTTCACCATATCACAGCAATTTTAATTTGATAGAACTGATATGGGGACAGCTGAAACCCAGTTTAGGAAGAAACAACACCTCGCCGAAATTTAGTGCTGGAGCAATAGAATTAATTAGAAGTGAAGTTGAAAAAATATCTACTTCTAGTTGGAAAAAATGTGTAAAAGAAGAAAATGTTTACAGGAGTTGACTAGTGCCAGAATTCATTATTAATGTGGGGGACGCTTGCAGTGGCAATAGTGATTATTTTGATGTAGAATTACTTTTTTTTTAATTAATATTCTAACATTTTTTTATAGCTAAATTTACTCCTCCATTTATATTTACAATAAACATTTTAATAATAAAAATCGAGGAATCTTACCGATGAAACAACACCAAGTAGGTTTTCTAACATCATTATGGAATTGCGAATCTATTTATTGAGAGTTACAAAGAGAACCCAAGCGGCCTGCGGTTAGACCTTTATAAAAGTTTACCAAAGTTAAATACCGGATTATGTCGTACAAACGGTATATTATTGGCGAACTATAACTAAACATTTCGATTACAAAATTTCGTCCTATCAAAAATCGTAGGTGGGCGGGGCAAGTTCGTAGTGTGTAGCGCGGACCAGAGTTTTATTTCAAAAAGAAGCCAATTCGGGGTTTTTGTCCTTGAGGGACACATTGTTTTTCTATCGTGCTCCTACAGACCACTATGGAACTTTCGCAAAATCGATATATTTGAATTGTGCATGCGTCCTGTATAAATTGGCACTTATGACGTTTTTGAATATTGCACGAAATATCCCGAACACCTTGTGCAATGTGTGAAAACTTTAAATACAAAAGTTTTAGCTGTTCATACGGGCTATATAGCAATGTAAAAAAAACTGACAGCAGAATTACCGCCTTCTAGTTATGGTCAATTATCATTACAAAAAGACCCCAATTTTCAGTTTTTTGCAAATTACCGACGCACCCTGTACATATTTAAAAAAACATCAGGAGTAAAGATTTTTTGTCCAGATCTTGCGCGTCAGTTGGTTTAAGAATTTTTCGATCGTACATATCGTTTTTGAGAAATGATTTTTTTTTCGGGACCCTGCACATGCGGTTTTTAAATTTTTAAAATTACTCCCCTACCCACCACCCCCCGATTTCAATAGGTTCCGTTAGGGAATTAAACTCTACATTTGTGCCAATTTTGAAATCGATAGCTACAAATTTCGGACACTAATCGTGTTTCACAGCGATGTACGAAAAACAGAGGAAAATCGCAAATAAAAGATCAACGTCACTGTCCGATCGCGGCCATTTCCTACAGGCTGATGTATCTCGTGGACAGTTTAAAAGGAGAAAAATCTAAGCGCACTGGGTTAAGTCGTTCGGAAGTTATTCGCGTTTTTATGAAGCGTCGATAGAGAACGGAGAACGGACAGACAAAATAATTATTTTTTTCGACGCTGATCATTTATGTACTAATGGGGGTCCCCTAGGACCTCCCGTTGCCGAGATATAAGTTTCGTGGCCAAGCGCGTATACTTTCGAAAAATTCGATTTCATCGATTTTTCGAAAGTGACAAGTCCGTTTAAAACTAGATTAACAAAATAGAAATACTGAAATTTCTAAAATATAAATCCGCGGAAATTAAAATACTGCAAAAGACATTTTGTTTGTGTTTCTCAAGAGTAAAATCAAAAACCCAACTGACTGCACTAAAAGTATATTTCGAAATGAGGCGAATAAGCAGCAAACTTGAATTTTCAGTAGATATACCCTGTATTCAAATGGCAACCGTGCAGATTCAACAATGAAACTTAATTTAAGCCCGAGAACTTTCTCTCAACTACTTTAATCGAAATACAATGGGACCTTCTTGGCTTCTCTGGCAACAAAAACCCCTAAAGTTTAATGACTTTGAGGGTTCAGTTTGTTGTCACCCCATTTGAAATTTTCTTGTGTCATTATATACACCGACCAATAAAATAAATTAAACATTCCAAAGGAAGCGGGAAAGACGACTCTGGCAGTTCTGTCTATCAACGACACGCTGTTTACGTGACGGATCCCGTGATGGTGGCCACTTTTGTTCAATTCTGAAAAAGTAGGGAAAACAACTGTTTAGTCAAGGTCTATAGTGTCGATGCAGATACCCAATGCTCCGAAAGCAGCCTCTCGTTGCCTCTGTTTCCTGAACTTGTCATCTCCTTTCAAGCAGTACAAAAATTGTTTCCATCTGGGTAACTTGTTTTCGGTTTGCGTGGTCTTCTCCATTGTCGTACGCGCTGGTGGGGATGCTTGTATATTCGAAATCAGAGATGTGCGTCTACCGTTGCGATACAAGTTGCATGTCTGCAATGGAATAATAATCAAGTTCCACTCAAACAACACATATTAACATTAAAGAACCGCGTTTAGATAATACCTATATGTAAATATTGATAGAAGTATTTCTATTTTATTTCTATACATCGACCAACAGAGACAGAAAAAGAGTTTGTAAAGTGTATATCGACACATTATCCGGTTTTTTCCAAGTTTATCTCTTACCCCCTGTAAACTTTGCGCGATATTTTTTAAAAAAACATTAATTAAATTAAGTTCATTATACATTTGTTAATGTTACTCATTTTCAACGTTTTCTTTCTTACTACCAAACCATAAAGAACTTCTTTGCGAACCTGTTACCAATTTTTAATTTTTAAAAGGAGTTTTAATAACTTTCACAGCAGTATAACAGCTAGAATCAAACGACAAAATATAAAAATAACAATAAATAGTATTAACTGGAAGCACTCAAACGGAACACATCAGAACAAAATGAGCGGAGGCTGCCAACAAACGGATCAAGCTTTAGACAGTTGTACGCTTTCAGCATTCTAATTGGGGCTGAATAAATTCCTTAATTTGCGCGATGGTAAGGTATGCGAAACATTGAGTTATCACAGCTTCTGTAATACTCGTTAAATTGTTTGTAAAAGAACTGGACAATAATACCAACCATTCAAAATCTTAAAGAGAAAAAATAAATCGCTCAAGAATCTTCTGGTTTGAAGAGTATCAATAGTGAAGGCCTTAGTTGATCTGATACCGATTATGGATGCGCATTTGAAGCCAAAGATCTTAAAAATACTTTCTGAACGGCTTTAATGTTACCTATATGCCAGGCATAATATGGAGACTAGTCTAGAGCGAACCAAAGAGATATAGAGGATTCTAAAGCAATGTGGAGTAAGTACAACAAACCCAAGGACTCGCATACACAAAACATAGTTTAAAATCCAAAGTCTTTAATGCATCAATGCTATATCGGTTGTGAACCATACTCAACGAACGACTAAAGCTAATACTACAGTATTTTTTTACATTGACCGTATGCAGCAGATCATTCTAGCGCGATTCAACCCTCTTGAATATTTTCAAATCATCCGCAAACATAAGACACTGCGATTCCGAAACTACACTAACAATATCATTTATAAACAAGTTAGAGAGGATGGGTCCAGTTTGAGAATCGTGGGGGACTCCCGAAAAAATATCAATTAAATAACATAGCTGTGCCATTTAGCACATTATTTTTCAAATTCTTTGTGTGTTTTATTTAAAATGTAAACTACAACACATTTTGGACTTCTGTTATTTTAAGTAAAGGCAGTAATAAAATTTCTTTAAGAATGCAAATTAATAATTAATTAAATATTAATTAATCGAATTTGCTAGTTTTCAAGACGACTTACATAAGCAAGTCATAGCTCGTCTAAGTCAATAATTTATGAGAAAAATATTCTTTACGTGCATTTTCAAAACGAGCAGCAATTTTTTATTCCCTCAAATTTAAGAAACGGCTGCGGATGAGTATAGAGCCGTGTGTAGAGAGTTTGTATATAAATTATTGAACTTTTTGAAGATAATGTCAAATATGTTGGGTTTTATTAACAAAAAAATGAGTTCTTACTACTTTTTTATTTTAAATATAAATTTCTGTCAATCAAATGTATTACCTATCCCGTGTAAGATCTTGAAATAGCTAGCGCACTTATGCAATAAAATATTAAGCTTTAATGAAATTGCGTTTCCCAGCAAAAAAAATCCGATGGAGGAGGAAAAATCAGAAAGGAAATATTAACAAAAGTTACTGAGAATTTTGCGCAAAACCAGAAAACGAACTAATTTACATGGTGTCCCATTTCAATTACCAGTGTTGTCTGTTTCGATTTCAGTTGGCAACGCTGCAGTGTAATATCATCAAGTGTATGTGTAGAGCGTAT